CGGACAGGAGGGGGGGAGAAGGGAAGATCCTACGACTAGCTCCAGCCAGAGTGCCGGGTCCGGGTTGCACCTCATCAACTGTCTAAATGTCTATCAGCTCCATCTTAGTCGTTCGATTTTCCCAAGCCACAATCCACTCATCCTTCGTCAGATCATCATCCATCGGACCTAGATGTGCAGTTCGCACTGAGGAATGGACTAAATCATCCCGTATACTCCGTACCGTGCCTGAAGTTGTGGCGCCCACAAGAGATTCCAAAACCAGTTTCCGATCGTTGATGTCACCACTGTAGACTGTGACAAGTTACGGAGTACTTACGTTAGAACTAGGACTGACTGACTGCATACTCTGTACACACCTTAAAGGCCTGCGGCGCGTGGTTTGTGGATAGCTGAACAAGGTGTGCCCCGTCCTTGCAGCTCTAGTCAGGGGTGGAGCGACGATGAGGCGACGACTCTCTGGAGTGAATGGTTCGCGAAACTGCATGAGAGGAAGCGAGAGGGCAGAGGCAGAGTCAGTCAGTCAGTCATCATACTGTATACGGAGTACCTAGTGACAGGTCGTTTCATCTGACCCGGGGGGGAAGGCAAAAATTCCTGACCTGCACGGAGTAGCCTTAACCTAAACGGTTTAGTTTGGTGGTGGTGGCTGCTGCCGCACATCGTTTCAGGGGCAGCAGCCCGGGCGGAACCACCAGCAGCAACCAGTAGTAACTCCTACTAACCACCTTCACACTGCACGGAAAGCCTGTAGCAGCCGCATCGCATCGCATCCACAGAGAGGTGTAAGTGTGACACATACACTAACTAAACTAGAGCTACGAACAAGAACCACATCACTTATCGCCGCGAGTCAGTCGTGACATCCCCAAAAGTAGTCGAAACGATAAAAACCTGCTGCTACTGTCGCCCAACAACCCAGGCCTCCCCTTGCAGGAAGGACGGAGCTAGAAATCCATCGCGAACTCAATGTCAAGGTTGTATGGATGGATGTACTCCATAGTCTACTCCGTAGCTGCATACAGCCAGACACATTACAGACTAACAGAAAAAGAGGCCTCGTATTATCCGAGCTTCCGGGGGATTTTCAAATAGTGGAGGGAGCAAGAGGAGGGGAGGGGGCCAAGGGCGGCTGAGCAAGGATTCTGACGTGAAGTGGTGGCTTAATAAGTATCTATCTTTGTCGCTTGTCTGACAACTTACTACGGTGCTAACAACTTACAACCATGAACACTTTCCCCCCAGGATTGATCTATTATTATCAAAAATTATGACCCCGGGGGGTGGGAGGGGGGCCGAGTGACCGAACGATGGGATGAACGAACGGGCGGTTACTATTTCTGGTTTCATTTGTCTTGCCGATAGGTTTGTTGAGTCCTTGGCGATTTGCAGTTCGGTTTACAGATACACCTCTCTGAACGATTTCATCCACGGAACACTATACACAGTTCAAGAGACATGTCATGTCCTGCCTAGCGCCGAGACGTCCGGCTCCGAGGATTCGTTCAACTAATCAGTTACCTGGCTGCGGCGACCAAGGCAGGTAGGCAACAGGCGCCGTTGGCTACAACCTCATTTACGTGAGGGTATAGCTTTGAGCTATTTATCCGAGTAACCTACCCAACTTCTCATGCAATGCAACCTGAAACCTCTGGTCGGCTTTGCAGTCCTGGTTAAATTGAAATCGTGGTGCGGTCACTTCATTCTACTCATCTGGTTTAATTGCGCTGTCTATTGTATGCAAGTAGGTATCTCTGGCGTGACATCAAAGGGATAACTAAGATGAACGAGCTAGACTGGATTGATGCATTGTGCTGCTGCAGCAGCTGGTGCTACTGCAGCTTGCAAGCGCGGGGTGACCTGCAGGTGAATTACTGACTAGGAGCAGCAAGGACAGTACCTGACCCCGTCGGACCCGGGAAGAACAAAGAAAGGGAGGGATGATGATTCTGCACGTCAATCCATTGATGACAATAGAGCAGCTGAGGATGAGGATGAGGATGATGGAGGATGAGAGAGCTCACACCAATCGATCCCGTGAGATATGAGTATCTTCCATACCATACGTAGTAACTGCACCAACCGACCTAACGGGACCAAGTATCTATCTAATGATCAGTCTAACTTAGGGCGGGCGCTTAAAACCACACACTTCAGAAAGCAAGTTACAACTCAGGAGCTCGAAAGTAGTCTAAATGACTCTAAGTCACAGCTTCGGAGTCCATAATCGACCTAGTGCGCAGGCAGTAGCGTGCATGCATGATCTATACTAGTCTCTTACGAGGATGGGCGCGGGTCCTCTTCTTGCGTTTTCTTGTCAGTCTGCCATCTTCGTCTTCTCCGATCGGAATTTCGGAGTATGCCTTGGTGACTCCGATGACTTCTCGACTAATGACTCGAATCTTGAGTACTTCTGTCTTCATGGGAGGTGATGATGACAAGGATGATGAATCACTGACGCAAAACGCATGAGCACATTCTACTCACAGCACCATCCGCGGTCTTCCGGACACTGGGTCAGGAACACTACAGCAAAAGGCTGACTGAAGGACCCTGATCACAGCGAAGAACAGCCACGAAGCAGATTTTCCGGGCCTCCGATATGCCAATGATTCATGATCGATTCTGATTGTTCGGCTCTGAAACCCTGGAACGCGATGGAACGAACACATGGCGAAACCCGAAGAAAATGGAAATTACAAGAGTTTCTGGTAACGGGTGCGGTGGAGGCCACTCAGGCTGGCAATGGTTCCAAGTCAAGGAAATGAGGTTCCCCACTGTTCATTCCGCGCCGTTGGCAAACCAGAACGAAAAAAGAAAAAGTGGGAACGAGAGCAACGAAGCAGGAGAAGGTTCCAGCAGTGGTGTGGCCCTGTCTGTGGACTGCGGAGGCAGCGTAAATCATGGTCAATCACTATCTCTCCTCGGGTATGGGTGAATCCAATTAGCGCTTCTGGTGTTCGGGCAAGAAGGAAAAGAAATCGATGGGAGACATCGGATTGTGATTGTCGTTGTGGCGTAGATCGGAATTTCTGTACTGGAGACTCAGTAGCTTTCTTGATCCGTCATGATCATGTGCCCCTCCCCCAAAGAAGAATAGACTGAATGAAGCACTTTTCCCCATCCCAAAGTCAACTTAACGAATACACTTTGACCTGCACTGCCAGTGTCATTGCCGACGAGTGATTGGCGCCCCTTTCGCGAGTCAAATCATTGCTTAATGCAGGTACTACACACCTTGCTGCAGCTTCGACAATCCTAATTAGAAGTATGCAGCCCCGAGTACGGGGTACTGCCTGCGGGACACACTTGGTCGATCCTCCCTTTCAATCCGCATTCCTCAATCTTCATCAACGCTTTCGCCATCTCGAAACTCAATGTCGGTGTGATCAAGATCCGCTATCTCCAGCGGTGAAGATCAATATCAGTAATTCACACAAACCGAGAATTGTCTCCGCTCTATGGAATGGTACCCGCCCTTCCAGAAGTCCTTCCATTCCACGGTTCACCGCTCTTTAATTAGCAGGAAACGAAGGTCAGATTCTGGAGGGACAAGAAGTTTCCGCGTGGTTTCGACGAATTGATAGGGATCCATTTCGAACCCCCTCCCATCCACCTCCCGCTAATTGCGGGCTAAAAGGCCACTAATTATGATGAGAATCCCGCTAGTCACCAGGTTCCAACCGCCAAGCGCATCGTGGGTTTCGAATGCAACCGATGGTCCACTACGGCCGCCCTCTTCTTGCGCGCGTGCATGCGCTTGTATGTCCTGCACCAATGATGGGTTGGGTGGTTGATACCCTGGCGCAAGTACAGGTTGGGGGCAGCCCGATAGCAAGACAAGGTGCCGACTTGCCCACCTTTGTTGACGTCGAACTTCGGTAATTCCTGTTGTAACTTGTACAACCGTCACGAGTGGTATCCTCGATTGGGCTTTACTTCTCCATCCATTCCGCAGGCCCCATCAGAGCCGCAATGGAATGGAATTGAAAGAAATCCTCCGCTCCGCACTTCGTTAGGCGTTGGAATTGGCTCGTGACTACTCCGAGTCTGTTTAGTCTATCTCCCTGTAGGGCCCTTTTCTCCGATCTTGAAAGAAAACGGTGAGCCAAAATCGAAGGATCCGGCGCCACTTTTTCGTTGGGAAGAGAGAGAACGGGATTAATCGGGTCCATTCGGGGTCAGGTTTCGACAGGATTATCAGCAAGCTATTCTAAACGCTAAGCATGAACTCCTCTCGGCCGGCAATATGCCGACCAAAGTCTCGTTCATGCCTTGTTATCGGTCTCTCATCGCGACTATATCACGGCTCAGTATAGATGTCAAGGAAATTGCGACAACGGCTCTGTCCATTGAGACGTCAAGGTCAGATTCTTGGCATATGCAACAAGCCGGAAGCCTAATCAGCGCTACAAGCCCGCAGATGATCTGGCGTAGTGTCACTGAGTATTGTGCAACTCATTTCCGCCCAAAGCACCGCAAAACGCTATGTGTGGTGTGCTGAAACATTTTCGCTTATAGAGCAGGGCCGAATCAGGCAGCGATGAGCTTAGCGCACAGCTGAGTCGTACAGACCAGAAGAATCAGAGCTACCGCCCTGAGAACGTAGGTTGCACAGGAAGCCATCGTGGACAACGGTGGAAATGGTCTGATAACTCCACAGATTGCACGTAGCACTACCGTCACTGCTGCATAAACGGGTGCAAGGGTGTGTTTCAGGGTAGCCTCGAGGCTGCAGACCCAGGCACTGACGGATATTGTAAAGCTTGCCATAATGCCAGGTGGAAGTCATGATCATCCCACTCTGTCTAATTGAGGCCACAATCAGGGATTCCTGCAAGGCAGGGTTGCACATGCTACCCGCCCCCTGTAGTCATGCAAAGTCAAGATAGACAGATTGCGCGTTGGGTCTGCCGACCATCGGATCCGAGAGTCAAACGCAGGTCTTTCTGCATTGATGAGCCGTCTACCCCGCACATGTTCCCATCAGCTCTTTAGACTCAATCTTCAATCAGGTCACCTTGGGCTTGGGTCGAAATCCATTCTTCCATCAGATCTGAGGAACCAGGCATCAAGCCTACCCTGTCACTTTTACGCGTAACAAGCAGACACAGTACCCAGCCGTAAATGTTGAACCCCTCATAGTTCGTTCTGAACTGCAACTTCTTGTCCTCGGCCTTCTCTGCTTGTAGTACCGAGTCGTCATCCTTCCTCCGTTTAGAAGTGCGCTTGTCGTTCGGGGACTCGCTCCGCTCCTCCGTCGTCCGCGCCCGTTTCCCTCCCGCCTTGCCTTTCTCGTTTGCGCCTGCTTCGGGAATATCCTGCATCTGCAGGTCATTCTCCTCCTCACTTTCGCCCAGAATATGGCCTCCAGCGGTCCCAGCCACAGCTGACTGCGCGGATTCCTTGCTTGGACCCGAGTTCACATCATTTTCAAACTCCTTGTGCCGTGTCAACAGTGAGTGACGAGTCCGAGATTCGCGAAGGAACAGGGCAACTTCGAAATCATCTGCACCGATGGCATGATGTTAGCAAGTCTCATTTTGAACCCCGCTGAAGAGTGAATGTTCTTTCCATCGGACAATTCTGACAGATGATTCCATACCTTCTGCGATGACATCCTTGACTGGTTTGCCCTTCTTTCGGGCAAGCAGTCTCTCGTTTTCTTCGCGCAACTTGGGCAGGACCAAGGGTCGAATGGCGGCGAAAATTCGCTGCAGGACGGGGTCCCGGCTGTTAAGAAGCCATCGAATGTCGGAGGGATTTTCGAGATAAATCCGACACTCGAGCACGGTGTACTTGCTGATCCGGAGGTAGCGGCGAATCGGCGCCATGAGAGCTACGGTCGCGGTTCAAATGGGTCCACGGGTGCGGTTGTGGTGTCGGCGGAGGTAGTCTTCGTGACTTGGGTTTAGGGTATATTTGGTAGCTTCAGGTCGGTAGCTCCAATTGCGAGGACGGGTTGCCGGAATAGAAGGGGTTGAGTGAACGCGTATGTGTTGATGTCATGCGCAAGGAGAGGTGAAGATTGGCGGGGACCGTGACGTGATCCAATCCGGAGCTGCACGCTGCCAAGCGCACCCGGCAAGGGCGGAAGACTGGGCATTAATAGTATGATCTGATTGGTCGTTACCAGCGCGTAAACCATACACTCATGAAGTATTTTGCAGCATAAGAGTTGAAGTAATCTCTTTTCTTCGGGCTTACTCAGAAATTGCATTGGGTGATTGTGGTTTGGAGAAGTGATGTACCATTCAACGAGACCCAACGACCATTTCGTGCAATCAATTGACAATCGATGGTTATTTATGACAATGCCGCTGGAACTTCAGGTTGCTGAGCAGCTAGAATTCCAAAGTAAGATCAGATGCCGTCCCCTATTTTAGGTAAGACCGACACATGTCCAAGCTCTGTATATGAAGATATATATCAAGTTGTGGTTTCTCAAGCGCTTACTAATCGTCACCCACACCGACCCTCCAAGGTCAATGGGCTCTACGTTTTGTGTGAACATGCGACCAACCTCTACGAAGACATAGTATTGAAGTCATGTTTAGGAAGACTCCCACTCGACTCTGTAGACAGGTAGGTACCTTATGCATATAGCGAGTCGGGCATGATATCTAGCATATCAATGTACTAGCACGTGATAGACATACCCCGAACTTGGCCCGGACAAATCACAGTCCGGGAAAAAGGAGGGTCATCCTGTCCGCAAGGTCCTCAGTAGGCCGAGGATTTTGACGTCGCTTTCCTCCAAGGTCCCCATCCACTGCAACGCCGACCCGCACCTTTCCCGGAACAGAGTCGAATTCTTCATCGCCGCCACAATGGCTCTCCTCGACCATTTCCTCTGTCTGCCTGCTTGTTGCACCTGTATCACCTCAGGTGCTCCTCGTCGTCTATCGCCGCGAAGTGTTGGCTATTATTGTGTCGTTAGATCAATTCAATCGCTGCCTTAGTCAACTCCCTCGGGCTTTCACCCCACCGTGCTACCAAGGTCCCCATCGACAGGTGGCTCGTCAGTGTTAGTTTGACGTGGGCATCCTTGACTAGTCTCAACTCTCAAGGACCTTGGGGACAGTCGACGTGCTCGCTGGCAGCCGCACAACCGGATTTTGAGAATTCGAAGAGCGGGGATTGAAAGATAGACCACTTAATAAAGAACGCGGACCTTGCAGACGGACACTGGCAGCATTCTGACACCTTCACATTCCTCCTCCCACGTGCCGTTTGACGCTCTCCACAACCTCTGTCACACTCACCCCGCAATATCATTGGACTTCCTACGGTGTCACTGGCCTTTTAGCTGTCGATCGTGCCACTGAACCTTGTCCTTGAAGGCGGGCCCGTGCCACACAGCGACACTAGCACAGGCCCAAGGAAATTGAGGCGTGGGCGGATTTGAAAAGGACGGTCGAGTTGTGCGCACAAGCATGGACGCTCTTCATACTCTCGTCGCCAGAGACGATGGCTGCTCAACAGGCAACGACTACGACGGCCGGATCGGCCTGCGTATCTCCTCCATCTTCGTTATCTTTGTTGGCTCGTCGTTTGGCGCTATCTTCCCGGTCTTTGCGCGGAGATTCGGTAACACGAGATTCTCGAAATGGGCCTTTTTCGTTGCCAAGTACTTTGGTTCGGGTGTCATTATTGCCACGGCTTTCATCCATCTGTTAGCCCCAGCCGAAGAGGCACTGACGAACGATTGCCTAACGGGGCCGATTACCGAGTATTCCTGGACGGAAGCAATTGTGTTGATGACCATTGTGGTATTATTCTTCGTGGAGCTTATGGTCATGCGCTACGCCCGCTTCGGCCACGGCCACGCTCACGACTCGGACAGTGAAGACGACGACAGCCACCACGTGCATCACCACGCCGGTGCCGAGCAGCCAGTTCCTGTGTCGGAGGACTTCAAAGGCCACATGCCGGGCGAAGACCACCTCGGCCACTCGCGCGAACACCACGACGTCGAAGTGGGCAAGAACCATTCGCACCTCGAGGAGTACATGGCTCAACTGACATCCATCTTCATCCTGGAGTTCGGTATTATCTTCCACTCGGTGTTCATCGGGCTGACACTCGCGGTCACCGGCAGCGAGTTCGTGACTCTGTACGTCGTGATCGTCTTCCACCAGACATTTGAGGGCCTCGGTCTGGGGTCGCGGCTGGCGACGGTGCCGTGGCCTCGCTCCAAGCGCTGGACGCCGTATTTCCTGGGTCTGGGGTATGGCGTGTCCACCCCGATCGCCATCGCCATCGGCCTAGGGGTGCGCAACAGCTACTCGGACTCAGGCGCCACGACGCTGATCGTCAGCGGAGTGTTTGACGCGATCTCCGCGGGGATTCTGATATATACGGCTCTAGTGGAGCTGCTGGCGCACGAGTTCATGTTCAGCACCTCGATGCGCAAAGCACCGATCCACGTGGTGCTGTCGGCGTTTGGACTGTTGTGTCTGGGAGCGCTGCTGATGGCGCTGCTTGGAAAGTGGGCATAACGCCTGATTTGTTCTGTATATAGAGATACCTTAAAAGTTGTTTTATATGGTGCATACATAGAAATAAAGCTGGACTTTATACATGCAGTTTACCGGATTACCGTATCATTGTATAATTTAGGAAAACATGTCGATTGTCTGATCATTTCAACCTGGAATTTACTGTCTGACTGAAGACAACCCACTAAAGAAAATACTACTTACAGCAACCGAACTGGCACTTACTTACATAACTACCTTCTTACCCGGAGCCGTAGAGCATTACCCAGTGAGTAACGGCGGCCCCGAACCATCAAAGCTAGTCCCGCATCCGTCCCGGCCTCCGGCGCCAATTCCCCAACCCAGCTAACTACCTCCATAGGACAAACGTAACCCACAACTCCCCATCCTCCATCCTTACCATCAATCCACTTCATCCACATCTTGCCTCGAAACAAGCAACTCAAAATAACCCCAAAACAACACTTACCCCCCCCCTCCAAACCTAAATATACCCAAGCAAAGACAAAATGCGCTTCCCCTGGCTCACCCTCGCCGCCCTCACCGCGGTGACGGCGACCGCAGCAGCAGCAGACCTCGGCATCGAAACCACCCACCCGGTTGAATGCTCCCGCAAGACCCAGAACGGCGATACCGTGCACATGCACTACCGCGGCACGCTGGCGTCTGACGGCTCCGAGTTCGATGCCAGCTACAAGCGTGGGCAGCCGTTGACGTTTAAGTTGGGGGCTGGACGGGTTATTAAGGGGTGAGTTTCAACCTTTCTCTGGATTTAGGATTGCGCTTTGGGGGAGGGCTAGGAGGGGGAGGGGCTCGGTTTGGGTTGGTTTGAAGTGTGCTTGCTAACCCTTGCTATCGCTCGTCAGATGGGACCAAGGCCTCCTCGACATGTGCATCGGTGAGAAGCGGACATTGACGATTCCCCCGGAATATGGGTACGGGAGTCGCGGCGTGGGGCCGATCCCCGGCGGCGCGACGTTGATTTTCGAGACGGAGTTGGTGGGGATTGATGGGGTGAAGAAGGATGAACTGTAATCTCTTTTCTTACTCGAAGATGTGGGGTTGAATACGGTATGCTGGATTGGCTTTTGTTGGCTTTCTGGAAAAGGGGACTTGGAAGGATGTTTGACCCTCTTCTGGGTGGTCTGATTTTGGGCTGGATGAGTCTGCGGTGATTCTGGTTATTGGATTGTTGACAATGGGACCGGGCAATGTATATGGTTTATGTTTAAGAGGTACATAGTACAAGGTACTATTATTCAATATTTTGGGAAAGTCTAAGGTACTTAAGGTATTGACTATATTGGTACAGTACAAGGTGGACGGTGCAGATAATAGGATGAAAGGTAAGTGACTACTAGGTAATAACTAAACACCAATAAAATCCCACCAGCTCAAGTCTAGGGTATCAATCAACTCAATCCATCGCATCCAACACATTCGAATCATCACCCCCACTCTCCGTCTCCGCCACCAATATACCCACCAAACACTCCCCCAAGATCGCATCCCAGTTCACCCACGGATGGATCTCCATAAACAACTTCCCGGAGTCCTTGCCCACCCCGCGCAGTAGCTCCCCCTTCCCGCCCGGATGGAACGGCAGATACGGCGTGATGTTATACACCTTCCCCTGGTAGGACGTCCATGCGTCGGCTCCCTTACGGCCGTTCTGCGCCTTCAGCATCGACGGGGTCACCCGAATCAGTGTGGGCGGCAAGTTCGCCCCCCGCAGGTTGTTGTTCGGGTTCGCGGTCAGCGCCGCCCAGTCCAGCGGCGAGTACCCCGGCTGGAGAATGTGCTGCTTCTTTGATGAGGAGGACGGAGGCTTCGCGAGGAGTTTGGTCGGGGCGAGGGAGGAGGAGGAGCTGCTTGTGGGTGGTGCGCGCAGGGAGGAGGCGGCCGATGGCGGCGGCCGGAGGGCCCCCGCTGCCCCCGCGCCGGCGTTCGGGCGGGGAGGGTAGCGTCCTGCGGTCACGGAGGATGGGGATTGCTGCGGTTGTTGGGTGACTGTCGGACGGAGTCGGGGGAGGGGAGGCGGCGGCATGGAAGTGGTTTTGGCGGAGGAAGCTGCCGACGCGGTCCAGGATGGCGAGGAGGAGGAAGAGGGAGGGAGGATTTGTGGGACCGGGCGCGGGGGAGGAGGCATAAGGCTTCCATTGCTCTGGCTCGGTTTGGGATTGGGTTCGGCTGTTGGTGTTGCTCCTGTTGACAGAGGGGATAAGGGGTTCATCGGTCCATGGTTGCGGGTTTGCTCGTCGCGTGGAACGACTTTGGCTTCGGGCTCGTCCTCCAGGCGCAGGGAAGGGATCTCTAGAGAGGGAACGGTCGACGCAGACGCTTTAGGGGTGCTCTGATTGCTCTGGGAATCCTCCGTAGGGAGATCTGACTGAAGACGCTCTGCAGCGTCCTTGATGCTCTCAACGGAGGGAGGCCCCGCGGATGCCTTCTCTGGTGGCGGTTGAGGCTGAGGCGCCCACGTTGCAGGCGGATGTCGGTAAATCAGATAACATGCAGCCGCAATCAGCGTTGCGACTCCGACCCAGCCCATGCTAGGCAATCGTGACAATATGGTCAGCCGGGGGGGGGTGGGGGGACAACTGCGCAGACACAAAGGAATAAAATGCGGAGGAATGGCGAAAATGACGCCGAAACGCCGGCTATCGGCACGTGGTCCCTGCGGCCCCTGATCGCCGCCTGAGGAACCGATCCGCCGCCGCCGCCGCATCTCGCTCGACTACATCATTAATCATCGCTGTTTGATTCGTTACACCTACGAACGAACGAACGAACGAACGAATGAACGTATAGAGAGGAAAGTTGGTTGAGATCATAGCATTATTGATCACCTGCATACGTTGTCGCTGCGCATAAAGACACCATTTTGAGACACCACCGTTGCAAGTTTTGAAGACAACAGAAGCGTACGAAGGCAGCGACTCTTGGCTATCTAAAAGGCACAATGAGGACTCTCATCAATAAGTTTCTGAATAGAGGGAGAAAAGAGGATAAGGTCAACACTTAATCCCATCAGTTCAACTACCACCTCAACCAGGTTCCGAACTTGCCGGCGCCAAATACCACCACACCTGTATTGATGGGTTGGCCGCGTGTTGCTAAAGGAGCGAGACACCCAGTCTTGGAAGAATAGCTGTGAACCAACAGCTTCGTGCTACGATGAAAACTTAGATCCCCGAGTCTGGGCATTGTTTCGAAACGAACAGAGCCAGACAAATCAAGCGCATTGTCCGATGAATAGACAAAGCGGTCCGACCCTATTACCATGGTCGAGATGAACCAAGCCACTCTAGGGACCTACTGCCTACAATTTCAAGCTGCACGGACTGAAAATAGATACCATGGTATTGGATGTATGTACACTCGAAACAGAAGATAGAAGTTGGATGGTGTTCACCAATCAGTGAACCACACATGTTTGAAATCCCAACCCTGCCAACAGGAAACCATAAGGGGAATCTGAGAAAAAGGAAACAGAAATCAGAGGATTTAGGCGAAGTCGAGCTCGACAGTCAAACGGACAGCCTCCGCGTTGGAGTTGCCACCAATGCCATCAGCATCGGCAAGGCTGGCAGTGTAAGCGTTGATGACAGTGGCGAGGTTGTTACCGATGGTGGAGCACTCGGCACCGGTGTGATCGCAGATCTTCATACCCTGAACCTCCTGGCCAGCGTTTTGAGCCTGGATGGCAGATACGTCCCAGCCGGACCAGCCGTCGTTGCTGGTGTTACCGAAGTCAAACTCACCCCAGGTGCAGGAGTAACCGCCGTACTCATCAGTGGGGAGAGAGTCACCCTTGGCAGCACCCCAGCCACCCTGGGAGTCGGAGTCAAAAGCGACGTAGCGGGTCTCACCAGCCTTAATCTTGAAGTCCAGAGCCGAGTTGCCGTACCAGCCGTTCAGGCCACCGTCGGGACCGATCTTGTTCCAGAACTTGACGGTCCAGTCATCCGTCGAGCTGCCCTCGAAGCGGACGACGTACTGGTAAAGACAGGCCTTGTCCTCGCTGACCTCGATGATGTTGCTGCCCCAGGGGTTTCCGACGTTGCCGGTGTAGTAAATGGCATCGGTGGTGCGCTTGGCGTTGGACTTGGCACCGAAGCCAGAGCGAGAGTAGCTCGACGAGGTCGCAGACCAGGACTTGCAGGTGCCGTCGGCAGAAGAGACGACCGAGGCGGAGCTCGAAGAGGCAGCAGCGGTAGCAGAGGCAGCAGCGCTAACGACAGCGGTAGCAGAGGCAGCGACGTTAGCGCTCACCTCGACAGTGGCAGCAGCTTCAACGGTGGCGGCAACGGTGGCGGCAGCCTGGTTGGACTCGACGGTGGTCGTAGCAGAGCCAGACCAGTCGTTGACCCAGGACTCGAGGACACCGTCGATGACAGCGTAGACCTCGTCACCGACGTTGCGCTTCTCGTGGTGGTGGTGGCGGCGCTCATGGCCGTGCATGCGAGCAACAGAAGAACCAGCCGTCAAGGTGGTCAACAGGAGCAGGGAGTTCTTGATCTGCATTGCGAAGATCGATGATAGTAGACTTGATGTAGGTCTTTGCTACTTGGATATGAAAAGAGGAGCGGGAGGATGAGGAGGGTATCACTGATGTCTTAAGTTTGAATCAACAACAACAACAATCGAATCCAGGCACACAGGCAATTGAAAGAGTGATGGGGCAGTTCCAAGTGGATAAGGAGTGACAAGAGCAACACAAAATAATGGAGGCTCTCAACCTGAAACACGCAATCGACAAAGGAGTGTGGGATGCGAGCACCTGGGAAACGATGAGTGAGAAAGAAGAAAGGGAGAAGAAGGAGAGAAGGAGAAAGAGAGGGGGGAGGAGGAAGAATTAAATTCGAAAATGAAGACGAGCGAACATCGAGCCAGACCTTCAGCGTGCAATTGGGTGATGTTGGACCAGATGGAAGCAATTAAATGAAAAGGGGGGGCGGTTCCTGAACTAACGCTGTTCCTGGGCAGCCATTGGCGGTAAGCCCCACTACGACCGCGGTTCGAGGCTCGGATTTCCCTGGATTGGGCCTGTCGATCCGCTCGTATGATACTGGTTTACTTTACCGTGCCTGGTACCTTACATCTGGGGGTAAGTAGTTACGGAGTACCGCATGAGGATACATCTGAGAGTTGCTCAATCAACCATGCAAGGCCTGTACAGAGACAGAGCAGACACCTTTCTACATCGTGAGACCTCCACGATCCTGCTAACTATCTCTTGGACACGTCATAGATGAACTATCACACCGCGCTTTCACTCACACCCGTCATGGCGATTGATTAGATCTGGGGATGGCTTCCACCCACCTGAAGGAATGCTGCCCGATCTCAGGAATCCAGCCAGCAAGCCATCGCGCACTGCTTATCGATACGTCCATGCTGAAGATTCAAGAGTCACATTCTGCAGGTGCACTGCAGGTGCACTACATCTTCCTCATCGGCTCATCCCCTGCGATGCCCCATCTGCCCCTCACCTCTCTTCCTGCACTGCTGTAATCTCAATGGACCACGGCAAGCCCCACGAGGTTCACCGTTGGAAATCAGTCGGGCAACCAAGTGATGATGTCAATAACAACAATGTTATGGATACATCGCGGGGAAAGATTGATAGAGACGCCCATCGAGCAGGACTCATGGAATCCCAGAATACAGGAGGATTGGGTCACGGTGTATCCAGCTGACACATCCATCACCTATATACCACCTATTCAGTCCCATTGCAATCTGTTCATGCTCATTCAATATTCAACTACACAGTTGTTGGCATTTTCAAGCGAGTTGAGAGTCGGTGCGCCACGTCGTGTTGCTCCGTTGTGTTGCGGAGCCTACAGGGCGGGCTGTCTTTGTTACCGTTTGGTCGGTATTGTGACTGGCGTCAAGCTGCACACGAATGCCTTCAGGCCCAGGGCCCTTCAGGGACTTCAGGGTCTGTCGCCCCTTCCGTCCCTAGATGTCATCATTCAAGCCATCCGGCGCCAAAGGACCCTGGATAGCTCCCAAATCGAAATTGCCTGAAACGAGTTTTGCGGTGTGTGGCAGCTGCAGGAACAGCATCATGGCCAGCAGCGATGCAACAAACATAGGCAGAATATGACTTGAGCGCATCTTACCAGTACAAGGCTAACTGGCCATTGAAATTGAATTGGTCGAGCCCACTCACTGACCATGACTGAGTCCACCGCAATGTCAATCGCCACCAGCAAAGGTTGGCCCGTGAGAGTCTCGTGTACGAGACACCAATTTCAATGGTCGAAAACTCAGTTTATCCACCCTTTCTGTGTGACCGACGTCGGTCTGGATCAATTCTTCTTCCTACTGAATGAAAGTCCGTGCTTGCCGAGAATCTACAAAGGCCAGTAAATAAACAGTGATTCCTTGGGTGCTGGCAGATTGGGTGAGACGGAACCAGACTTGCCGAACTATGGATCAAATCCTCGGAACGGCGAGCCTTTTTTTTGTGGCGGTCTGAAAGTGACAGAATTGGAAGGTCTGCTAAAGTTGCCTTTTCCCCCCCTGATACCATGCTACACTTACTCCTTTTTGGACTTGGGGAACATCCAAATTTTTAGAGTGTTGCCTATCCGGTTTGAGATGATGCTATTCCTGTCAAGGAGAGCGACTCGTCAGCTTTTGTGCGATCTTCCCCCTCCATCCCGTGTCAGGTGACTCGGCGCTCGGAAGAACAAGGCACTGCCGGCTGCCGTCGGAAGACGAGCAACGTTTCCGCATGTTTACTGGGCTAGTTACAGTATCGTCTTTGCGTTCGAAATATGTCCAAGATATGTCAGCAATAGTCATCTCATGCTTATGTACAGTACTTATAGATACATCAACGCCACTAGTTAAACAAAATCTAGATACAGTAGTCGTGACAGGCATAGCTGAGAGGCGATAGTCTACTTCTGCAGCTCAACCCCGCCCTCAAAGGCAGCGCCTCCCGCTTCGGCGTCGACCTTCATGCTCTCGTCGAGCCCGCAGACACGGAAGAGCATTTGTGGAGTCATTTCCTTGCTCAAGCCTGGAATGCCATCCCTCTTTAGCTTTTCCATCGCCTCCTGCATCGCCTTATAAGCCGGACCGATTGCCGCGAAGGGGAAGATGATGATGCGGAATCCCATCTCCTTGGCCTCCTGCGCCGTGATGTCCGGGGTCGCTCCATGCTCGACCATGTTCAAGAGCAGTGGCCACCCGGCCAGATCCTGCACCACCTGTCGGGCCATTTCTTTGGAGGTAATGCCCTCGAGGAAGCCTACATCTGCCCCGGCGTCGCGCGCCGCCCGCAGTCGCGCCACACTCTCTTCGTAGCCGCGAACTTGCAGAGCATCGGTCCGTGCAATCACCACGATGTCGCTACCGATCCGCTGGCGGGCCTGCACGGCGGCGCGAATCCGCGTCACATAGGTATCCTGGTCCACGAGAATCTTGCCCCCGAGATGGCCGCAGCGTTTCGTCTGAACCTGATCCTCGATGTGGAAAGCGGCAACTCCGGAACGCGAGTATTGCTCGGTCGTGCGGGCGACCATGATGGGGCCGCCGTATCCCGTGTCTGCGTCGGCAATGACCGGCGTGGTGGGGCAAAGGTTGGAGATCATTTCGGCATTGGCGCGCATGTCGTTGAGGGTGCAAATGCCCAGATCCGCATGGCCGTGGACGGATGCGGCTGTACCGGCACCTGTCTACAGGTGTTTGTTAGCATAATCGGGCTGTTGCCGGACAGATTCGCGTTGCCACTTACCATATACAGGGCACTGAATCCCGCGCCGAGAGCAATACGGGCGGAGAATCCATCATACACACCGGGAGCGACGATGAAAGCTTCGGGGTTCGCAAGAGCCTGTCGCAAGCTGGTGGCTGCTGTTACCATAGGCATGATGAATGCTTGGTGGTTGTAGTATTGCAGTAGAAAGAAAGACGATGACGTCGGCACCTAAAGTTCCGTTTCAAACGGCGACGGTGCTGGCTTTATAGGGGGTTGATCCATTGCCCGGATGGCCATGTTGCCTCACCGATACTCGTCTCGAGCCACAATTATTCCCCTGGACCCATAATTCTTCACGGAAAACGTAGACTTCTAGAAAAAATGCCACAGCGGTTGAACCGACATCGGCGGGGTTAGGTAAGCCCTCGGCCAAGTCTCGGATTCCAAAATCAGAGGCGGAAGGCGAATTCTCGGCAGATACTACCAGTCAGCCCACGAAAAAAACAACTTCCAGGCGATCATGCAGCAGGTAGCGAAAGGTGTATATTCAAAGTATGCCAACCGTAGCTTCGGTTCGGGTCGGGCGGGGAATGTTGAAGACTTTCAGTCCATCCTCCAGACTCATGGCGAAATCATCTCCGGGCTGCTGAGCAGATGATGATAAGTTAGCGGTCTTTTTCTGCCGCAGTTCGACCCCAGCTCCGCTCCGCTTCTCTTCCTTTTCCTTCTCTTCGCCGCATGCAATTCGCCTCTACTTTCTCTTGGGCGCAAGAATGATCTGAAAGCACTTGTCTGTCTATATTGATAAAAACACCTTTTTCCCTCCATCCGAGTGCCTCTCGACAATCATCTCCATGGCCCGCTCCGCCATCGTGCAAGAGTACGCTCCTCCGACCTCCGCTCCCACGCTTTCCGTTGATCGCAAAGTCACCCAGGAACGCCAACAAAATGGCGTCACTCGACCCCAAGGTTACCGCGTCTCCTGGCATGCGAACCCCGCGGTTGAGCTGCACCACTTCGGTCAATCACATCCGATGAAGCCCTGGCGGCTCACCTTGACCAAACAGCTGGTGATGGCCTACGGCATGCACCATGCGATGGACCTATATCTGGCGCGCCGAGCCACGTACGAGGAGATGGAGGAGTTCCACACATCCGACTATCTCGACTTCCTCCGTCAAGTGAATCCGGGTGATATGGAGAACTCAGAACAGAGCGAGAACATTGCGCGCTTCAACTTTGGCGACGACTGCCCGATCTTCGACGGGCTGTACAATTACTGCTCGCTCTACGCTGGCGGCACCATTGACGCGGCCCGCAAACTGTGCAACAACCAGTCTGAGATTGCGATCAACTGGTCGGGCGGACTCCATCACGCAAAGAAATCCGAGGCCAGCGGGTTTTGCTATGTGAACGACATCGTGCTCGGGATTCTGCAGCTCCTCCGCCTCCATCCGCGCGTCATGTACATCGACATCGACGTCCACCACGGCGACGGCGTCGAGCAGGCGTTCTGGTCCACTGACCGAGTTTTGACTGTCTCTTTTCATAAATACGACAAGGACAACTTCTTCCCCGGCACCGGCGCGCTCGACAGCACGGGCCCGACCCACCCGCTCAACCCGGGGGCGCACCACTCGGTCAATGTTCCCCTCCACGACGGCATCGACGACGAGTCCTACATCCGGCTCTTCCGCGACGTGATTGGCTCGTGCGTGGACGTCTACCGGCCGGGGGCCATCGTGCTCCAGTGCGGCGCTGACTCGTTGGGCTGTGACCGGCTCGGCTGCTTCAACCTTAACGTCTCCGCGCACGGCGCCTGCGTCGCCTTCGTCAAGACTTTCGGGCTGCCGCTGCTGGTCGTCGGCGGCGGCGGCTACACGCCGCGCAACGTCTCCCGTGCCTGGGCCCACGAGACCTCGATCCTGCTCGACGCCCAGGACGTCATCGACCCCAACATTCCCGAGACCGTCACCTTCCGCAACCACTTCGGTCCGGACTTCTCGCTCTTCCCCCCGCTCTCTGAGATGCGCAAGCTCGAGAACAAGAATCCCCGGCCCTACCTGGCCGGCCTTCTGCAGTCCATCCGCGAGCAGCTACGCTACATCGAGGGCGCCCCCAGCGTGCAGATGAGCTTCATTCCCCCAGACATCCTCGGGCTCCGTGAGGATACCGAGAAGGAGATTGAGGAGGAAACGGCGTTGATGGAGGAGGAGCGCGAGGACCGTGCCGGCGGAGGCAGTCTGGGGAAAGCCAGTCGGCGGCGGGAGTTGGAACGGGCTGCGGGGCAACGCGGGGAGTTGTATTAGTTCTTGCCTGGATTGTTAAGTTTACACCTTTTTGTTTTTTTTTTCTTCTTCCCTGTGGTGCTTTTTTTTTTGGAGTTAACGGTGGAGTTTTGCGGTTGGGTTAAGGATAAAACGGCGTCTGTGGGGTTTCGATTACTGATTGGGGGCGGGTCAATTGGCCATAATACAGCATGTGTAGGGCAAATAGGTTGTGATATCCTGTTGTCGTGATGTCTTGTATGATAACCGTTTTGGTCGGAGTGGAGCTTGGAGGATTGACCTAACCTAGACTTGAGGGTGGAATTGATTCTTTCCATCTATGATTGACTATTACAAGCTATTGTGAAAAGCCGAATGAGGTAGTATGAGGGATAGTGTGTGAAGACTTTCAAAGGATATTAGGCAGATGGATCATGTCAACCATTTCCAGATTAAGAATATAAAAGCCCATGTCTCATTCAAACCAAGCTCTTAATCACCGCATCCGCCTTTTACTTCACTCCACTTACAACCACGCCAACGTCCACAAAGCCGGCAAATGCGGCCATTTTTCCTGCCACGCCGCCAAGATCTCAGGGACGCGCTCATCGAAATTCCGCCTCGCCTCACCGTGCCCATTCTCCCACCCTTCCATCCCCGAAGCAGCAGCAGCACCACCACCCGGCGCAGCAGCAGCAGTAGCAGCAGCGCGCCGCCGCTCCTGTCTCGCCGCCTCATTCAACCAATTCGCCAACTCCAGAATCGCCTTCCCGCCGACCAGGGCCTCCTCATGGTTATCCTTGATGTCGACATTGAAGACATGCACGGGGCGGTTGAGCGGGGCGCCCTTCGCCATGAGGTCGTCGACGACGGCGTCCCAGCAGCGCTCCTCGCAGGTGATAATGACATCGACGACGCCGCCCTCGGTGCCCAGCGCGCCCTTGTCGCCCTTGGCGACGTGGTCGACGCGTGGCACCCCCGGCACCCAGTCCTGGAACCGCTCCGGCCCCCATTTGAGGTTCCGGTTGCGGTCCAGCATGTTCAGCAGCCCGTTGTACCGGTACAGCCGCTCGTCCTTCGCCTGCAGCTCCTCGTACATCTGCGTGTAGCTCGTCGTGTTGAAGTGGTAGATGTTGGGCTGGTGCACTGTCGGCCCCGGTAGGCGCACCAGGGACCCCGTCCCGAAGGAGATTACCGGGAACGGGGAGGGGGTGGCGGTTGAGAGGCGGAGGTGCGCTTCCATTGAGCGGTTTTGGTTCGAGGCGCATACCGTGCAGAAGCGGAGTTTGTAGTTGTCCGTCTCGGTTTCGGGGGAGGTGGTGGTTGGGTTGGTGGGGGTTGCGGTGGTAGTGTCAGTGGAGGAGGTGGTAGAAGTCATGGTGGTAGTGGTGGTAGTGGTAGTATCCCCGCGCGGGCTGGGGTGCAACTCTGGTAGTGTGGTGCTCGAGGAGCGCATTGGTGCTTGTACGTCTTGCTGCACTTGTTGCACTGGTTGGTGTTGCTCCAGGGGTGGAGGAGGTGGGGGCGGTGGTGTGGCGGTCGACGCAGTGCCTGCACTGGTACTTGTGGAGGATACTAGTCGGGGGTCGTAGGCCATGATGGGCAGGCAGGAAAGTAGATGATAGAGAGATTGAAGGATAGGTAGGTAGGTGGAGGAAGAGATGTAGAGGTATCTTATGAGGGGCTAGCCTATCTGGTCCAAGTGGGTCCACGGGGGAATTTTTGCTTTTACGCGTGCTTGAGTCTTTCGAATTGCTGTTCTGCTCTCTGTACTGAGGATTATTATTGTTGTTGTTGTTGTTGTTGCTTCGTTCTGTCGGGCTGATCAGGGAGGCTGGAAGACGTTTTCACTAGAACCTTGTAGTAATGTCTACTGCTGGTTAGAATCTGACGGACAATCAAGATGATAACCAATGACAAGATAAAAAGCAGAATCAGATAAAAAAATGCGTATAAAAGGTTTGTCCGCATAATGTGCTCGGACAGCTCCAATAAAGATAAACTCATCATGCTGCTGCTGCGCAATGGTGGGCAATGAAAGGGGAAACAATGTCATAAACAAACTCAGGAAAGCATACCTCAAGATGGCCTCTCATTATTTGTGGCTCATTTACGCAAGAATCTACTGGTGCTGATAGCAGTCGCTGTGAAAAAACATCAAGGGCCGCAGCCCTGCAGAAATGCGAATGGAAGAAAGTTTGCCTGGACGGGGAGCTTTCGACGCGCCCGCTTTTGTGGTCATGTGCGCTGACTCAGCAAACTGATTGCCGCTAGCCGTTTCTGGACAGCTTCTCGGCCGTCCATTGTGTTGTTGATCTTCTCGCAGCATTAAGTTATTACATTACAAGCAGCACTTTGTGCACGCAACAATGCTATGCTGTCTGTCATCTTCGATAGTCAGTCCTTCATGCGGCCTGCTATGCGCCCTTTGATTTGACCAGTATACGTATATCGCCTGCAGCAAGGGATGCAAAAGACCCAGTCAAAAGTCGAGATACTGCTCCCCAAAACTCCCTTCTGGTCATCTGGCCCGCAGCTTTCTATGTCATGCTGCACCATCCCGAAGGAGCCTCTGGGGAGAAGATCACAGGGGCGAAATGATGGTGATGGAACCATGCGCTTAAGGGTTGACGACGGTGGCTCACATTCGAGAGACCTTCACGGCTAACGCCGACCGAGCCCAGCAGGGCCCTCCGAACCAGGGCTATAGAACGGTCGATTATAGACGTCAACGGGACAAAGCCCATACTACTCCTGCTATGAAGTTCAGATCTAAAACATCTTTGGACTGTCCTTGCAGTCACCCCCACCCCGCCAAGCCTGTCGCCCCTCTTGTTTACAGGGTGCAGCCAGCCAGCAGTAAAGCACAGCCAGCCGGAAGAGATGCAGAAACTCGCCCACAGGCGACGAGGCCGGGAGATCTCACGAAGATATCTGAGTACCCCGGACATGACCAGAGACCACAAGTGGATTAGCAGGACCCTCTTGGACCTGGAGGCAAAAGAGTATAAATTGTAGCCTTGAGGCAAGCAAGGCAGACGATCAACGTCATCCGAGGCACCACATCCGCCCCTCTCTCACTTAGACGAATTCATTTAAAGAGTGTAGATTCTTCACCGGTCCTTCCGACTGATCCACCAATCTCCCTGTTATCCCAGTCTTACATATACCCTCGAGACCGCTTCGTTTGACCTGATTGTGGTTGTGGCGCAGAAGCTCCCTCTACTCTAGCCGAATTGCTCCAATTTAAATTAAGTCGGCCGGTGCTTGAAACCAGACGAAAAAGGCTGTCAAGAACGAACACGAGCAGGAAAGAGGTAAAAGGGCCCCAACGTGACAATTTCGTGATAGTTCTTCACTGCCCGAGCTTTTGTCTTTTCCTTCTACTCTCTTGGCTGTCATCCTCCTTTTATAGCTCTCCTGTGGATAGGAGATACCAAAATACACATCTCGCCCCCAAACATGACAATCACCATCCCTCATATCCGACATCGTTCGTCGGTGGCTAGTCCTACCAGTAAGTATGAGCAGTAGTGGTGGTTGTGATTATTTTGTTGCTGCCGTGGCTTTGAACCCGGAGGTTTGAGATCCCCTCCTTCTCTGCCTCCCCACGTCATATTTTCTCCTCTTCCTCCTCCCCTCCTCCCATTCTCCTCCTCCACTGCTTCCTCTACTCCCCTTTTTTTCCAACCCCCCAAGTGCCACACTACTTTCCTTTCGACTTTACTGCTCCCGTGTACTGCCATTATGTCTGCTGACTGGGGGTCTTTCTTCCACTCAGGCAGCAGGTCATCCCATGAGGAGCCTAAGCCTGAAAATGTGAGCGGGGATGATGAGATTGTCGAGCCTGAGCAGGGCAACGGTAAGTATTGATCTGCTCCTCTCCCTGCGTCTGTGGATTCAGCAGACCTGGAATTTTCTGAAATAAGTTCCGTCCTCGCGGTGCTGACGGGCCTTGCTAGTCCTCTCCCACATCATCTCGCAGCTCCGACCGGGTGCTGATCTCAGCCGGGTTGTCCTGCCTACCTTCATCCTCGAGCCACGATCTATGTTGGAGCGCATCACAAAGTAGGTAGGAGCCATATCTGCCGCGAAACTCCGGTCGCTGACTTGTTCGTTCTTCAAATCAGTTTCATGGCACATCCCGAGACCCTGCTACCTATGCCCGATATCGATGACCCCCTCGAGCGTTTCGTCTCCGTGGTCAAGTTCTACCTGAGCGGATGGCACATCAAACCACCGTATGTCCTTCCACTCTGCACATCCTTTATTTCCAGCGCTGCCGGGCCCCGCTGACCTCTTCCGCAGCGGTGTGAAGAAGCCGCTGAACCCGATCCTGGGCGAGACCTACACCTGCTACTGGGACTATCCCGATGGAACCCGCGGATACTATATTTCAGAACAGACTTCACACCACCCTCCCAAGTCGAGCTACTTCTTCATGGCACCTGAACACCACATCCGCATTGACGGTACCCTCAAGCCCCGCAGCAAGTTCCTCGGTAACTCGGCCGCCAGTCTGATGGAAGGAATCGCAATCCTGCGCTTTATGAACCGTGGTCAAAATAAGGAGAAGGGCGAACGATAGTAGGTGATCCTTTAGAGTTTGGGGCGGGGCCAATCTTTCTAACGAATATCAGCATCTTGACGCAACCCAACATGTACGCTCGCGGCATTTTGTTTGGAAAGATGAAGTACGAGCTTGGCGACCACAGCTATGTGCGATGCCCAGAGAACAACTTTGTTGCCGATATCGAGTTCAAGACCAAGGGTTACTTCTCTGGTACCTACAACGCCATTGGTGGAACTATCAAGAACGAGAAGACGGGTGAGGTCTACTATGAGCTGTCCGGACTCTGGAACGGTGAGATGCACATTAAGGATGTGCATGTATGTTAATCCAACCCTGCCTCGCTTGAATTGTCATTCTAATGGAAGCAGACTCATAAGAAGGAGCTTCTCTTCGACGCGACCCACGCCAAGCACACTCCCCCCTTGACTCGCCCTCTTGAGCAACAAGGCGAGCGCGAGTCCCAACGGTTATGGCACAGCACCGTCAAGGCCATCATCGCCCGCAACCACGAGGCGGCCACGGAGGAGAAGACCAAGATCGAGGATCGTCAACGCGAGGAGGCAGCCAGGCGGGTGGACGAAAATGTCGAGTGGCACCCCCGACTCTTCCGCCGGGTGCAAGGCGGGCCCAACGGCCCCGACGAGGGCGAAGAAGACTTAGATTGGATCATCAACGCATATGTGTAAGTCGCCAGGCCTGTCGCATGTCCCGTCCGACTTGAACGAAGCTAATCGGCTCAGTGACGCGCATGACCCTGAACTTGCGGCCAAGCAGATTCTCGCTATCGCGCCCATTCTCGACGGTCAACCCGAATCTTCCGAATACCAGATTCCCCCGCACAAGTCGCAAGAGCCGGAGCCGGAGCTTGTGTCCACTGATGAGGCGAACGGCGAGGCGCTTGTTCCGGAACAGCCAAAGCCCCAGATTGTGGAAGCCGTCGAGCGCAAAGATTCGCGCACAAACGACATCGACTCCTACGTGGATGCAAAGGAGAACTGAGGGGCGAGTAGTTGTCAGCGATTCTGGTTGGAAGCTCACGAGCACTCGAGCATGGCTGATCGCAATGCAAAAGCCGCGCGCTCTCACGCACAGAAATTGGCAGCGAAAGAGAAGAGGAGGTGGTAGGGCAAGTCGGCTGTGTTGTGGATCTTGCTACCAAAGTACCTGCACAACAGCCTATACTTATGGTTTCAACACCGGCTTGCAGGACGAACTTACCCCTTCGGCGTCAAATCATACTGGATACCCGATTGAATTTTATAGTAAGGATCAGACATTTTTAAGAAAAGTTTTTTCAACAGGACAAGAGGGGTGGGGCAATGACTGAACGGAACATTAGGCATGGAAACAAAACAGTTTTCCTTGATGACTGTATGTGGATAAATACCATTGTTTCGCACACATCTGGGGTGATGGGAAGGGTGAAAGGAATGGAGCAGCGATTAGTTTTCACTTTCAGCCTTAACCATACATAGACTCTAGTTCACTGGACATGAATAATATAATAGTTTCGATATCACTGCCTGCATTCATGTAGCTAAGTGGTGAAGGAATGGTGTATCGTCGTGTTGTGTCACTTTGAAAATTGACTTCCACAAAATGCTCACAATAATAATCCAATCCAACCCTGGGTGCAATGCGCCCAAGCGCCATTCGTAGTACATATAATCCAAGCCTAGAAATGCAGAAGAAACCATCTAGCAAGCAACTTCCAAAGAAGAAACTTCCAAGCCCCGAGAGGTAAGTAAATCACAAACTTCGCCCCTCCACCTTCACCTTTACCTTCCTCTCCTCCTCTTCCCGTTTGGAAAGCTCCTTTACATTTCCCCTCTTCTTCTTCTCCTCCTCCTCCTCCTCCTCCGCCTCCCGCTTGTACAGCTCTTCCATCTTTTCTTTTCCCTTCCCCTCCCCTTGGCAAAGCTCCTCCCTCCGCCTCGTATACCACCTCTCCAAGCACGCCCGTCGCTCCTCCTGCGTCATCCCTTCAACCACCAGGGCGAAGTCCGTGGCATTAGCGAACCCAAATCCTCTCGCCATACTACAGAACTGCCGTTTCATGACCTCCTGCGGCGGGTGAAATCTGTAGCGGATGTGGTGGTGATATTGGGACTGGGATTGCGATTGCGGTTGCGAGTTGTTGCTGGTGGCAGCGATGAACACCTGCTTGTCGAGGGCGCGGTGGTCGTCGGCGGTGAGTTGGGCGCGGCGGCTGAGGCGTTCCTCGATTTTGGAGGAGCCGATGACTTCGTTGTTGAGGTGGGTGTATTCGACGCCGGCGTTGGCGAGGATGGCTTGGATCGGGTCGTGGCGGGTTGGGGTTTGGTTGGGGGTGGTTGCGTGATCGCTGTTGGGATCGACGTGGGTGTTTTTGTTGTCCGTCGTGGTGGTGGTGGTAGTTGCACGGGTCTCGCCGCGGATCATGGCGGCGAGTTTGTTCATGACGGCGTCGGTGGTGTCGTCTGCATTTTCCCGGGGGTGGGTGGTGGTGTCATCGAAAGCATCCGAGGCCGGCGGGGTCAGGTCGATGTCCATGACTTGGACGCCGGCTTTGCTTTCGGCGACGTTGGTCTTGTTGACGATCTCGCGGAGCACGATGTTGTCGGTGCGGTAGGCGAAGAGGTTGTCCATCCCGAAGATCTCGCCCTTCTTGTCCTTGTTCTCCTGGACGCCCTTGAAGTACCGCCGTTCCGAGCTGGCGTTGTACCCGATGTTGGCCTGCTGCTGCTTGTAGATCTGGCGCGCGTAGACGATCTCCTCGATGGTGCCCACCGAGATCAGGCGGAAGACCTCGACGTCGCGCGACTGGCCGATGCGATAGGCGCGGTCCTGCGCCTGCAGGTCGTGCGACGGGTTCCAGTTGGGGTCGACAATCACCACTTTGTTGGCCGAGGTGATGTTGAGGCCCACGCCGCCGGAGCGCGTGGAGATCAGGAAGACGAACTGCCGCGGGTCCGAGTTGAACTCGTCGACCACCTTCGTGCGGTCCTCGTAGCTCATCGAGCCGTCCAGATAGCTCACGTTGTAGCTGGTGTAATGGAAGAGCATCTGCAGCATCTTGAGGAGGCGCACGCTGTGGCTGAAGACAAGCACCTTGTCGCCGCTGGCGTGCCACCATTTCAGCAGCTGGCGCAGCACTTTCCACTTGCCGCAGAACTCTGGATTGGCAAAGTTGACAATCGAGTCGCGTGACCGGTAAAGTTTCTCCCACTGGTCGGGCACAGCCAGCTCGAGCATCTCCTTATCCTTCTCTTGTTTCTCTGCGGGGTCGCCGCCCTGCGGGATCAGGATCGCGAGATGGTTGCTGAGCTTTTGGAGCACAGCGATGGCCGGGAAAACATAGCTTTGCCATTTGATTCCAGAAGGGAGCAGCTGACGGCAACACCAGCCGGACTTCCTTCCGGAGCCGCAGTGGCAAGGGTCCGTGGACGTCTGGATGTAGGTGACGATGTCACTCCCCAAGATGTTCTCGTAGGCTTCCGCCTGAGTCTCAGTCAGTGGACAGAAGACGACCCGGTCGACTTTCTTCGGCAACTGGTCAGCGATCAAAGTCTTCATGCGACGGAGGAAGAACTGCGGCAGGAGGTTCTCCACCAGCTTCTTGGCCGTGGTGCGGGCCTTGCGAAGCTCGTAGACAGTGGCGTCGTGCGACTGTCCAAGCTTGAGAGGTTCTGATATCGTCTTCTTCCAGGTGGTGACAGGGCCCAGTTTGCCCGGGTTGCACCAATTCAGGAGCGTCCAAAGCTCCTCGTACTTGTTCTGGATCGCTGTCCCGGTGAGGCCAATGCGACAGAGCGCGTTGACCATGTTCATCGCTTTGGTCGTTTCCGACTTGCGCTCCTTGATGATATGGCACTCGTCCGCGATGACGCAGTCCCAATCCACCATGTTCACGGCATCCTTGTTGTGCAGATAGGTGCTATAAGTGGTGATCAGGATTTCAATCCGGCCTGACCTTGCCGCTTGGAGCGCGAGCTCCTTGTTGTCACCGTGGTAAGCATCGACCGACCACCAACCCCAGCGGGCAAGCTCCGACATCCAATTCCTGATCAACGTCCCCGGACAAACGACAAGAGTGCGCGGATACCAACAGTTCTGCCCACTGCGGCGCATTTTCCTCATGCGCTTCGCGTCTCGTTCGTCGCCTGTTTTCCCATACGCTGCCGTAAGAAACGCAATGACCTGCACGGTCTTTCCCAGACCCATGTCATCCCCCAGAATCCCGCCCTTCTGATACACGAACAATTCATGTAGAAAGGCGGCCCCGTCCACCTGATACTGGCGCAGCCACTGCGCAATCGGGGCGGGAATCAGCCCCAGAGAGTAGGGCAGCGTGATATCCGCATACTGGTTGCACGGTCTCAGGTGCTCAAAGCGCGGCTTTTCGTGCAGGAATTCCAGCCGCTCGTCGTCCGAGAATTCGATCTCGTCGTAGTTGGGCGGCAGCTTCAGCCCCGACGCCTTGAGATGTTCCGCCCGGCGGTCGAACTGTTGCCGACGCCTCTGCAAGTAGTCCGGGAGGGTGTATTCCATCAGCTCATCTTCGGAAGAATATACCGCGCCATCTTCTCTCACGGGCCGCCTTGGCTGGGTCTTTGCGTTCTGTTTGGGGAGTCGGCCGACGAAGGTGTTGGTGGGGGTTTCGAGCTTGAGAGGCTTTTTGGCCCTGCTCTTCTGCGCACTTGTGGGCTGCCGCTTACGCTTGAGGGACTTCCGGTTCTTGAACTCTTCGTAGGCGGCCGCGCCCTCGTTGAAGGATGCATCGTTGCTATCGCTGTCACTAGCGAGATTTACGACGGGCGTTAGGATTTCAGGAGGCGAGGATGGCTGCTTGATCGAAGTCCGGGTGTTCGCCGGTGGACGGGAGGGATACACGCTTGGGGTAGAGACATGGCCTATAGTTCAGAGTTGAGACAGATGCCAGCGGCATTCCGACCAATTTGCGGGGACTTACGAGGGGAGACAGGCCCTGCAGAGGGGGCCGGGGTGTCGAGGTCGTCGTCATCGGTACCGACTGTAGTGGCATCTGAGTCCCCTAACTCCCAGCCTGAGCCCATATTGAGGCCGACTGGCGGGTTGTGTGAGCTGTTGGCGACATGAAAGTGAGGGATGGCGGAGGGTGGATGGAGGAGATGCGGAGAGACGCGACTCGATGAGAGGCAGTCTTCCCGATAGGGCAACAAGCTGATCAAAATCCAGATTAATTCGGCGCCGAAAAGTCAACCTCCGCAACTGCATTTGGTCCATTTCTCCCCCTCCAATACCCCTGCGCACCCTTCAATCTCACTCTTTCGGACACTCTTTCTTGCAAGAGTCGGACTGCTGCACAAGTCGCGTTCAATTCTGTCTTCATTTTCCCGTACGTGCTGCCACAAAAGTCGGATTTCACGTGGTGCGGGGAGCAAAATCGGATTCCTTGACCGCATTCCATCCTCTCCGCTGCGGCAACCCAGCAGAAAGAATTGCAGCATTCAGCGCACATTACCATCCAAGATGCCTCTCGATACCTCTACAACATACCCTCTCACCAAGCTACGCCTGGATGGCCGTCGCTGGAACGAGCTGCGGCTCCTGCAGGCGCAGATCTCTACCAACCCCGCCAGTTCCGGCTCTTCATATCTCGCCATGGGCAACACGGCCATCATCTGCTCGGTCCATGGACCAGCGGAGGGACGTCGAGGCGATGCGACAGGCGGATCTGCGGGCTCTGCCGGGGCGATCGTGGAGGTGGATGTGAACGTTGCAGGGTTTGCGGGAGTGGACCGTAAACGCAGGGCAGGTGGCAGTGACAAGTACGGATGACATCTCCGGCATACAGCAGGGAGGCGCTTTTCTTTCCGTCCGCGACATGCTAACATTTGCTCCTCTTTTTGTCTTTTTGCGCAGGCAATCTTCTCGCATCGGCACCATACTACGCTCCGCTTTCCAGTCGCACCTCCACACCTACCTCTACCCGCACAGCACGATCAGCATCCACGTTTCCGTCCTGTCGGCGGACGGCTCTCTCCTGGCGGCGGCCGTCAATGCATGTACCCTGGCGCTCGTGGATGCCGGAATCCCCATGCCGGGCCTCCTGTGTGCGTGCACGGCAGGCATGAGCGGCAGTGCTTCGACGCCCCGCGACCCCAACAACGACGAGCTGGATCCGCTGCTGGACCTGTCCCTGCCGGAGGAGCAGGAGTTGCCGTTCCTCACGGTGGGCACTACGACGACTGTGCCGGTGGGCGAGGCGGCAATGATCAACGATGACGAGGACGAGATGAAGGTGTCGATGTTGACGATGGACTCCAAGGTGCACTGCACGTATGTGGAGACCATGCTGGCGGTGGGCATTGACGGGTGCAAGCAAATTCGGGAGATCCTGGAGGGGGTGATCAAGAAGTCTGCTCGTCGGTGATTGTTCTTGTCGAGTCGTCAGTGATTGGTTTAATTGATAAGCATGGCAGGCGAAATTTTGTATATACCCCGTGAATGAACGCCTGGGCTGAGGGTCGTCTAATCTGCTTGTGATTTAATTAACCCCTTTCTTTTGCATGCGAAATATCTCCTAGATCTTGGGACGGGCTACGGAGTACTCTCTCTACTCTAGTTGACAAGCTACCTAGTCAGCCAGGCGTGCATACTATGCTCATTTCTGCGCGCACTTCCCCCTAAACATTGATCTGATATCGAGCCGCATCACTCATATTCATATCGAACAACCCATGACTCCCTTAGGCGAACCACGGACTTCATGCTCACATCCCACAGCCATGGCCATGTTCATGTCCATATCCATGGGCTCATCAAGCTGCAATCTCCTCTCCCATTCATCTCCACCGTCGTATCAACCCCAACTTGCCCTCAAAGGCTTCCTCCCCTCAACCTGGCTGGCGCATCTGCTGTATAGTGCATCAAGTAAATATACGCCCCAAAACATGTTACACTACTATTCCAGCATTATACCAGCATCTACCAAGACTGAGTAACAGCACTATACCACTACAACAGCAATACTATACCACCACTTCACTTTACCACTAAAACAGCACGCAGGAATAACCAGCATATATGCACAACACAATGCAAGCATAATTCAACCGGCAGTGCAGCCCGTGTTGTAAGTAGTCGGAACCGGCGAACCAGCCTCCGGTGACTACCCCGCCATCCAAGCGGGGTCGACTCGGGTTTTTTCGCCACGACTCGCGGATGACGAGTTGTCTGATTCCATCATGGCGTAACATCCCCCACCTTCAGCAGCTCAGGGAACTACAAACTAGGTTTGATACACTTACTCTTATGTAGAACATCTACCAGTAGCATATCGAGTTCAATATGAACACTCTTAGCTTACAGCACACCATTAAGGAGTAAAATGACGAGATACTAGTATCGAGAGAGTAGAGAGAAAAGAAACAGAAAGAGTCCTATTTGTCCACCTTCGTTCCTTGCGTCATCCCCCTAACACAAGTTTTCGCTCTTTAAATTGGCTAAAAAAAAAAAACTGCTTACAGCTCACCGCAGGCAACGATCTTAGGCTTGATGTTGGAGCGGACAGCACCGGAGCTGCTGCCGAGAGCCTCGACCTCCTTGACGACCTTCATGGACTCCTCATCGGCAACCTCGCCGAAGACGACGTGCTTGCCATCAAGCCAAGAGGTGACAACGGTGGTGATGAAGAACTGGGAGCCGTTGCTGTTGGATGGAGATTAGCCGCGGTTACTTGTCGGTTTGAACATGCCCAAGTAAAACTTACGTGTTGGGACCAGCGTTGGCCATGGAGAGGATACCGGGCTTGGTGTGCTTGTGGATGAAGTTCTCATCGGCGAACTTCTCACCGTAGATGGAGCGACCACCGGTACCCTAGAGATGATTGTGTTAGTCAAGAGCCTCGTCACAAGCGGTCAAAAGGAACTTACGTTGTGGCGGGTGAAGTCACCACCCTGGAGCATGAACTGGGGGATGATACGGTGGAAGGTAGAGCCCAGGTAACCCTGACCCTCAGGAGCCTTGCAGAGCTCACGGAAGTTGCGGGCAGTCTTGGGGACGTCCTTCTCGTAGAGGTTGAAGACGACCCGGCCGGTCTTGGCTGGAGAGTCGAAAAAGGCATGTCAGTTTGAAATTCCTTTGCCATTGAAGTAGTGAATCCAGAGAGGAAGATTGCAGCAGATCACAACCTGCTGTCGACCCATCAACGAACACAGAAGATGGTAACCGAAGGATACTCTTCTCTTCTTTTCTATGTCCCGCTGTTCCTCTCACCAGGCAGCAGCAGCAGCAGCGGCAGCAGCAGCAGCAGCAGTTGAGGCAAAAATCAAAAACCAGGAGAATGATGACTTACGGGCGCTGGAGCCCACAGGGGCGTACTGGATGTCGAAGTAGGCCTTGGTGTTTCCGGACATGGCTGCGGATGATTGATGGAAAGAACGAAGAGAGAGGAAAGAAGGGGAGTTGCAATTGGGGATGGAGAAGAGGGGACGAGAAGCGAAGGACGAGCAAGGTGGGGTTATTGTTGACCTCAGGCTTCGGGAGAACATTGTTGCTGGAGGGGCAATCCGCACTATACCGCTTCGGGGTCAGCTCGGTTGGTGTCGTGCATTTGGTTGCATCTTCCGTCCGTCCACAACCACCACCTGTGCAGGTTTGCCGCTTGGTCATTCGTGGAGCCTCAGGCTGCCAACAGCACTACTGGAGTCCCCCGGGGCTGGGCGAGACTGGGAGCTGCTGCGCTGGTCAGCAGCCCCCAACCTTCTTCCATCCCCTTCCATGGCGAGGCGTGCCTTCTCACCCTCATCAAATCGCACGGTTTGATAGCTTCCATCTCGCTCAGGCAGCCACTCACCAACCAACAGCCCATCTCAATGAACCAGGGGAGAGGTGTACTTACAAGAATTCAGATTACAGGACGATTAAGGATGGTGCAATGGCTGCTGGCGTGGAGAGGAAAGGGAAATCAAGCTCAAGGGAAAGATACCGGACCGGCGAAGAAATTATTCCACTCTGACCAAAAGAGTATGGCGCTCGATTAAGTAATGCAAGCTTAGCTCCAGCTCTCCAACCCCCAACCGCCAACCTCTGGGTTGACGCACCCGGGAGTCCTCGGGATACACATCATCCACGTGACCGGCCGCCTTGACTACATCACATAGCTAGTTGTACATACACAGCAACCCATGGCGTACTCGAAAGAAACCCATTCCTGTTATCAAAATGTTTTTTGGGAAGGATATAAACGTGTTAAGTGTTGTTCAACTCTAGGAGTACAAGTCTAGCCAGAAGACTTAGAAGACTGATGTAGTATCTCCAAAGATCAGCCTTCTTATGCATGATGCAGCAGAGGATCAACAAGGCCGTAGCAGGCGAACAGAAGATGAAAAAAGGAAAAGGAAACATCGCTAATAGAGGAAAGTAGTATGGCACAGAAGTAAGAAAAAAGGTAGTTCGTCGAAGGGAAGCTGGTCCCCGCAACCAAGAAAATGAAGAATAGTCATAACCTCCTCCAGGTATCAACGTCTCATTCCGCATGGTTACTCATTGTCATGCACAATATATGCAGAAAGACACTGCCATCAGTAGCAGTGCAAATATAATCATCTCTCGGGTGACGGCGAAAGATGAACAGAAGTGGTGGAGAAAATATGTAGGAGAAGTGAAAAAAAAAAAAGATACAAAATGCCTTGTCATCAACATTGTAGGGTAGTGAAAGGAATTGTCGCACTAAGAGAACGAGATCTGAACTGGATCAACTCATCCTCCTCGCCCGACTACCGAAAGTCGTCTTCCTCCTCATCCAGGTCATGAGGGTCTAACCGGTGGACAAGCTCTTTGGTCTCCCGAGCAATCTCGAATGCGATGGGCGGAAGCTTGTTGGTAATTGCGCGCAGCTCGGTGAGATCAGACACCTCTTCACCCTCAGCTGCGGTTCTCGTCAACCGGTCCCGGTGATGTTGCAAGGTTTCGATGATGGGGCTGGCACGTTCCCGCACGGCGAGATTCACTTCAGGACTATTGATATAGTGCTGCGTGGATGACGTGACCTGCGATACAACAGAGGAGATGGCAGAAATATGGGTGCTGATAGTGTTGAGAGCTTGTTCAGCACGAATGCTAGCAACAAGAGCCTGGATCGACTGGACAAGTCCGTCCGTTTGGTCCTCGAGATAGTACTATATTTCAGGTTAGAACCAGGTTTACGCAATCGTAACGGATGGACTGACCTTGAGTTCATGAAGCTCGTGATCCGCGGACTGGACAGGATACATCGTGTGCATTCCCGCATTCATTCCAGGCGAGGTGAGATCGTGCTCGGCAGGAGGACTCATGGCGCTGTAAATGGAGTCGTTGCGGCTGAGCCGGCCCTGGCTCGGCGCCACACTGAAGTAGTGAGGGGACTTCATCTGGGCGACTTGTGCTTCGTCGTCCCCCGCGTCGTTCAACTCGTCTGCTGGAGTAGGGCGAATCTTCACAATGCGGATAAGCCCAATGACCGCAGAAGACAGGTGCGAAGCAGCAGCATCCAGCAGAGAAAGTGGAGAGAGTCCCGCAGAGCTAGCAAAGTTCTTGGTCGCAGTAATCATGTTGTTTGCTGTAGCAGATACCTTGCGCGTGGCCTTGGTACTCAGCGCTGAAAGCTCCTCGTTGCTATCTTTACGCAAGTCCACATCATGCAAGATATGGCGGACCGCAACAACGACTGCTTTGATCTGTTGCATGACCAGCTGGCAATTGTCCTCCCGCGCAATACGCAGCAGTTCGTCGATGGAGATCTGAAACTTGGTCACATGCACGTCCATAATGACGCCCGTCTCGTGAGTGAACTCGTTCTCTTGGGCTACGCTCGCGGCATCTGGTCGCAAGTCCGAGATGCCAATGGATGAGGTGCGCTGTCTGAGCTGAGTCTTCGCTTTGGCGTACCGTGCCTTCCATTGCTTGACCTCCTCTTCCAGTCGATGGACCTCCGTCGTCAGCCGCTCTTCCTGCTCCCATTTGGTATGGCTCTGTTCTGACAAAGCCCTCATCTCGACCAGGAACCCTGCTGCCTCCCTCCGGACCTCTTCGGTCACCTTTTGTTGTTCTAGCAGCTCCGTCTGCAAGCTTTGATGCTTGATTTCAAGGTTGCTGAATTTGGCCTGCAGCTCAGCATCACCCGTGCTCTGCCGCGAGACCTGGTCAATCTGACTGCGTAATTCCATCTCCATAGCCTGCTGTTCAGTCCGGACTTTCTCGAGTTCCTGCTGAAGGGAGTTGTTCAGGTCTTCGGCCTGCGTGATCTTGCTCTCCAGCTCCGTTTTCACATCCTCCCACTCTTGACGCTCCGTGAGACTGATCTGTTCCGCCTTATTAGTTAAGTCTCGCTGCACAACGCCCTGAAAAGTAACCTACCTGCGATTTATCCTGTTCTTCCTGATACTTCGAAAGCTCCGCATCTTTCGACTTGACCAACTCCTCGAGCATGCCCACTTTGCTCTCATCTTCTTGGTAATGTGAGATTTCCTGATCTCTCAGCTTGAGAAGTTCCTCAAGCTTTGTGACCTTTTCCTGGAGGAAGGAGACCTGCGACTGTGTTTCTGCGAGCATTTTCCGGTCCCCATCACCTAGAGTCGTTCCCGTCCCACGCCTGCTGTTAAGCACCACATCCAAAGCGAACGCATCACTGCGCGCATCGTAGTCATCCTCCGTACCCGCTGCGTCATCGTCATCCTCCACCATGGTACTTTTATTAGGAACGATCGTATTGCTCTGGAACGACTTCGCCGTCGGACCATCTCCGTTCATGCCCGGCGGGGGGCCGCCTAAGGAACCCTGGCGCGGAGGGTAACGCATAGGACTGGCAGGCGGCATTCCTCCTGGCGGATAACGCGGCGGTCCCCGATTCTGCGAATTGCGGCCCCCTGGGCCTGGCGGCGGGAACCCATTGGGCGGGAAGCCGGTGGGAGTAGGAGGAGGGCGGCCGCGGAAGCTCGGGGCGGGACTGACAGCCCGACTGGCATCTCGGGCTGGGAATTGTGGGAACCGGCGCTCCAACTCGGTGTACACGTCCGTCGCAAGATCCCGGAACCGTTGGTGTTGCAGCGAGGCCAATTTCTTCCGTGCCTGGTTGCGCTTTTCGTGGAACTCTTTTCGCGGAGGGAGGAATGGAGGAACATCGGGACGTGGGGGTCGGGCGGGCGATGGCATCGCCTGCTGCCGTCGGAGCAGTTCATCGTAGACATCGGTACTCAGCTCGTGGAACTGAGTGGGCGAGAGTCGCAAGAGCTTGTCCCGGGCCTTGTTCGACTTGCTATTCAGACGATCCTCCCGGTACGGGCCCTGGAGAAACCGGCGCAGCGCGACGTAGTGCTGACCCAAGATCTCCTCCAGTCGCTTCTGACGTTTGGCGCGGTCGGGCAAGGTTCCATCGCTCGATCGCGCAGCCACTGAGCTCGGCGGAGACGGGTTGCCAGCATCGCTCACTGGACCCGGGGCGCCATTGGGGATTCCCTCCAGAGTGGACGACCCGCTGGGGACACCTGATGTTGGGGGAGTCGCGAGGTTGCTGCGTGTCGAGTGAGTCGGGGAAAAGGGCGGGTCGGTCTTGTTGTATTGGTTAATCCCGGACCAGTCACTCCCATCCACGGAGACAGGCGACATGGTCCCTGAGGGGCCGTTCATAGGTAAGAGTGGTGTTTGGTTACTGAGGCGGCTCCAGCAGACCGGGGTGGTAACTATGCATGCGAGGAAGTGCGACGGGCGGAAGCGGCACCCAGGCCATCGACCAGGCTTCGATGAGAGGTATAGAAGAGAATAGAGTGAGGGTTATGGGAATGGAGAGATTGTCGCTTATGGCGATATCAGAAACAAGAGCCTATGGCAGACTCTTGTCTTGTCAAGCTTGAAGGGGGATTATTCGAAAGAGTTCCGAAGAGCGACAAAAGGAGAGTCAAAGGCAAGCCGGTAGTTACGGGGGGTGGGAAGTGGGAAGGAAAGTAGTTTCTCAGCCGACTCGGCACGGACACCAATAACGGAGAAGAGACAGGCCAGCGAGATGAAGTAAACAGGTCGGATAGGGATCAGATTAAAGCCGGGCAAATTCAAGCCACCGGGGGGGGAAAAAAAAGAAAAAAAAGAAAAGGAAGAGAAAAGAAAAGCAGTAGCCACCAGGAAGGAGGAGCCTTGGAAAGTACTCCGTACTAGCATGGAGCAAAGAGGAAGAATAACAAGAGCGCAAGAGAGTCTGGCCGGAAGGTCAGGTACTGAAAGGAAAAGGAAAGGAAAAGCTGCCAGCCGCGGGATAATTTACCAATACGACTAAAAGGGGTATGGTATGGTATACTACCAAGGTCAAGGATGTTTGCCTGGTACGGAGTACGCTGCACTTTCAACTGTTGAGATTCAGTGTTTCTACCTCTACGGAGTCTACGGAGTCTACGGAGTAGTACTATCAGAGCTATAAAGCCCAGACAGCAGACACAATGCCTCTCCTGCCCCGATGAGCAGCAATGATGCGGAGTAGCTGCTCGACTGTCTCGGATTGAGCCCCCGATAGACACCCGCCAGGCTGATAAGAGCCAACGAACAGGTAGCCAGGCAGAGAATCTACTTCATCGGCGTCAACACGATCATCTCCCATCCAGATCATAATGAGTACATACCCTTTCATCGAACTAAAAAAAGAACAAGCGACTCAATCATCACCATCATCTCGACCATTGGTTACCATACGATACAGTATCCTCAGGAACAAAAGCTCTAAAATTCGACTCCACCGGGAAGAGTGTGGCGGTGGCTGCTGCCAACACCACCTGCCGAACAAGCATTGACTGCATATCACAACTGAACGTATGAAGTTATGCATCGGGATACTTACTTCATCCACTCATGCAGACGGAAATAACCCATTTCCCGCCGCCTCTCCCTTTCCCAGTCTTCCTCCTCCTTCCCCGGACATCCCTAGGGTGAATGTACTGGTACCTTCAACAAAAACAACAGATGAAACGCATGGAAATGGAAACACCAAGTATAAGTCAGGTATCTAGTCAGAAAGAAAGAATCAACATCCTAGCTGGCCAGCCTCCCCGAATGAACCTCACTTCATATTCCCAGGCCCAGAGAAGGGGGTATCACCCGCCCAGCAGAGTCGAGACTGAGTTACAGTACATACCAGTTCACCAGTAGCGACTCGGCTACACCCAAAGCTACTAGTTCAGGAGGCCGAAAAATCGGTGGATACAACAGTATGGATGGCTCTGGTGAAATTGCGCCCGCGCACGTTCGAGTTCGGAATTGGGGTCCAGAACCATGCCGCCGTCAACTGGGACGCTCTGATCGGCCTGAGTCTTTTCTATTTTCTTCCTGGGCTACCATCGTCGGAGTTATGGCTCCTGGACAAATTAGGTTTGAGGCTATTGCTCGGGACTGTGATTGTGGGGATTTTGGTCCATTACACTGTGTTGGAGTACGCTTCTCACCCCCCTAAGCTTACGGAGTAGGCTACAGCCTACAGCCCTTCTCAGGGGCGGAAGAGCAGGGCTAGAAGATTCTGCTTCGGACTAGTTTGAATATGTAATAGAGTACAGTCTAAGTTATACAACTCTGTATGGCGTAATGTTTGAGAATCACACACACAGTGGTTTAATTGTTGAATGTTCATATTCTAGTATGCAGTCCCGCCTGGAGATGGAAGAAGTGCTAGCGTAGCTAGAATAGACAAGGGACTAAACTGCATTCCGAACCGAGTCAATAAACTATAAGCATGAGATCGCGACAGCGTTCAACGAAATGGAGGAATTGAGATGCCCACTGTGATGGTCGAAAAGGGAACACTGAATTTTTGCACGGTCAAGAATGAAGTCCTTAAGCGTGACGGCACTGTGATCATGTCCTTTGGTGTTGCGGGTTAGTATGTATCATATTACACGAGGACGGCGAGGCACAAGTTGTGGCTTAAGACAAGGAAGCCTATAAGCCTCGCCGTCCCTATCACATCAAACAATGCTGACTCGCGCGGACGCCGCGCCGGCTGCTCCGAGTGATTCAAAAGCCGCTGCGCGGGAGACCCTATCCCTTTATCACCAGGATCTGTCAGACCTTGTTTGTGACTGCCGCGTTTGAGGGCAGTGGCGAACCAAAGGACTTTCCGATGCACCCCGCTGTGGCAGGTCGATCTCGAGCTCCCACGCGCAGTTCGTTGGCGAGGGCAGAGATGATGTCGCTTTTCATGGAAGTGAAGATGATTGATCTTGCTTAACTTACAACATCCCCCCGCACCAACTTCCTCAGGATGTTGGATGTGGCCACGGGGACTAGTGAATGTACAGGCAAATAGCAAAGGTGGCATTCCAGGTCATCATATTGCGATTACTCTCAAGTAGCTGTATAGGTGGCTACCATACATGCGAATGAACTCATCATCGCTTTTCTTCTTCCCGTCTATCAATAGACCTGCTCTTCATAACCAGGTACATTCCTCCTACTCATTAAGAAACCGACAAGGATGCAGAAATGCCTGGATCAACTACCAGTGCGTATGCAGGGAGTAAATGTACAGTCGTTAAAAGGCCCGTCAGCGTGAGGAGAAGATGGCCAGAATTATCCCACCTGAATCATGGGCCAGATAGCCAGAACGGTATCGTGTTCAGAGGAAGACGGGCAGAACGGTGTCTCCGGAGAGTGTGGATCAAAAGGAACTGCTCAACAGCAGAAAGAGGGGGACATGGATTCATTAGGCGATCGAGCGCACTCAGACTTCACTTCGACGAGGTCATGATGAGGCCCCGGGTGGCACCGACGGCAGCAGAAACAGGCGTGGCAGAGCGGGTGGGAGCAGCGCTGCGGTTGTGCGCCATGTGCGCCCGGACAAGGTGGCCGGCAGCCAGGGCAGAACACAAGCTCAGCTCTCCAGCAAGCACGGCCGCGCCAACAATGCGCGCCAGCTGGCGAGCGTTGTCACCGGGGTTGGTCGGGTGAGACCCACGCACACCGAGGAGATCGAGCATGGCGGACTGCCCCTCAAGGATGGTGCCACCTCCAATGGTTCCGACTTCGATGGAAGGCATCGAGACGGCGATCTGGAGGTTTCCGTTGAGACTGCGCCAAGTTAGAAACATAAATCACGGAGATAGGCGGCGCTGAACTTACTTTCTCATGGTAGTAATGCAGCTGCTGCTCTCCACGTTTTGAGCAGGATCTTGACCGGTAGCGAGGAATATCGCAGTGACAATGTTAGATGCGTGGGCGTTGAAACCACCAATACTTCCAGCCATTGCACTTCCGATCAAGTTCTTGCTGGTGTTCAACTCGACAAGGGCATTGACATCACTCTTCAAAACACTCCGGACAACGTCACCAGGAATGATAGCCTCGGCCACAATAGATTTACCACGGCCGTCAATCCAGTTAATAGCAGCCGCCTTCTTGTCCGTACAGAAGTTACCCGAAACCGAGATCGTGGCCATGTCATCAAAGCCACACTCCGTAGCCATAACATTGAGTGCCTTCTCGACACCCTTGGAGATCATGTTCATGCCCATGGCATCACCCGTCGTCGTCTTGAACCGGATGTACAAGTAGGTACCGGCAAGAGCAGTCTTCATGTGCTGCAGTCTGGCGAAGCGGCTAGTTGAGTTGAAAGCAGTAGTCATAACAAGCTGACCTTCCTCTGAATCCAACCAGACCTTGGCGGCTGCAGCTCGTGCAAGTGTAGGGAAGCCGACACAAGGACCACGGGTCATACCGTCGCCAGTCAGGACAGTTACCGCACCACCACCAGCGTTGATAGCCTTAGCACCTCGACTGGTACTGGCAACCAAGACACCTTCCGTAGTTGCCATAGGGATGAAGTATTGTTGACCATCAATGATCATGGGACCAGCAACTCCAAGGGGCAAAGGCAGATAACCGATAACGTTTTCACAACAGGCTCCATGAACCAGAGTGTAATTGTAATCCTTGTAGGGTAGCTTCGAGGTCTCCAGGGAACCACTGAATTCGGAGGTGGTAGCCGTTCTAGCCACAACAGACCGACGGATCTTCACTGCGCGGGTAAAGGCGTCACGGCGGCTCATGAGATCTTCGTTCTCCATGGTCTTCTCAAGAGCATAGCCCGGAATTTTGCCCTTCAGGGAGAGGTCCACGAGTTCCTCATCCGACAGGAAGGCGGCTCTCTTTTCTTTCAGGAAAATTTCGCATTCTTCAGCACTTCTCTTGGGACCGTCCTGGTTGTTCAGATCAATCTTCGGGTAAACCTTGGGCTTCGGGGCTTCCACCTTGGGTGTAGCTTCAGGCTCCTTGATGCTCCATCTGGCCGCGTTGAAAAGGTAACCATTGAGAATTATACTCAAGGTCAAAGCAGCGATAATCCACTTGCTGATGACTGGGTCCTCGATGCTCTTGAGAAGACTTTCAATCACGCGCCCACCGACAGCATCCAGGAACTGGTCAGTGTACTCAATCTCAAATCCTGCACCCTCTTCGAGAGCAGCGTAGTGGACAGAGGGATACTCCAACTTGTACTTGATCGGAGGAATGACAGTCACAACGGTCTCCTGCATCTGGCTCTTGGCGGCCACGTAGATAGAGTCAAGACCATTCTCAGCCACCCTGAAGGGATCAATGGGAGTGGGGGCCAGAACATTGGACACGCGCGACAGAAGGGGAATGCTAGCCGAATCCCGGAAAGGAATCGCCGACAGGTTCACCACGTTAATCAGGATGAAACCACTGACCATGAGGATCTTGAACAGTCGCACATTACCGGACTTGAACTTCTTGCCAAAGATGCTGGCCTCGCTGTTGCCGTTGTATTCCGATCCAGCTCTAGGCCAGTCGTTGTTGGAGGCCACGTTCTCAGCCACACGCCCAGTGATTCCGTCTTCCTCGAGAGCCTTACGGAGCGCAACATGGCGTCTGATACGGGTGATCTCGAGCTTGATGCAGAGAATTGTGGTGTAGAAGGTGAACAGCAAGAGGCAGTCGAAAAACAGGATCCAAGCCGCAAGGAAGCAAAACTGCCTCAAACCACCCTGGACGCCAGAAGCCGCACCAGCGGCAAGAATGGCAATCTCAATGCAATAATCGCGAACGATCTCAAAGCCCTGCTCCTTGATAGCAGTTTGAATTGACTCCTGGATGGATCTCGGGGTGTTGCCAGCCCGAGCACCTTGCTTCCTATCCACGGAAGCGCTCAGAACGGCGCGAGTGAGAATAATCGACTTCTCGAAACCAATAGTCACGACAAGGAAGGGAAGGCCCTCGGACAACAAGAGCATGTTGATAGGTACTCCAAGCTTTGTTGTGACCAGAAGTCCGAACAAAAAGGCGAAAGCGCCAGAGAAGAGAACAGTAGTGGCCAACCAAAAGTTCGATCCCAGACGGCGCATAGAGAAAAAGAGAGAAACAAAGCTGAGGTGCATAGAGAGGTAACCCAAGGTCATGATGACGATGTCGATCGTCTCAGCGTGCTATTGAGGCGGTTAGCAGACGTTGCGAATCGGGCTGGCTGCGGTTTCTAGGGTAATACCTTGATGAGATCAACGAAGGAACTCCAGGCGTCTGCAAACCAGAGCTTGAGGGCCCCAGCAGATCCATAAGCCGGGCCACGAGCTGCCCGCATGATCCACTTCTTTTGCTCGCCTTCTTCAGCAACAGCCGAGGGTTCGGGGATCTCTTGCACGGCCTTCAAGAAATCGGAGACCTGCTCAAAAGGAAGAGTGAACACAAGAGACGAGTCGTGAGAGAATGGTGAGAAGAGGTTTGGCGTATGGGGAAGCCGCTGCGCAGAGGTATTCGAAGGGATTGGAACCTCGTCGACAAGAGGAGCAGTCGATACTGACTTAGAAACCGAGTCGGGGAAGATAAAAGTAGCCAGAGCCATGTGCTGGGCAGACTATCAAATCAAAACAATCAACTCATGAAATGACACATAGAGGTCGACGGGAAAGATGCACTCACTTCTGAGACGTCGGCGGTGGGAACATCTTCAACTTGCCACTTCCACGAGGTGCTTTCTCCAAGTCGTAGATTTCTACTACCTCTCAGGAGAGTGTCCACATCGACTTGACCGGGTACATTTCTCGGGTTCTTGAAGGAGTCGAACAGACTTCCCTCAAGCAGACCAACATAGGTCGTGCTGGCCAGGAGAGCAATAACAACAATGGTATGAATTGGGTGAAGACAGGCGCGGCGGGAGATGAACTGCAGCCCGCTGGTGACCTGACGCTTGAGCCATCCGGGCTCAGCATCGCGCTCTTCCTCTGCTGTACGCGACTTGCGAGGGATCAATGTCGAGGCCATGATTGCTTAAGGTGGTTGAACAATTGGGAAAAAGGAGCGGTGTGGACCGTAGATTTGAGGAGACTTTAGTCGAGATGGCGACGGTCCACGCAAGTTGAGAATTCGCCAAAATAGTGTCCCTGGTGATTTCGCAGGTTCGTTCGCACGCGGATGAAGACTTGATATTCTAGATCCAAACAAACCACTTCCCAAAGATCAATGGCATGGGGCTGCGGAGCCAGAGAGGTCGTCGCTTATCGGGTCTAGGGGGTTAAAAAAGATGCGATGAGCATTGCGATCGGTGAAGGATATGTAAGGGCAAACAGCGCGGTATTGGGTGGCATTACCTGACAGCTGAGGATCCAAAATCCAACCTCTGCGCTGACGGGACTTCGAAGCAATCCCAAGCAACGTGACTCTTGAGGTAGTTTACCTCTTCTGATTTTCCTGACTCGACCACAGGCCCCTGAGAGATGCAAGGGTGGAAGTACTCCCACTAGGCAGCCACAGAGGCGGTGGGATTAAGTAAATCCGTTGGAAGTTTCGCCGCTTGGACGAAGCCACAGGTCGGCCAACGAAGGCAGCCAATTGAAGGTGGTGCGGGAATACGGACCGCAGGAGTGCCAAGGGCTCTCAAAAGTACACCGGTCGCGTTGAGGTACAACCGATAATTCACTTATCAGGCTACTACCCAAAGATCAATGGATTCGGTAGTAGATGATATAGTGAATATAAGAAGTGTTGAAAGAAGAGAAAGAGGGAGAAGAGGAAGGAAAAAGGGAATTGAGCGGAGGGGAAGTGAGCAGCTCAGGAAAGGGAGGGGGGGCCAAACCCAGAATAAAGAAGAATTAGGAACAATAGCGACTACCGGGACGAGTTCCATTGGAGATACCCTAAACAGGACTAGTACATACTGATAGTGGTTTTTTATCGTCCCTCTTTTTCCACTTTTCTCTTTCCAGTTGTTTTTTTCTATTTATTTATTGATTTTTTTTTCTCATTGCTTTCTCTTTTACGAGCAATAGTGACGGGGAGTCACATACTCCGCTTATCGGGAAGCCGCAACGATAATCCATTCCAACGTGGACAGGATACAAGCCTGCATGCAAGATCAACTATTTCATAGTGCTATCTGGTATCAACATGATGTACAAGTCCTGCAGCCGTCTGCAGACTAACCTTGCATATTGAATGTGGATGGTGTGTTCGCACTTTGCATACGGAGTATGTGTGCGTGCGCGCGCCTCTTTGGCCCCCCCATGATGGCTCGCATAAGTACTCCGTACAGGGTAGGTAGAAACAGCCTAAAAGAACACCCTAACAACCAAATTCTTCCAAATAGGCCGAGCCGAGAGAAAGGGTATCCTTGAGTTCCATCCAGTTCAGCTCCATCTTAACCCTGACAGCCACTGACCGGTCGGCAGACACAGTAGTCAGATGGCGTTTCTTTCGTGATCTCGAACACTTTGCTCCCAGCGATCTGCAAGTCAGGCCAACCTCTTACTTCGTACTTAGACTCTGGAATCTGCATTTCACCGCAGCCCAAGATAGCGGTCGGAATGTAAGGGATTGGAGAAAGCTTTTTCGTGTCCGTTAGAGCTGAACCACCTCGAAGACGTTGGTATCACAAATGTCATCCAAGAAAACGATCCCCACGTCCTACAAGAGTTACGAGTTGTGGTACTGGTCGGTGCTGGCCCTGCTAACACTAGTGGACCGTTCTGTCTGATCATGATGACTGCAAAACTTCAGTCAGTATACCTACCAGCAGCGTACAGCACAGCGTCCACTCCCGTTCTCTCGATATTGTTGGTGTTATGGTAGCAAGGACAATCCTGGTCCCGGACAGAGCAATCACAATCACACCCTCTAGTCGTAAGACAATCGAAAGCGTTAGGTAATTAGATGCCCTTCTCTCTCTCTGCCGTCCGGGTCCGTTCCAAAAGGTCAGTAAGATGGTATCCGCCTGGGAGTCCTACCCCTCCATCTGATAAAAATTTCCAAGACTCCATCCGTAGTCCGATATTCCCTCATTCTCTTGGGAGTGGGGTGAAATGGTGGAAACCGGCACAGTCGGTGACCACTGAAGCGTTGCGATTCATCGGAGATAACATAGCCTACCCACCCCTTTTTCATCTAATCAATCTCTTCATCTCTTCTGGCAAAGGGGGGAAGAGGGTCTCCATCTGTCTCACTTATTGTCACTTTGGGTTTAGGGCTGGCCGTGCTTTTCTCTGTACGCTGGGGAATAGTAGAGCACAAATGCTCTGTCAAAAGCGTTTGTTGTAACTATGCTCAGATTGCTGATTGTCGGAAATTCTGCCAACTTCAACAAGGTTGATCCCGCTCTCAGGCAACAGAGAAAATCGGTGGTACGGAGTAGTTGATCCGGAAATCGGCAGAGAAAAACCAGTTCAGCTGCGGGTTTTGGCACTCTGGCACATACGTAACAAGCTTGGACCAGGATGAGATCATGGAGCAAGCTGCTACTGTGAATATTCTCCCAGGGCATTTACCATACTTTGCATCTCCAGTCAAATGTCTGCTACTATTGAACTTACTGGTAAAGCAATCATGGTTGCTAGATGTCCTCTGACTACTGCGAGTTCGGCGGTCGGGGTTTCTCCTGGGCACCGGTAATCAATCAATGATGGGTACGCACCTTCGTTTGGGCAATTTGTCTGATCCAGAGATGAGGGTGGGGAGTCTTTTCAATGCCAAGGAAGAACAAGGTGAAGGTCGGTGAGTTGGTGAGGTGGACGACCCAATTATCTTGAACCCGTTGGCCAAAACAGACAGGTTTTCAAAGAAACTAATTGCCAGTGTCACGGTAAAGAGGTACCACTGTATGATGATCGTCAAGTTATACCGTGTACTTCGTACGGAGTACTAATCCTCGACGGGACGGGATGATCTGAAATAAGTTGTTCAACTCGTTTCCATGCATAAGCCGCAGTGCTGCAATCCTTCAAATGCTGGCACCTTGGCTTCAACTCTATATATACATATGTAATGATGTACTCTCTTCGGTACTACTTAGTTTTTTTCAAACAATTTCGGACCATTGCAGCTTCCAACTATGCCAACCTTGCCCAACTACATCCCATATCCCATTCATATGTATAGTATATTTGCCAGCCATCTTCGAATCTGCTAGGGCTGGTAGTAGGGCGGGGCGGCTCTGTTTCAACAATCCTCCCTCAGGCGCGTAATGAATCAGCGCCTGGCTGGGGGACTGCAGTGACTGCCTACCGGCTGGCTGCTGAATATTCTTCCGCGCCAACTCTAGTCCACCCTCTCCAAGCCAGGCGAAATGTATCTAGGAAAGTGTACTGCATTGTACAATACTGCAAGCCGAGCTGCCTACCTTCAAACACAAATCAGTCCCAGCTGGTCCCGTTGTCGCTGATGAACAAAGACGCATGGACTGCATCGTCTGCAACTCTACAACGATAAATCCTCGAGCTCCAGGACAATTGCTTGTCATGAGATTAGATTCCAACCCAGCCCAGTTAGGCGCCGTTGCTAATTTCAGACCTCAGTACCTTAGTTTGTCGCAAGTCCTGTCACTCCCAGCCGATCCGATCGCTTTCTTCATGCCCCTTTCCCCCCTCAGCCAGGCGTTGAAGACGAATCATGTCTAACCACCCCCTCGCCGGATCTACAAGGGGTCAGAAAAGCTTGGTAGCGCTTCTACAGGGATCGATTGGGTCTGGGATGCGCATCATGAATCTATTTCCGTCAAGAATCAGATATTGCATCGTCCGTAGCGCCTACAGAAACGAGCTCTCTCATGACTGAGGGCAGCTTGGCCGAGCTTGCTTCGTTCTTTGTGTTTCGAATGAATTGATAGTATTGGATGTCGCTTTGATTCCCACATTTCTTTTTGAGGAGTGACTTAAGAAGTCATAGGGCCCCAGAAGGCGACGACAATAGCTGGAACGCGTACTCTCCATCAATCTCATTGTTAAATCCCCAATGGCCCCCATTTCTTTGTGCTCGGTTTATTGTGCGCTGTGATTCTGCCGCTACCTGGTCATAAGGTCGATGGATCCCACCTATTGATATTGAAGTAACACTTTAAAGGATAAACTGCGAGAGAGGCTATAAGGGATCCTTGTCAAAATGAGGTTATAAATCAAGTATAAACCACCTTTGCCATTGACAAGTACCACTACAACCCACTTACCACGCACAGAAATAGACCAATCCCCCAAGTTTCTTCATTCTTACGACCCCGCTGGCCGGTGTCTCAACTTGCAATTCTTCACGAGAACAACAATTCAAACAAATATTACAGTCACTACTGGTGAAAAGACGGCAATCATGCTCTTGATTCGTGACACGGGACTGGGAGGCCTACTGCTGGCCCTTGGCTTGTCGACCGTGAACGCACACTCCTGGGTGGAACAATTGACGGTTATTGCGCCAAATGGAACATTCGTGGGTGCGCCTGGCTACCCCCGAGGCAATGTTCAGCGAACCGTCGCTGGCTTCAGCGATGTCGAAATGACATATCTCATTCCCCCCGACGGCCGGGCCAATCAAAGTCAGATCCTTCCCACCGATAAGATGTGTAAAGACACCCAGGAACTGTACAACCAGACCGAAGGGAACCCGCGGCTGCAGGCCAGCCCCGGAGCTGCCATCGCTCTCCGTTTCCAAGAGAACGGCCATGTGACACTCCCCCAGACGCAGCCGGGAAAGCCTCCCAATCGGGGCACGGTATATGTGTATGGGACAACTGAGCCAAAGGCTGACGAGAAGTTCCTGGACATCCACCGCGTCTGGAACCGAGACGGTACGGGTGGCGATCGACGAGGCGTGCTTCTGTCCGAGCAGAACTTCGATGACGGCCGCTGCTACCAGATCAACTCTGGGAATATTTCCGAGCACCGCCAGGTCGAGTTCCCTCATGTTGCCGACCAGACAATGGGCGCCGATCTCTGGTGTCAGCAGGATATTGCACTGCCAGCGAACGCGCCGTCCGGCAAGCCGTACACGTTGTACTGGGTATGGGACTGGCCGACGGCTCCCCATGTGACGGCAGCACTTCCCAATGGAAAGCAGGAGATCTATACAACCTGCATCGACGTGGATGTGGTGGAAAATGCGGATTTGACGCATACATATGTCAAGGCTGGTGCTGCCGGTTATGTGGAAGACCAATCTCTAGATAGGGCCGCGATCCCATCGCAGTTCGCCGAGATCATGGATACTCGTCCAGCCCCGAGCGGTTCGAGCGAGTCCGTGCCATCCTCTACAGCGTCAACCTCGGCGTCGCCCGAGCCCGCCACCAAGACTACCTTCTTGACGATCTATAAGACCATCTATCCCAGCAGTACACCGGTGTGAGTGTAGTCCCGTTGACTTCGGGGCCTTGCTTCCGGAGCCGCTCTCCCTTGCATATTTGATGAAATTGGAGAGGGGCCATGGTAGGTCGAGCAACGGCAGTTGGTCGAGGCCCTTAGCTTTTGTTTTTCTCCTGCTCAGCTGGTTGAGCAGTATGAACACGTTCGTTTCATGTTTTATTCTTTAGTTCCCTCGAAATTACCAATAACATTCTAACAACTGCTTTTCACCGAGTATTTGAGTATCGATTTTGATTTCAAGTATGTTCTTGGTTGCAGCGGAGCATGACTCAAGGTTGCAAGACAGGGGAGAAAGAAGCCAAGAATTCCGCTGGCGTATGCTGGCATACCGCTCGGACTTGGCCTGTCTGGATTGGGGGCTGTGCTGGTTAAGCTGACTATGCATGTTTAGATCTGCCTGCGGTATGAAGTCGTAGTAGCAATAGCAGCAGCAGCAGTGGTACTAGTGTTGGCGAGGAGATGGAGGTCAAAGGAAGCAAGGATGAAACCTGAGGCAGTGTATCCCAAACAGGGATCGCCTGAGGCACCCGAGGCTGAAACACGCTAAGCCACGCGTGGTCTTGTCACGTGATGACCGGCGCTTCTTCATTCAATCCTCCCTCCCCTCCGCATCGAGATGAATTCGTCAGATCAACCCGCGCGGTTATGTTGCAAAAAGACAGATTGAGAAGTTGGTTTGCATGCTGCTCCTCGCACTGAACTTCTCGAAGAAAACGGAGGGCGGAAAAGAAAAAAAAAAAAAAGAAAACCTGTGAGTACCTGAGTATCCCGAATGTCCCTACATTTCCCACCCCCCCGGGGCTGGCTGCGCCTCGGTGATCCTTAACGCATCGATCAACTAAAACCACCACTAGGTAAAGTAATCTCCGACACTGGCCTCTGTCCTTTCTCCTTCGCCCTCGCTCGCTCCACCATCCGTTAAGTTAGTTCTTTCTTATCCTCTTGTCAGTCTTGTGTTTCTGTCTTCTAGTCTTGTAGGTGGTGTCATCTACAAGCGCCCACTTTTCCCCTCCTCCTCTTCCTCCTCTCCTCTCTTTCCCTCCCCTCCCTCCTCCCTCACTTTCTTCCCCGGTTCTCGCTTAGAATTCTTTGGCTTCCCCCTCCATTGTCCCATGGGCTTTAGTCATCGCCGTATCTAAACTGGCGCTTCTCCTCCCTGCCCTCGTTGCTAAATTTAGCATCCCCAGTTCTACCCTCCCTCCACCATCCAATCCATTCGTACTGTCAAGCGCGGGACACCAGGACACCAAATTGGCGAAAAAGCTTCCTGCCACTCTGCTTCGTTACCATCTCTGCGAACCTTGGGCGCTTTCCTTCGATTTCTGGTCTGGTCCCAGTCGTCTGGTTTGAATAACTTCTTCATACTGGTGACCAATTACTTTTTCTTCGCTTATGTGAGAGGGCAGCAGCCTGGATTGTGAAGATTGCCGTGGTATTTTGCGACTGATAGCCGCGCCTTGCCTGCCCTCCACCGTGGCTTGTCACTGGATCCTCCAGTGACCTTATTGATACCACCTCGCCTCTCTGGCGCTTAGGACTCCATCGTTCATCGCTTGCCCAGCTCCGCGGTTTCGAACTAGGACAGCCCTTCAGGCGTAGCCTCTTCCACCAATTCGACTTGCATCGTGCTTGCACGCAAGGAGTTCCCTCGCCTCTCCACCAGTCTGGTCCGCACGCTTCTCTCCCAGTTCCCTGCCTGGTAGAGCCGACTTCAACGGACGTTCCTCGACGCAGGCTGGTATTCAAAAATCGGTGGGCGGGCGATCGCGATGCGAAGCTAGGGCGAATCGGTCTTTTTGAGCATCCCTCCACTTCCTCCCTGGGTTATAATATCCGACTCGACAACGACTCACACGACATTCTCGACACGCAATCACAATTCTCGCGTGCCGAACTTCTCCACCTATAACACAATCTCAGGACCATGGCTTCTGCGGCATCATCCCCTCAGCCGCAGCAGGCAGCATCCTCTGCGAACCTCACGATAGTCACGGATGCTCCTAAGCGGCCGGGCCGTCAACGCTCCTCCTCATATGCCCGTGAGCGTCTTTCCACACATTCGAATGTCTCGCTTGCCTCACACAATCGGTCACGACCCGGGTCGCATGTCTTTCCCATCTTCCATTCAAGCCTGTCATATGCTCTAGTGCGCGATTTTGCATACCCTCCGATACATCCCCTTCACTATGGTCCATTACCTTCTCGTGCGTCCGTAGCATCCACGCCAGCCAGTGAGCCCCGGCGCTTGTCCGACCCTCCGGCACCGTGGGACAGCTCTCGTGGGCAGTGGTCTTCGGGCCCGTGGAGCACCGACCACAGCTACGGACATCAGCAGCTTCCTGCCATGTCCTTTGGCGACGGACCGCCGTACAGCGAAGATGAAGACCTGCACAGTCCAGTCTTCTCCACACCCCATCACCGAAAGAACAAGTCCACTGGCACCGATTCAAACGGGCGAAAGGGCCGCAGATTCAACCGTGCACACGGAAGCGTATACTATGAGAATGACACTGAGCGGGGCACGCTAGTCAGCATGAACGCGGATGGTAGCGAGACATATTATGTGAATGACGACGACGACGATGATATGGACGATGGGCCTGGGGGCGAGTATGTCACCTATCCAGCCCACGAAAGTCGCTATTCCCGGACGGGCGAGTACGGCAATGATCGATCCTATGGACACGACGGTGACTTCGAGTCCGAGGACGAGTATGGGGCACATCGGTATTCGCGGGACTTCCAGTTCGCGGTTGGCTGCCCGGACGAAGAGATGCATGGCAAGGCGGTTGCGCTGTTCGATTTCACGCGTGAACATGAGAACGAGCTTCCTCTGACAGAGGGCCAAGTGATCTTCGTGTCATACCGGCACGGTCAGGGCTGGCTGGTAGCGGAAGACCCCCGGACTGGGGAGAGTGGACTGGTGCCAGAAGAGTTTGTTCGGCTGCTTCGTGATATCGAAGGCGGGTTGACGTCGTTGAACGGCGAGCCCGACCCGGAAGATGATGACCAGGCTCACCAGCATATTTACCATGACCCGAACTCGACCCCAAACTCTCTTCAGCAGACGATACCGACGAACGGGCAACAGGAGCAAGAAGACCACCAAATCCTTGATCCTACTGTAAACGGAGAGAAAGGGGAAGCAAGAGCTTCCAAGTCATTGCCGCCCAGCAGTGGCAACATGGATTCGAACCTGTCACATCTGAATGCATCGGAGAAGCAGACGATTGAACCTCCGGCCGAAAAGAACAGTCACATTCAGGCTTGTTAGCAACCCTGCTCCCTAATGTAAATGCACCCCTTCATTCTACCTGTCATCCGCCATACATACAATATGGAATATCGAAAGAGACACGGCCATTTCCTAAACATCCCTCATCACGACCCCTTTGCTTTTCCACTTTTCCCTCCATGTCCGGCTCGAGTCAGCTCTGGCCCAGCTGTAAGCGACGGAGCAAGAAGGATAAAATAAAAAGGAGCGAAAGGGGTCCATTTATAATCGCATCCTGCATTTGATGTCATTTTGTTATGTTGTGACACCCCATTATCTTACCTACCATTATATTATTGTTCTTCGGTTCCCCGGCTGGAACTCCGTGTTATCTCAAATATATTACCGTCTCCTTTCTTCTGGATCGGAATTTCTACAAGTACAACAACTCATTAGCATTTGGACATTGTTTCTCAGTCTCCACGCATACGATACATCTATACATGATATTATGATATCCATTTCCCCATCATTTGTGCTTGTCGTTCTATCATGTCTTGTTTCCCCTTCTTCTTAGTACTTGATTATCTACCGTTCAGCGTGGGAGGGATCCGTCCTGTGTTTTGTTTTGGTATCGTCCGTGAACAGCGGACGACTGTAGTTTTCTCAAACTAGCAATGGTAAAGAAGAAAGTGCATTTAATTTTCTGGGGGATGTTTGCAGTTCCCCTTCCCTTGTAACCTCACGTTTTCGTAAATGAACAAAGAACCACTGAGCCAGTGAACCAGCCCCATACAAGAATACTTAACGTCCAGCACTTCGAATTAAGTCTTTTAATCGGTATCTCACCACCCTCGCCTTCATATCTAGACTGGTTCATCGCTCTCGTCTCTGCAACTTGACTGGGTGATATATCACCAGCACTAGCACTAGCCCCAGCACCACCATGCTTCATGATGCCTCATGATTACCTATGATCGTTGAAGGGCCTGTCGTGACTGAGCTTGCTTCGAGGTGGGTAAATCTACTCCGTGTGGAGGGTAATCCATGGAGGGCAGTCTACCAAAGGTAAGTAGGTAGTCTATGGAGTATTGAGTTCGTTTCCTGGAGGCCCGGTGATGATTCTGTAGGCTGCACGCAGGACAGGCAGACAGACACGCCAGACAGGTTAGGTGTGTATTTACAAGGACCGAACCCTGAATCCAGAGAACTCAGACTAAGTTCCATGCCGAGGAGGAATGATGGCGTTGCCGACCCTCCGGTCTCCTCGCGATTATCCAACCGCGGGGTTTTCTTTTTTCTATAACTACCAAAGGTAAGTTTAACGGAGGTAAGCGAGCATAGCACGGCAAAGGTTTTCTTTTTTGACGGACCAAAAGAAAAAAAACACGAGCAAAATGTACAACACGGCAAACTGCCGCAAGCAAATCAACCAGATGAAATGCAAATGGCTTGCTATTTTAGACGAAGAAGAGGGAATCTCTCAAAATCTCCCCGAGATATCTTTTTTAAAGACCAGAACCAGAATCAGAAGCGAAGAAGGAAAAAAAAAAAAAAAAAAGTCTCGTACTACGGTATAACATTACCCAAGAAAATCGAAAAGCAAATAAGGCGGAAAGAAGAGAAAAGCATGGATACAACAATCACCTAACCTAGCAAGTCATCCAATCCCGAGCTGCTCCCCGTCTTGGCACCACCACCGCCACCACCGTAATGAGTTGATGATGGCGAGGTCACATTGCTACTCGTACTTGAAGCTGGCGCCCCCCAAATCCCCGCGCTGGCCTTCTCTTTGGCCATGCTGGCCAGGTTGGGCCCGCGGTTGGCGTTGGCGTTTGCTTTTTGGAGACCCGCGTTGGCGCTGGCGCTGGACCAGATCGATCCAAAGGCGTCGCCGGACGGCTTCGAAGCGGCGGGCTTGGATGCGGCGGATGCGGTGGTCGTGGTGGAGGTGAAGGAGGAGGTGGAGGGCATGCCGGGCCGGTGGCCGGAGACGTTGCCGCCAAGAGGGGGCTGGGCCTGGGATTGCGCGGCGGAGACGGAGGTGAAGTAGTTGGGGGTGGCGGCTTGGAAGCCGCTGGGTCGGGGTTGCGCTTGTGCAGGCTTGTGGGGTTGCGCCAGAGAGCTTTGGGAGAGGGTGGGCGAGGCAACGGTGCTCGAGGTCGGAGTCGGGGTCATCGAGGTGAATCCGACGATGCCGCTCAGGTTCGACCCTTGAGTGCCAGAAACGGGCTTGGGAGCGGCGAATTGCGTGCTGGAGGTGGTGCTGACGGTTGATGCGGGCCCGGGAATAGAGAATTGCGCCGAGGATGTCGGTGCAGGCGCGGGAGTGGCAGACTGGAAGTCGTCGAAGTCATCGTCGTCGGCGGTGTCGGTGTTGAGGATGTCGAGACCGCTGCTGGCACTGGCTCCCGCGGGCAGTTTTGAGGTGGACGCTGTCGTTGTGACGGGTTCTTCACCGAAATCAAACAGATCGGGCTCGGGTGCCTTGGCCTTCGGACGCTCTGGTTGCCTGGTCGGACGCGCGCGGGGGGGACTGGCAGCACGGCGGGGCGCAGGAGCGGCATCGGCCTCATCGTACTCATCGTACTCCTCAAAGCGGTTCGAGCGACTCCCAGAGTCATTAAAGTCGCTTGTGTTACCACCGAAGCCACCGCCATCGCCATAAACACCACCGCTGTATCCTCCAAAGGACAGGCTTTCGCTGCCAAAGCCACCGTATCTGCCCGAATTCGACATGCCCCCGCTAACGTGCGAACCGCCCTCGAAACCACCAAACTTGTTCTTGTTGGCCCGCGCCTTCTTCCTCTCTGAGCGAATCAAGTCGACGTCACCAAGCAACTTGACCAGTTCCGACGACCGATTGCGTACGTTGATACCCTGGTCCTTTCCATTCTGATCGATGTAGTGGAATTGGCGGAGCATGCGAAGCAGTGACATGTGGGAGCGCGCATCATCAACGACCCGTTCGGATCCGTTCTTTACCAAGAATTCCAGGAGTTGAAGAGCCTATTGTTCCGCGGAGGAAAGCCATTAATTAGACAGGCTCCCAAAACAAGCATAGGTGCAAGCAAGCTTGCTGGGTGCGGGCCATGCTCTGAGCAGCAGAACCAACCTTGTATATCTGTCGCCATTCCTCCGCGGTCTTGTCCGTAAAGCGCTTGTAAATCATAGGCATAATCTCGTTAAGCAATTGGCTGTATACGTCGGCATCTTATCAGCAACTCTACTCTCTCGCCAGCGAATGCGACCGGGCTCAGGGGCTAACTGACTAGCTGTGGGTTCCGCTAGCAATTTCGTGCATCAATGAATTCGAGGCACCCCAAGGCTCGTTGTTTGTAGCTTCTCGAACCTGCTTGGCGTAAGTGCGGTGCTCATCACCACCACGGCCTTTGTCCGGAGTTCAGGAGAGCGGGACGGGAGTGCCGGGAGAGGGGCGACGGACCTTGGCCTCCATTTCGGTGTAGTTCATGACAGCTGAATCAGTCAGTTACACTGTCTGATCCGGAAAGATAGTGTTGGAGCAGAGTCCGGCGCATGATGACGGGCATTGCCAGCAGGGGACATACCATTCTGGACCTTGCGGACTCCCGCCTTGAGATCATACAAGGTCAAGTTGCTGACCTGGTCTTTGAGGCTGGAGAAGTCCATGACGCCTGGAGCACTGCGATCAAAGGGCAAATGAGAAACAAAAGAGACAAATCAGAGATCCGGGCAGTTGGTCAGCAAATGATTAAAGGCGTCGCTCCTAGGGTGGAAGTGGAAAGTCGAACGAACATGTCCGGCGACTCCAGCTGACATTCGATCGCCGTTGGGCCCGAAGACGTCACGTGGCAGCCCCTGACCCGACGTTGGCCTGCGTCATCCTTTCGCTTACACTATGGAGTATACTTCCCAATCAACAGGGAGGCCATGTATGAATTGATCTTTCCCACGGCTGTCTAACATGCATGCAATACGTACAGCCGAGTATAGGAGCTACATACATATCCTCATCGAATCATCATGAACATAGACATGTATTCAGTATCATCCAAGGGGGTAAAAATCATAGCAACTGACAAGAAGGGGTAATCGTGGAAAACAAGGAGCTCGTCTCTGTGCATCATACTCGCCGAGCTCTCATCATGTTCAACATGTCATAACAGGAAAAGAGATGGGATATCACATTGACATAAGGGAAATTGATGTGGATGAAAAGGAAAAAGCAAAGCAAAAAAAAACATCATCATGTCATCGGGTTCTCGACTACTCGTTGTAGAACTTCCTCATGATGAGATGCAAGAAAAGGTTGACGTTCACCCGGAGCTGTCCGTCGAAGAAATCAAGGAATTGCATGTTGTTGAACTGAGCCTGAAGCAGGTCGTCTAAGGGCACCTGGGCGTTAGCACCAGGGATCATCATGGGTCCACTGCTGCCGTCCAAAGTGAAAACACCAACTTCATTACTCGAAATCGTCAGGTCGACACGGTCCCACTGGCGCTCGGTGTAACCTTTCCAGTGTACAAGGACCCCCTTATCGGCCAGATTGCGGGCCGAGTATTTGTAGGAGCCGAACTTGAACACCTTGCCCGATTTCTGAAGTTCACGCTGATGGTCCCATTGCTTGGTGAAAGGCATGAGAAACCTCTTCTTGCCCTTTTTATTCTGTAGGGTGACCATGGCCTGTTCGATATAGTCATTGTATGTTTTCAGCTGCTGATCCAGCCAGACAGCTTGGTCATTGAGACGTGCTAGAGTCATCCGTGCGCTGTCCAACTCCCGCTCCCGTTGGATTCTGCGGCGGTGCTTTGTCCGGATGTCGATGGCGATGGCGTTGAGAAGATCTTGATAATGATTGTCGCGACGAATCTTGCCGGTTTGTTCGAGTTGAAGGATATTTTCAAGCGCCGTCCGCTTAAGCTCGGAGTAACTCATGGAAGCAATGTCGACCATTGTGTTCGCCTCCGCGTATGCGCTTCGTCTGGTATTGTTTGCACTCAACTCGTCGCGCACCAGCATCATCCATTTGTCTTCGTCTTCCTCAGTAGGTGGCTTGACCATGATCTCCAACAGGTTGGCACCTGTCTGAACTCTGATGATATACAAAATGCACCGTTTCGTCTCCATGAACAGAGCTTTCACATCTGCCTCTGGGTCTTTTTCTCGAGTCAGTTATCAGCGCACATTGACCAGACTTGGGCGTTACTCACCTTCGACCTGTGCAAGCTTAGGGTTCAGAGTCAGGCTAATTTCAGAAGAATTTACGCTCATCAACTCATTCTCATTGGACTTCACATTCCCAAGATCACGTATGACTTCCTTCAGGATATCGTCCTGGGCTTGGCAGATGTAGTGAATTTCACTGGCCACAAGTTGATGGATGGAGAAAATGTCGGACATCTTAATGTATAAGGTGGGTTTAGTCTTGGCGTAGAGGTCATTGAACTCATCGATGTCGAAATAGTCTTCCGCATTCTGGACAGAGATCACTATAAAGCGGTCAGTAATGGGAACCATTTATTGCAGGCTTTGCACTTACTGTCGCCCCAGATCTGGCCAAGTCGTTGAATCGAGTCGCCAATATAGTTGTTCAAGGGTTGGAGATAGACATTCTCTGCACCGAAAAGTCGTCCAGAGGCTACTTGCGCAATGACTTTGGCGATCTCAGCAAGGTTTCGCTTCTGCTCCTGAGTCAACCCGCGGTCCACCACACCGTACTTTTCTGGTTCGAAGATGGCAGGCTGGAAATAGTTCCTCCACACCCAGTGGCCAACGGTCTGAAGAACGAATCCAGGGTCTTCTCTAGAGAATCTCGAGAGCAAACACTCATACATCTCTTTTGCAATGTATCGGATGCCGAAGGGCATCCGATATAGTAGCTCTTCGAAGGCAGAGAAGAATTGGTCGGCGATATCACGGAGGTCCTGGAGGTTTTGGATGAAGGTCGCCCGCGTTTCCGGATCTCTGATCGCCTCCTCTCGGGGGATATCTGGTCGACGCCTGCTCCTCTTTCCAGTTCGAAGCTCCTCATTGTTGATGGCCGAGCGATAGATCTGCATCGGGTCACTTTCCAAGTCCAGTTCAGGATTCTCGATAATATTCTCCCGCACAACAGGACCCAACGTATCCCGCATGAACTTGCGGTCTCGTGGAGACTTGATATAAGACGCGAACAATTTGTTCCAGAATGCATTGCAGCGCAGATACTCATGCAGCGAGTCAAAGCTTTCGATTTCTTCACGTGCGGAACGAGCGAGCAGCTTAATCAGATAGTACTCTTCTCGCCTCTTCTGTGAGTAACCAAAAAGCCCCATCATCAGGTGTCTAATTCGGTCATATTCTTTCTCGGGGGTATTAAGCTCACGGAGACGCCGAAAGAGTTTGGCCAAGTACTGCGACTGAGTTTGAAGAAGGAAGAAGAGTACTTGGTATTGTTCGAGCTTTCTTCTTGATGTCTTGTTCAGAGCCTTGAGATCGAAAGGGTCTTTGGACGAGATTTCTCTGTTCGGCAACAGGCTGCCAACGTGCCCGCCGAAGTGCTTTTGGTGCTTCACAACCTCATCAAGAGTGATCTTGTTCTTCACCAGCAGAGCGATTTTGATGTCGAGCTGACTGATGTATTGTTCCGCTAGCTCGTTCTGTCGAACTTGCTGAACCACCATCTTTCGTGTCCGCTCAAACTCAATCTCCTCGTCAAAGTCAAATTCACTGTCATTCAGAAGGTGTACAAAGCCTTTGACAGTTCCTACGGGAGGGTTCTTCCCCGTAGTAAGACTCTTGTATGCTTGGCCTTGTATTCTTCCTCGCACATAGCTTTGCGCCTTGATCACCTTCTCCATGTTCTGTCGGTAATATTGACGTTTCTCTTCAAACTTCGAATGGACAAGGTATCCACGTATGTTCGACTGGAGCTCCATGATGTAATCTTCCTCGGCAGCGAGGGCTGCCAGCATTTGGCCAACTTCGACACGGATTAGCATCGCTCTGATTTGAGCCTGCAGTTGACTGATTTCCTCTTCACAGTCCTCAAGCGCGTCCAGATCTCCACCAACTTTGATTCTGAGAACTGCAGCACGAGCGAGAGCTTGCAGATGTGTAATCACCATAGCTTCAGCTTGTAGGGCTTCAGCGTCGGCCGCCACACGTTTTCTGAACATGGAGCCTCGGCTCATAGATTGTAATTCCAGAATGGAGGGCTCTGCTTCTGCCAGTGCCATTTTCTGTGACTGGATCTCGGTCCGAATAACGTTCGCTCTTATCATGCTCTGAATGTCAATTGTTGCCTCCGTATGTTCGCGCAAATCCTGTCTCAGCTGCTCGAGGGATGTTCTCACTGCTCCTCCACGAGCCATAGACTGGAGCGAGACGCACTCTTCGGTCGTCTCCGCAAGCTCTGATGCCTGCTGCCGCTGGCGCTCTCTTAGTGCACGACCTCGAGCGATGGATTGGAGGGTCGTAACGGCAGTTGATTCAAGCGCAAGAGCTTCCTGCAACTGAGCAACGGACTTCCTTGTCAGCATTCCGCGAATTGCTCCTTGTAGGGACGTTGCGCTTGCTTCGGCAGTACGGATCTCCGCCTGCTGCGCGTCCACCTTTCGCCGCAAGATGCCAGCTCTGATGATTGCCTGGAGTGTTGTGATCTCATCTTCGGCTGACCGGGTGGCTTCAGTGAAATGAGAGAATTTGCTGCGCTGCAAAGCACCTCTAATATATGCCTGCAATGTCGTGATGTTGTCCTCCGCGGCACGCAAGGCTTCGATTTGCTGCGAGACGAAGTTACGTTCCATAGCACTTCTAATATGTGCCTGCAATGTCGTGATGTTGTCCTCCGCGGCACGCAAGGCTTCGATTTGCTGCGAGACGAAGTTACGTTCCATAGCACCTCTAATATATGCTTGAAGCGTCGCGATTTTGTCCTCAGCGGAGTGCGCAGTTTCATACTGTTGCGAAAGTTGGTTGCGCTGTAGGGCTCCTCGGACGAGGGCTTGAAGTGTGGTGATGCTATTCTCGGTGGAGTGTATGGCTTCCAACTGCGATGAAACCCGACTGCGCTGAAGAGCACCCCGAATAGCAGCTTGTAGCAGACGAATCTCGGTTTCGGCGCATCTCGTGTCCTCGTACATTTGAGAAACAGTCTTGCGTTGCAAAGCTCCTCTCAGCGCTGCCTGAATTTCTTTGATGCCGGATTCCTCCTTCCGTACCTGAGTCCGCACATGGTCAACCTCAGCCCTTGCTTTGGCACCGCGAATGAGGCTTTGAAGCTGCAAGATGTCCATTTCCTGGGCCTGGTAGCTGCTCTTGACCGTATTTTGGCGGCTCCTTACAAGATATGCTCGACAGAGCGCTTGAAGATTGGTCGCGAACGCCTTCATATCCAAGCGATATTGGATGATCTGACGAGCCCAGTCCCCGCGAAGTCGAGACTGCAGTTCCACCAAGAGAGGTTCAAAGTCCCAAAGATCATTCATGAGGTTACCCAGCTTCAAGCGAGTCATTGCGCCTCGAATTTGAGCTTGGAAATCAGCAATGGACGCTTCGCTCTCGCGCAACTCGCGTTCTATTCTCTCTTCTTCGGTTTCTGGCTCCGGCTCCGGCTCTGCTCCAAAATTTGCAGCCATACCGGAGAAGCTGGGCATGCTGACGCCAGCCTTGTCGAGACCCTTCTGCGTTTGCTCCAGCTCGTGGTGCTCAAATTCAAGTTGACCCACGAGATTGCCCATGCGAAACTCAACCAGACCTTTCTTGAACAGTAGCCATGATAGGGCATGGACGCAGTGGATGACCTTTGGTATGTTCTTCTTTTCGTACAAATCGATCAGTTCGAACCTGAACAGTTCGGGCAGCTCCACGTCGTCCAGAAATCGGAAGAAAAGAGCGATGTTATCCGAGTGTCGATATTGCAGCTTGGGATGTCTGAAGATTCGAAATGTGCGATTGGGATTCATCGCTTGTACCACTTCCGCAAGAGTCACGCCGTCGCGAAGGGCTTCCTCTAGTTGCACGATCGGAGGAATCTGCTTCTGGATTACCTCTTCAATCCACTCTTTAGCTTCTCCGATATGACACAGGTACTCGTATGCTTGTAGGAACTGTCGCTGCTTGTCCATCCAGTTGCCTGCCGCCCAGGCTGATGCGGGCTTCTTGCGCACAGCGCCAGAGCCATCTTTTTTAGCCACCGAGTCTGCTCTTTTCAAACGTCGTCTTCCCTGCAATCCTACAACAGAGGAGCTGTAAGTGTCCAGACCAAACTCATCTGTTTCTCCAGACTTGGCAAATTTCGAAAGCGTCCGCAGATGACCTGTCGATGACTTTTGGAAGGTTTCGAGCTCAGGCGTCGACAGGGTGTGGGTGATTGGTGGGGGCGTGGACAGGCTGTGAGAATGTTGCGGTTTCATGTGAGGTCGGGTACGAGGTGAGACAGGATGCGGTTGCATCTCAAGAGGCGCTTCGCTCTTCGGGGGTGCCGTTGCTGCGTACGGGTCCGGATCTTTCGATTCTTCAGTCTCATGATGGAAGGCGTTACGAGAGGTGGGTGTTTGTGGACGATTTTCCTTCCAGTACTGGGGGTGGTCGACGGTTTGACTGCGCGCATGACGGAAAGTGGACTGTTTGGTTGAGGGAGGAGATGCATTAGGAGCTTGAGAGAGTGGTCGCAATGAGCGGCGGATATTCTCGTATGTTGCACCCGCACTAGATATGGTCCCCAATTCCGAGCGCTCTCCGGCCATTCTGTCGGACGGGATCTTATTCAATTCACTCTTCCCTCGTTTACGGCCAACACCGGGCACGGACGCAATTGACGCAGTTGACGAGACAGTACTAGTGCGACTGGGTACAAATGGATTAGTAGAGGCAGTGTAGATGGACGAGCTGGTGGAAGCTGTTGATCCATGGCGGAGTGGACTCGATGTTTCGTCTGCGAAATCCGTCTGCGCACGCCGGAGACTAGCTAAGTGGCTTGACATCCCGGGTGCCGTTCCGTGGAGGAAATTGCTAGAACCAATGGAATTAGAAGACACTCGATCTCAATTGGCCGCATACCTGCTTCTCAAAGCGAAGCAGTGAAACGGCAAAAGAAGAGGTCCAAGAATCTTGGTGTCAAGTTGACCAAGGCGGGATTATTCATTCAAGGAAGAAGGTCTTCAGGGCAAAGCGGCATGGGCCTATGGTAACCGGGGGAATTGGGCGGGAATTGGTTGATGCAGAAACGGGCGTCTGATTGGGCTGGAAACCACCGATTCCTGGGTTGTCCGGCGGTCTGCTGAGCTGGGTCACAACTACAAGGCTGTGGATTGTAAAGATCGAACAGATTGCACGACTAAAAGTCCCAAAAAGAATCCCGCAAAGAATGTGGGGGGGGGGAATAGATTGAGGAAAAGAGGCTGAAGTGGCAGTAATAAACAAGAAGAAAGAGACAATCGGCAACAAAGCGGGGGGGGGGAGAGGATGGGAGGAAGCGAAGAGGGGGGAAGCACGGCAAGTAGTAACTATCGACTCAACGTGTAAATCGGAGGCAGGAACAAACACCTCCCACCCCCCCCCCCCCAGCCTCAGCCCGAGTCGAAAACAAATCTCCCGATCTAGTAAGGTGGGCACGGACATGTGACCGCGCCCCGATGCCCCGATGCGCGATCGAGAAAAGTGACGTCGATCATCATTGCTCCAGCCACACTATTTTTGCTTCCCACCAGTTTACTTGGTTACTGTTTCAGCTGAAATAAGAGAGGGGTTGCCAACTACTGTGCACTGTGCAGTCACACAGCACAGATATCCCCTCGTGCAAGATCTGATCTACAACAGACCTACTGAGGAACGTGCAAGCCGTGTCATGCTCCCGCCTCAGTGATGGATTCCATGGATGGGAGTTTCCTGTCGCTGGAAAACCGGTTGGGACTCGGATCTATAATCCACATCCAAGGACGCGGTCAGGCACCAAATTCAACCACACAATGAGTGTTGCAGCAGTGGATCAGTTATACCAAGCCGGTTATATTGTCACTATTCTCATCAGGTTTCTCTCGAAGCTCAGATGAAAATCACAAGGGATCACCATATCATGTTTCAGAAGCCAAGCCGTAGTCGGAGCGTGGGCCAGCCATTTCACAGTTATCGATTCAGATATGAGGAGTGATTGTCTATCCTGGCAATGCTACCAGTAGACACAATTCTCCGCGTGAATATCTGACGAAAAATAGAAGCATGGAACAGTTTCAAGGAGTAATCGGAAGACTTTGAACCTTATAAACTAAACGGAGGTTTTATCTTGTAAAATCAAGGGAGGATGTGCATTGAGTAAGTTGGGATTGAACAGTGTAAAAGTCACAACACACCAGTGACAGATAATGGGGCAAGCTCTAGCACACATCGATCCATAGGCTATTGGATCCGAAGATGGCCTACATCCATTGTATGTGATCATTGCCAAGTAAATCGAGAGAAGCCCGGTCAATTAGCCAGTCCGTTAAGCCTAAGCCATGCATAGGTAGCGCGGGTGGGTGCTGGCGGCTAACTCTTATCGGGACTTGACTGCCGATACGGAGAAGTACGTTAGTTAGTGGGTAGTACGTGACTAAACAGTGAGTGCTAAAGTACCACGCAAAGGGCTATCCGGACGGTTCCAGACATTGTCCCGAGCAGAACAATTAGAGAGGGCCAATGATACCACTGATACAGTAGCAATGATCAAATTGATCATTGGGTGGTACCGTAGTAGCACCAGACATGAGCCCGCTGGAATCATCCGAGAAATTTTTGACTCATCTGAGGCAGAAATCTCTCACCGCCCGGCAACACTTCGTTTAGCATCCAATCAAGATGACAAAGCACACCGTGACCCGGACCGCTAGACTGTATCCGGAAGACTAGCGTGATGTGCGGCGAAGAGCTCAAAAGCCAATTTTTTTCTCCTCCGATTTTTCTTTCTTTTTCTTTTCTTTCTTTTCTTTGGGAAAGGAAGACTTTCTCCATCAGCAGAACGTTTCTATCGTCGATCTGTTGATTATCTTCTGATCTTTGATCTTTTGATCTTTATCATTTCTCTACCAGTTCTGATAGAAGCTGTAGAGTTTTTTCTCCCCCATTTTTATACCCCACATACATCATGACTTTTGCCAACGGTGACATTCCTGGACCGGCCATGAAGGCTGAGATCCAGGACTACACCAAGGCCGTGGAGGTCCTGAAGAACGAGTACAAGGTCAGCGATGGTCTTGATGTCGATACCCTGCTTGACTCCGACAAGCACGGTGCTTTGACCTACAATGATTTCCTGATCCTGCCCGGGTACATCGGTAAGGCGAGAACTTGAGCTCATCTCGTCGAACTGGGTTGCTGATGCCTTTCATAGGCTTTCCTGCTTCAGATGTCACTCTCGACACCGCTGTTACCAAGCGTGTCTCCTTGAAGGTCCCCCTTCTTTCCTCCCCCATGGACACCGTCACTGAGCACAACATGGCTATCCACATGGCTCTGCTCGGTGGTTTGGGTGTTATTCACCACAACTGCTCTCCTCAAGACCAGGCCGAGATGGTGCGCAAGGTCAAGAGATACGAGAACGGTTTCATTCTGGACCCCGTTGTCCTTGCTCCTACTGCCACCGTCCGCGAGGCCAAGGAGCTGAAGGCCAAGTGGGGCTTCGGTGGTTTCCCCGTCACTGGTAAGTCGTTCCTTTTTTCTTTCGTACTACCCCGCCAACATGATGATCAAACACTTTTTCTTTATAACTTTCGTTCCACTGGAGCAGCGAGAGCAGCACTGTAGAGAACCGTTTTATCTGATCTCCCTTCAATCACCCTCATCCGTCACATGTGCTTGATGAAATCGTTTGATTCTGACTGGATGATCTTTCCACTATAGAAAACGGAACCCTCCGCTCCAAGCTCGTCGGTATGGTCACCTCTCGTGACATTCAGTTCCACCGCGATCTTGATGCCCCCGTCACTGCCATCATGTCCACCGACCTGGTCACCGCTCCTGCTGGTACCACTCTTGCCGAGGCCAACGAAGTCCTTCGTTCCTCCAAGAAGGGCAAGCTCCCCATTGTCGATGAGAACGGCAACATCGTCTCCCTGTTGTCCCGCAGTGACTTGATGAAGAACCTTCACTACCCCTTGGCCTCCAAGCTTCCCCAGTCCAAGCAGCTGATTGCTGCCGCCGCCATCGGCACTCGTGAGGAGGACAAGACCAGACTCAAGCTGCTGGTCGAGGCCGGTCTCGACATTGTCATCCTGGACAGCAGCCAGGGTAACAGCATGTACCAGATTGAGATGATCAAGTGGATTAAGAAGGAGATCCCCGAGATCGATGTCATCGGTGGTAACGTTGTCACCCGTGAGCAGGCTGCTGCTTTGATTGCCGCCGGTGTCGATGGCCTGAGAATTGGCATGGGCAGCGGTAGTGCTTGCATCACCCAGGAGGTCATGGCCGTCGGTCGTCCCCAGGCCGCTTCCGTCCGCAGCGTCTCCAACTTCGCCGCTCGCTTCGGTGTTCCCTGTATCGCTGACGGTGGTGTCCAGAATGTTGGCCACATCGTCAAGGGTCTGGCCATGGGTGCCTCTACCGTCATGATGGGCGGTCTTCTCGCCGGTACCACCGAGTCTCCTGGTGAGTACTTCATGAGCAAGGAGGGTCAGCTTGTCAAGGCCTACCGTGGTATGGGCAGTATCGCCGCCATGGAGGACAAGAAGGCCGGTGCTGGTGCCAAGGACAGCAAGGCCAGCAACGCTGGTACTGCCCGTTACTTCTCTGAGAAGGACTCTGTCCTTGTTGCCCAGGGTGTGGCCGGCTCCGTCCTTGACCGTGGATCGGTCACCAAGTTCGTTCCCTACCTCACTGCCGGTATCCAGCACTCTCTGCAGGACATTGGTGTCCAGAGCCTGAAGGCGCTCCACGATGGAGTCAACCAGGGCACCGTCCGCTTCGAGATGAGAAGTGCTAGCGCTATGGCCGAGGGTAACGTCCACGGTCTGCACAGCTACGACAAGAAGCTCTACTCTTAAACGGTGACAGTTTGAGTGTTCTGTTTTTGTCTTATATACCTTTTATGCCTTTTGATGAGTTGCATCACGAACCGCCTACCTTGTTTATATGAATTGGTTATGTGATGCTATGTGGTTGCTTGCTATGAAAAACAAAAAGCCTGGGCAGAGGGACTGGAGTTCGACGTGGAATTGGTTAAATCTTGCTTGATGATAATTCAATCCAATATTTCAAGAAGAATTTACTTTTCAATAGACTGCGCTTTTGGTAACAATAATCATTGTAAAGCCACTCGTCCGTCCTGACAGACAGCCCTACTAATAATACCTTCTAAATACAACCTCGGCCCCTGCCACAAGCCAGGACGCGGGGTAGACCGCTTTTGTGCCGATCTCTTGTCGCTACAACGGCGGACACTGAACACTCTTGCCCTTGCAATCAGGTCTTCTGCTGGGTTTAGCCATTCCGTCGAAGCCTGTAGGACTGCCTATACTCCGTGAAACACAGTGGACATGCCTCCAACCCCGCTGGCTAATACCAGCTACACCACCGCCCGGCTAGTGCACACCACTTCCCCTCACCGCTTGGCCCTCGCCCGAGGTCCCCGGCTTCCAGCTTGTAGAAAGTATTCCCCTTGCCCACTCACATCCTCCAATAACAGATATTACACACGACAGACCACATGGCGAGCCAGTTCCAATGTCCCCAGATCTCACCAGGCTGCTGCTGCTACCACCACCCCAACGATGGCGTCCGCAACAGCGAAGCAGCAGAAACCCAGTCCCGCGATTCCCCGGCCTAGTTCTAGGTGAGTCCTGTACAGGCGACACAGGAAGACATGGCGTCAGATATCAACTCGTAGTATGGCCACTCTTTCGCTAAGTTCCTCTCTGTACAGTGTGATCCTGGTCTCCCCCCGACACGAGATCCTTCTGCTTCACCGCGTCAAAACCTCCACTTCATTCGCCTCCGCCCACGTCTTTCCTGGAGGGAACCTCGCTTCCCAGGACGGCCCATGTCCGCCCGCGGAGGATCTCAAGCGCCACGAGGACGGCCCTTGGTACCGCAACGCCGCGATCCGCGAGCTCTTCGAGGAGAGCGGCATTCTTCTCGCCAAGGATGCGGTCTCCGGGAAGATGCTCAGCGTCCCTGAGGATCTGCGCGAAAAGGGTCGACGCGCCATCCATCAGAACCAGATTGCTTTTGCGGAGTGGTTGAAGCAGCAGAACCCCAATGCGGTACCAGATACAGGTAGAGCGCTCCCTCTTCTTCCCCCGCCCCCTCCTTGTCAATGCTTCCACTTACTGAGCCCTTCGACCACGCCTACAAAAAGACCAATTAATCCCCTTCACCCGCTGGATCACCCCAGCAACCAACACCAGACGGTACACCACGCAGATGTACCTGTACTTCCTCCCTCTCCCGGCGGACGCAGAGGCTGCAACCCCGGTCCTCGATGAAGTACCGTCCGAGGGACAGCGGGAGGAGATCCACATCCCGACGAGCGATGGGGGCGTCGAGGTCACGGAGGCTCGGTTTTTGGCGGCTTCGGAATGGCTGCGCCTGGCGCAGAGCGGCGAGATCATCCTGTTCCCGCCGCAGTTCCTGCTCTTGCATCTGGTCGCTGGGTTCTTGGATAAGGAGCCTCGCGGTGTGGAGTCGGTGCAGGAGTTGCGCAGGCGGCGGGCGGAGTTGGTCGAGTTTGTGCACTCGGGTCAGCCTACCTGGGCGGAGAAGTGCATCTCTCCGAAGATGCTGCGGATAGCCTCCGATGGACGGACGGTGTTGGCGCTGGATCAGCCGGGTCCGGAACTTCGAGGCACGGCGAAGCAGGGAGAGACGGAGCGGGTGGTGCTGGTGAAATTTGCGAAGGGGGAGGCGCGCAATTTGGAGGTACGGTGGAAGAAGGACGCCTTTGGAGAGAAGGGTCGGATATGAGAGAAGATGTGGGAGTTGGGGGTATCACAATGGGTTTCTGCTATGCTTGAAGTGGAATATTGGTATACAAGCTCGCGCAACACCTCGAATAGATGGCTTGTTCACCTTATTGCAAGATGCGGGCCCTTGTTTTGGACCAGAGCGATTCGCTACCTGGCCTATCATTGAGACGAGGGCCCTCTACAGTCAGAAACAGAGAGATGATAAAGTCAAACATGATAGTGCTCTTATATACGCTCATAGATGTAACTGTTGCAAAGAGTACGAGAGGGCTGTGCCGGGTATCATACATACTCCGTACAGTCTCCGCAGGGCACGTACCGCACTAACCCCAACCGGCAAGGTGCAGCCTTACCTAATCCAGCGCAACCTTAGCGGCAAGCCCTCGACAAACAATCACATGACCCACAACCGGGAAACGCAGAAAGTTGTCCGGGTCACCATTTCACCACATCCGCCCCCCGTCTCAATTTCCCGCGCACCGCTCCGTTTTTCTCGTCAACCTCAAGTTCCTCACCACCCACCAACCTCGCCAAAATGGAGAACGACAAGGGAGAGATCGTCGATCTGTACGTACACCTTTTCCTAGTTTTTTTGGCCCCGGGATACGGCAGTCTGGGGGTTGCTCGATGGCGGAGACCGACTGCAGAGAGGACGAGCGAGACGAAGAGGATGGAGGACAAGAGGAGGACAGGATGCGACGTGCGATATTCGACCTGGTCAGGCCCGTTTTTTTCCGCCTGCAGGAATGCCAATCGGGAGATATAATGAGATGTGAATCGAGACCACATGGAAAAGCGCAAGCGGGAGAAGTGTGCGCTGTACATCGGATATCTTCTCTGGCACCAGGTCGAATCGCATATTGGGATTCTGTTCGCTGCTGTTATCCTACCCTCTCATCAAGCACTCCTCCACTGTCGCCAGGCTTCAGCCCGTCGTCTTGCGCAGTCTGGGCCTGTGACTCGGCTTCCATGACCGTTCAAGCCTTGCCTATGTTTCCAACTTAACGAGCTAACACCCTCGTCTCCAGCTACGTGCCCCGCAAGTGCAGCGCCACCAACCGCATCATCAAGGCCAACGACCACGCCTCTGTGCAGATCTCCATCGCCAAGGTTGACGAGAACGGCCGCTACACCGGCGAGAACCAGACCTACGCCCTGTGCGGTTTCATCCGTGCCCGTGGTGAGAGCGATGACTCCCTGAACCGCCTGACCCAGCGTGACGGCTACCTCAAGAACGTCTGGACCGCCAGCCGTCAGCGCTAAGCGGACGGACCGGAAACGACGGGTGGTGTCAATTTTTTAATTTTTTTGATGTCGGGTATTTGGTGATGGTAAGGACTCTGGTTTGCCTTTTTTTGCGGATGCGGGCTGTAGATGGTTGCTTTTCAGTGACGCCGTCGGATCAGCCCACGCTGCGATTCCGCGTACGTGATGATGGGAATCCATGCTAACTTTGTTGTCATGTGTGCAGGATGAGATGTGTCCCATGCTGGAAAGTGATGGTCACATCATGATATATCTTATATCCCCAAAAAGAACTTGAATGAAAAGAAAAATTTCAATAAAAAAAAATCCCCCACCAAATGACTCGACCATCACCCCATCTTTCTCTCTATCTCTCTGTCTCTTCTCTTTTTCGAAACTCTGTATGAAAGCAAATGTAGTCCCCAATTTCCTCTCTGTGTGTATCCTCCCCCAAAGCAAAAAACCGGCACATCAAAAGCCTCCACGCAATCCTCGTCGAAACCCCGGGTTGTTTGGTTCCTTCTCCTCTCGTGTCCTGGATACGAACCGGACAGGAAACCAAACATCCATCCCTTTCGATATAGTCCCATGTGCGAGGGGGGTTTTTTCAGAACCTTTCTGTAGTAATCCTTATCAGAAATGCCAATGCCGGGAGATTGAAGTCATCTCCGCCTGCTGAAGAGCCACTGTCGCAGAGTCGTGCACTGGGGCACAGATACGGGTGGGACATTATCCTGCAAGAAATGAATATTATTAAACTGGGTGCTTTTATTCGGGTTTCGTTCATGCGTAAGTACTGCCAGACTTTCACTTCCATAAGTAGGGGGGGTTGCAGTCACTTATACAGTCATTTAAGACTCCTTGAGAATGTATTTGGTATAGTAGTTTCTAATAGGGAGCATACTTTACATGATTCTTTTGAACAGGATATCATAGTACCTAATATAGTCCTCCCAAGAGATCAGATCATATCTGATACGACACTCCTTTTTTCAAAGAGGAATGGAATATACCTTTGTCCTCATATCCACTGGCATAATCCTCGTAATCCATTTCACTTGACATAAGTTGTTCTTTTTACCAGACGCCAGGACCGGGGAGATGGCACCACACTTTCAAAAGTCTTTTGCAAATTCATTTCAACATGAAAGATTAACAACGAAAAAGAAAAGAAAAAAAGGCACAACTCCTGCCCTGTTTTCTTCTGGGTTCTCTATCTCATTCAACACTACCCCCACCGTCAATTCCTTTCCTGCCTCTATCGCTACCTGCTTGCCTTTATTATCTGGTTTTTTAGTTTCAGTTTTGTTTGGTGTCTAGTCCTTCTCCAATCTAACCGCGGGGTTACTTTCGATGAAGTTGAGGTCGACCTTGTGGCCCAGGAGTTCACGGATGTTGCTGACGCCGTACCTATTGCGTTCTCTCCGTTAGCAAATGGCCTCACGCCAGATGAAAGAAAGCGGGGAGGAACGTACTTAATCATCGTGGGTCTTTCCAGACTCAAACCCCAGCCGTACACCCGCATGTCTTTCGGAATTCCCATCGGCTCCAGCATCTCCGGCCGGAACATACCGCTGTTACCAATTTCAACCCACTTGCCCAGGCCGTTGTGGTACCCGAAGATCTCCATGCTGGGTTCGGTGTAGGGGTTGTAGGCGGGCTTGAAGCGCAGCTGGTGGATGCCCATCTTGGCGAAGAAGACCTCCATGAACCCAATCAGCCCGCCCAGCGTCAGCCCGTAGTCGGCGATGACACCCTCGATCTGGTGGAACTCGGCCAAGTGGGTGGCGTCGACCGCCTCGTTGCGGAAGACGCGGTCGATACTGAAGTAGCGCGCCGGGCGCGGGTTGGCCGCCAGCTTGTGCAGCACGTAGGTCGAGACGGAGGTCGTGTGCGTGCGCAGCACCAGGCGCAGCGCCTCGTCAGCGTCCCATGGGTAGCGGTAGCCGATAGAGCCGTACTTGCCACTCTCGTGGACCTGGCGCACGTCGTCCCAGTATTGCTTGTAATCGAGGGTCTTGGTGGGGGAAGTAGAAGAGGAGGAGGTGGTGGTGGGTTGGAGGGTCTTGATCTGGTGGGGGTCGTTAGGCGGGTCCTCGCGCGGGGGGTCGGCCTTGACGGGGTCGGCGATGTAGAAGGTGTCTTGGAGGTCGCGGGCGGGGTGCTGCTGCGGCACGAAGAGGGCGTCGAAGTTCCAGAAGCCCGTCTCGACGAAGCGGTTGGTCGGCATCTCCTCGAAGCCCATCTCGAAGAAGATGTTGCGGAACTCCTGGCGCACCTTGTTGAGCGGGTGGAAGGTGCCGGCCGGGGTGGGCGCACCCTTGGCCTTGAAGTTGTACGGCTTGAGGTGCGCCGTCTTCCACGAGCCGCTCATCAGCATCTCCGCCGTCAGGTCCGTCTCCTCCTTGACGAACTCGCGGGCGTACTTGGGGCCCTTGGCGATCTTGAAGCTGATCACCTTCTGCAGCGTCACCAGCTTGCGCCGCTTCAGATCCGTCAGCGCCTTGGCGTCCGGCACCGTCTGCGTCTTCTGCACCGTGAGCAGCAGCTCGCGGGTCTCGTCGACGATCGTCTCGGTTGTCGCCCGCAGGAGGTCCTTGTCCTTCTTAATCCAGCCCTTCTTGAACGCATTGCCCTGGCCGACCTTGGCGTTCTCCTTGCCCACAATGCCCGGCAGGTCGCCAATCTTCAATCCATCCAGAGCCGCCAGCACGGCTTGGAAAACCTTAGCCTCGTGGCTGCCATTGGTGGCGATCTCTTCACCTTCCGGGGTCAGAACGGCGATCTCTTTCTCGAGCGTGTCATACTCGACCATCTGTCGGGAGGCTAGACGGTCCAGTGAGGCCTTGATATTTAGTGAGGGGACGGAGGGGAAGGCTTCGCTGGACAGAATAGAGGCGTCGGACGCGGACAGAGCGTCCAAAATGGTTTTCGTCATATCGCTCGCCATGACTGCAAGCCAAGAATGGTCCCCAGAAGGTGAGTCCGAAGGGGAGTGGAGGAATGGGAGAGTGAATAGAGCAGGAGGGGTCGTGGAGGCACCGATCAGACACTGCCCACTTCAATTACAATTATGACTCTTTTCGGGCACGGCTTCTGCAGTACGGCGGGCGGGAACAACCACTGCCGCTGTGTCCCGTGACCTGCCATCGGCTCGTACCCCGCCATCTTCTTCGGTCATTCTTTTACTAAAGTTAAAGGATGGTCTTCACTGAGATCCCGAGTCATTAAAGCTCCACCCCCAACTTTACTCTAGTGATTATGCGGAGGACCTACAGATTTCGGACGGCTGGACATGGACATGTATCTAAGGTGTGCAGTCCCATGGAGGGCCACGGACTACACAACCCAAGTCCCATGATCTCGCTCAAGTCGTCAAGAGACCAGTTCGAAACCGATTGCCGTGCAACAGCATATGCCGGTAAAACCATGTATGTCGACTGTCCATGACAGGTATTGGGAGGGGAATGGGATCACTTGTAGTCGACCCAAGCATCTGCCCTGTCCACTGCAAGGGGCTCAGGCCAGGAGTCACCAAAACAAGAGAGCCCTCTCTCGAGAGACCATGGATAGGAATGAAGGATGGGTACTAGTTAGTTACAGTCTAGTACTCTCGTAATGAGGCTCGCTGCATCAAGTCACGATTGAAGCAATCCGTGCAAATCAAGTTAACTCAGCAGGATCTGTAGACGACCACTTTCGCATTGCGCTCAACCGTTAGGGGGTCTTAGAGTGAGGGATTCTCCTAAATTATTCATCCCGTGACGGACCTGGCCACCTCACTAAGCGTGAAAAAATGCCTGTCGCTGGCGATTGCCTGTGTGCAACCATGACATGCTGGGAACTTACTACTGAGTGTAGGACGCGGAAGATCCGAATGGACAGAGACGTGATATATAATTCTCTGTCGACCGAACCAAGGCACTTAGTTAACAGACCATGGTCTGGGGAAGCCTGTATTTTAGAGGAGTGGGAAGGGCAAAGTCCAATGATGCAGAAGCTGTTGACAAGTGCTACACCATCTCTGGTGACCTGAAGGATTATTTCCCTGCTTGTCCCGTAGTGGCTGGCAGCTGGTTGGATATACTAGGGAGTGACTAGTCTAGTGTATCTGAGATGATGCCAGGAAGGCATGGCTTTGCAACGGTGAACGAGACCTAATGCAGTTTAGGACGACAGACCCCAGCAAATAATGGACAGGTAGGGTTAGCGTCTGCCTCAAAAGCAAGATTTAGGGGGGGAGCAGCAGCAGCAGATTCTGATACTCTTAGCTTCTCCTGTGAATGGGCTTTCTGGATAGATTCACTGGATTGACCAGGCTGTTGCTCCTCCTCCTCCCACCCCTTCGGTCACAGATTACAGTGGTTTAAGTACGGAAGTGAGTCCAGACAGAAGTACAGAAGTACCAAGAGTCACAGACGTCTGTTTGGTTATGTGCCTTCATTATCTGGCATCCTAAGATCCTCGCATGAAAGTTCCCAGCCCAGTTTAGTTAGAGGTGAACCACGAAAGCTCTTCTCAGTATGGATCTTCATGATTGGCTGATCGGAGGACATCGACGGGTCTTGCACGCGACCGCTGGGTCTGGACTGGATCTTCCCGAGGGGGGATTTCTTATGGTGATGATGATGATGATGATGATGGTGATGATAATGATGGTGATGCCGTTTACTAGGTATGTATCATCACGGAAAGTAATCAAAACTCAAAGAAACTCTCTGGGAGATTCAAGACAAGCACTCGGATGGTCCCTTAACTTCCCTTTCAGCCATTCTCCAGACTTTACCTTAAATTTTTTGGCGATCATCCCGAACACTCCCCATAGAAAAGACTTCGAGAAGGAAATAGAGGAATTCCAATCCCATGGTTCTTTCAGTCTCGCAGGCGGTCTGCTCCACTCAACCCCAGCCGTGACTAATGGCTACTAGTAGTTATCGAGAATCCAAAAGAATGAGTTGGATCATTGCCCAACACGGCTGGTAACCCAATAAACTTATGCCAGCCGATGAACCTTAGGCGTCGACTTAGTCTTACTAGCAGCATCATTATCGATTGGCGATTCACGACCAAACATTGAAAATCCGATCGAGATTCCCCCCCCGAGCGAACAGGCGATGTCTCAGGCATGGACCTGTGCGCCTGGGCGGACATCCAGTGGACACCAACGGGCGGGAAAGATATGTATCCAAACCGAAAAGATGATAGCTAGACTGGCATGCACCTGCACCACTGGCAGTGTCTTAATTACTACATGCAAGAAAGATGATACAATCAAGCAGGAAACATGAAGTCATAGATCAACTTCTAGACCATTTCTTTACCAAGTTCTGCGGTACTAAGTAGCTACTAAGGGCGCCCGAAACACCACCTCGCGGGACAGAGGACAGAGGCCTCCTGTTCCTGCGGTGGTCTCGTCTGTCCAGACCGGTCTGCCCTGCAGTCATTCTTGATTTCATTTCCTCCACCCTCTGGTTTTACTGTCTTTGCGCATCCCGTCTCGCAGCTTTTTGTTTTCCCTTCGGTCGCCAACCAGTTAGAGCGTTGGTGCTGTTTGAGTCGATAGTGATAGGTAAACACAGGCCAAAGCCGTTTCCCGACGTCTCACCCGCTTCTGGAGCCCCGGCAATACGAATGCCACTACGTAGTCGACTTGCCGAATACTTGTTCCGGTGCCCCTCCCTAATATCCTTTCGTCTTCATCATAGGCAGTGTGATGGAGGATAGAACCGCGATGAATGGTAGTGGTGGGAACATGACTGGTCTTGATAATCTGCCGTGCATGTAGTAAGTAGGTCGTAGTCGCTTGCTTGATACTCCAAATCGAGCTCGTTCGGCAAGGCTTCATTCTTTCCTGCTTTGTACCGGTAAATATCATTGACCCAGTGCATACTATAAGTCATGCAATGTGGGCAGACCCCCCAGAATCAATATTCGGCAACCAAAAGGAAAGCTGCCTGGTGCTTCAAGGCTCAGGCTGCCGCCGGAGGTTCCCCCAAAGCAGGGATGTCCGTGCGGTTGATGTTGTGGTCATTTTCTGGCGGTATGGTACGGTATTGTTTGTATTGTTTGTAGTCATGCTCACGCGGCAAGGTCGCTCGCTTTCCGACACGCGCCAAGGGCACACACGCCACCTACCTACCAACATCCATTGACAAGCAGTTTGACACTAGGGGACAGACAGACAGTGAGAGGGAGAGAGAGGAGTGAAAATCTTCGTTCTTTCTTTGGTCGGTGTGAGACACCTTGGAAGGGGACCACTTACGATAACCGTATGAGACATGGTTATTCTGTACTTGTTTGGTGCAAAGTGGCAGTTCGCGGAAGAACGGGCAAAATAAAATAATAACATACCGTGTAAGATTGTAAATAAGCCGGTCAGTTTTCCTGCGCCCCCCTTCTTCCCCCCCCACACCACGCGAGCTGAAAAAATGCATTAGTGATTGATGACTTACTGTCATGTTATGAACTTTGCTGTCGTTGCTTCGACCAAGGGGGGAAAGGTAAGGATTTCTAAAGCCCCGGGAACCAAGGGTCGTGTCACTTTCGGAGATTAGGTTAGATTCCTTCTTTTCTTCTTATATCCTCAGCTGGGTAAGGAAGCAGAGAAATGGAATAGCCACTTAAGCACTATCTGAATGTCATAATGCAGAAGCAACGCAGAGGATAGAATATGAGATATACATGCTTATTGGTCTGTCTCTCGATGTGTACATTCCAGTCCTCGTTCGAAGTCCTGTGCGGGGAGAAGGAGAGGGGGAACTGAAAAACCAAGGAAAATTCTCCAGATCCTCCCGGGTGGGAGATCAACCGCTGACTGGAGGAACTGTTCAGCGGCAGCGATCCCTTGATAAGTGAGACGGTGTACGGAGTACTTTTTCACTATCTATGGATTGCGGTTTGAGCGAGGTTTTGAATGGTAACTTAGTGATTGCTATTGACCCCTCCCTCTCTCCTCTCTCCGACTCGGATCACGCCTCGTTGCTTTGCCTCGTCGCCAGGGGCGTTGCTTCAACTCAGCCTCAGTTGACTTGCACGCATGGGACCCGATCGCGGTCTTCACATATGAACTTGGATCGAACAATTTTTTACTCTGGTCATTCCCATCAGTATTCTGCGTTCTGCGATTGTACTGTACACCGTACTCCGTAGACAGTTGTCATTTGTCCTCTTTGACGGGGCATACTGGTTAACCTACCAGTTACTGGAAGGTTATGAATCTGCTGACTGATCCGACAGTCTCCCCTTTATTCCACTCTCTCTCCCAATAATAATCCCATTTCTTCGTCCTCCCCGCTCGATCTTTACTGTGCTATTCTTTTGGATCTACCTTAAACCTACCCATCTGCTGTCCATCCATTAAATCTGATCCGGCTACTTTTCACTCAGCCTGTCGTTGTTGGCTCTGGTTCCCAAAGGTGCAGTGCTTTGCTTTGCTTTGCTTTGCTTTGCTGTACTGTACTGTGCTGTGCTGTGCTGTGCTGTGCTGTGCTGTGCCTTGCCTGCCTTAATTTGCCTGCCTTAACCTCATTGCTGCTGCTTGCCGACAGTTTCTCAATTCTTCTTCTTATTCTTTTCCCCTTTTCTGATTCACGCCAAATCCACCGAGGATCTTCAAGTTCTTTGAGCCTTCTTGGATCTTCGCATCCACTCCATTCTCCACCGGACAGACAGACAGACAGACAGACAGAAGATAGACATACAACACGAACTCCTCTATGTCGTCCTAATACTATATCCAATCTTTTCCTTTACTTTCATCTCCGTCTTCCACCTACTTACTCCTCCTACTGGTCATTCGTGTCACGAAACCATTGTCACTCCTATCTAGGTAGGGAAGAACTCACTCCTCTCCCCCTTCTTCATCATCATCATCATCATCATCTTATCTTTTTGCTCCTCCCCCCCATCCCACCGTCACCGTCAGTTCGTCATCTCTGGTCAACATCTGCCATTTGCTTCAGGCTTATCCACTTGGGTGCTGCCTTTTGCTGCCTTCGCCCAATCATTCATCCGCCGAGGCCACTGCATTGGTTTTTCGTTATTTTGCCCCCCCTCTCTCCACACAATTTGCTGCTGGTGCCAAACTGCCATCCATCATCCCCTTTCCGAGTCAACCTCACGAAAGTCCGACCTGTTGCTGTCTTTCCCACTCCGCTTGGCTGTCCTATTCCAATTTTTCTGTGTTCAATTTTTTTTATTTTTCTCTTTTTTAATTTTTTTTTTTTATTTTTGATTCCTGACTTCTACTTATTGTTTCTTATTTCGGTATTTTCTATCCTCACCTTGCCTATTTCTCTTTCCTGAAAATTTTCCCTTACCCATTCGCCATTGATCCTCCTTTATCTCTTTTATTTTCACCTGGACGTTTTGTTCTCTGGTTATTTGCCTCATTTCTAATCTAATCACCTTCGGAGTCGAGTCCCGGTCACACTCTTCTTCTTTCCCCCCTCCTCCCCCCAAAACAATTTGACTTTCGGCCTTTCCCCTCCTGGCGTTTCCCCTCCGCCCGCTTCCCTTTTGCCTTGTCTTGTCCTCTATTATTCTGCCCTCGGTCTCCTCCCTCCCTTTCTTTATTCCTCGAACTTCATCATACTGTCACTCCCTTTTATCTGTCCCCATTCTTCTCGTCACTTCTTCTCATATGCAGTCTCACAGCTCCTAGACCGTAATCCGGATTACTACCCCCCCCCAAACCTCCCTTCCCCCCCAGGAAAATCTCCTTTCGCCCACCATACATATGTCATTGGACTGAGAAGTCCTAAGGCATAATGGCTGGCGCAGACGAGACGCTCGCGGCCGCTACTGCCATTCTCAGGGAGTTAGCCAGAGAATCCCCCGGTGCTCCCCCCTTCGACTTCGAATTCTCCCACACTTCTACTACCAATGGATGCGACTCGAAAGTGGCCAAACTCCCTGGAGAAAAAAGCGCGGCAAAAGCGGCATTCGAACAGGAATTGGAGGCTCTGGTTCGACGAGTCCACCATCTGGAATTTCAATCTGTCAGTCACCGATCACCCCCAGGAATCACCTTGAAGGCCTTTCAGCCCACCCTCGTCCCCAGCGAGAACGATTCTGAGACCCCTTGGGCATTTGGCCTCCCAAGCTTGGCATCCTCTGACGGTTCTGACTCTTCTTGTCTTATACAGCAGCACAATCCACATCGCTCTCGTGCATCAAGGCGATCAGCTCCCGGACCGGAAGATGGCGAAGCAGAGGAAGATATCGATGAAGATGACAGCGATGAGGACGAGGACCTGGGCTCAAGGACGCGTCTAGTACGCGAAGAGGATATCAGTTACTTACGGAATCATGTGCAGAAACAGGCGGAGGAAATAAGTTTCCAGAAGGACATCATCGCTCAGGTGCGGGATGAATTACAACAGCAGGAGGAACAAACTCGTCGGGCCCTCATCAAGGTGGAAAATGAAGATGTCGTGCTGCTGGAGCGAGAATTACGCAAGCATCAACAGGCCAACGAGGCCTTCCAGAAAGCACTACGGGAAATCGGCGGAATCATCACCCAAGTAGCCAATGGTGATTTGTCAATGAAGGTCCAGATCCATCCCCTGGAGATGGACCCTGAAATCGCTACCTTCAAACGGACGATAAACACCATGATGGACCAGTTGCAAGTCTTTGGTAGCGAAGTGTCCCGAGTCGCTCGCGAGGTCGGCACCGAAGGTATACTCGGCGGTCAGGCGCAGATCACCGGAGTGCATGGTATCTGGAAGGAATTGACGGAGAACGTCAACATAATGGCCAAGAACCTTACCGACCAGGTCCGTGAAATCGCCGCGGTCACCACGGCTGTCGCCCACGGAGACTTGAGTCAGAAGATCGAAAGTCGGGCTCAGGGTGAAATCTTGGAACTTCAACAGACGATCAATACCATGGTTGACCAACTCCGGACATTCGCCACGGAGGTCACCCGAGTCGCGCGTGATGTCGGTACAGAAGGTGTTCTTGGGGGACAGGCTCAGATTGAAGGGGTACAAGGCATGTGGAACGAACTCACGGTGAACGTCAACGCCATGGCGAACAATTTGACAACGCAAGTGCGTGATATTGCGACAGTCACCAAGGCGGTCGCAAAGGGTGACTTGACGCAGAAGGTCCAGGCCAACTGCAAAGGAGAAATCGCGGAACTCAAGAACATTATAAACTCCATGGTGGATCAATTGCGACAATTTGCCCAGGAAGTTACCAAGATTGCAAAGGAGGTCGGTACGGATGGTGTACTCGGTGGACAAGCAACGGTCAATGACGTGGAAGGTACATGGAAGGATCTAACAGAGAATGTCAACCGCATGGCGAACAATTTGACCACCCAGGTCAGAGAGATTGCCGATGTCACCACTGCCGTCGCCAAGGGTGATCTGACCAAGAAGGTTACCGCCAACGTCCAGGGTGAAATACTTGATTTGAAGAGCACGATCAACGGCATGGTGGATCGTTTGAATACTTTTGCTTTTGAAGTCAGTAAGGTTGCTCGTGAAGTCGGTACGGACGGCACTTTGGGCGGTCAGGCCAAGGTCGACAATGTTGAAGGAAAGTGGAAGGACCTCACCGACAATGTCAACACCATGGCCCAGAATTTGACGTCTCAGGTTCGAAGTATCTCGGACGTGACGCAAGCTATTGCCAAGGGTGATCTTAGCAAGAAGATTGAGGTGCACGCGCAGGGAGAAATTCTGACGCTCAAGGTTACCATCAATCACATGGTGGACCGATTGGCCAAATTTGCAACTGAGCTGAAGAAGGTTGCGCGCGATGTCGGGGTCGACGGCAAGATGGGTGGTCAGGCCAATGTGGAAGGAATTGCCGGAACCTGGAAGGAGATCACAGAGGATGTGAACACTATGGCTGAAAACTTGACCTCTCAAGTACGTGCCTTCGGTGAGATTACTGATGCTGCCACCGACGGAGACTTCACCAAGCTTATCACGGTCAACGCCTCTGGGGAGATGGACGAGCTGAAGCGCAAGATCAATAAGATGGTTTCCAACCTCCGAGACAGTATTCAGCGTAACACCGCTGCCAGGGAGGCAGCCGAGCTGGCCAACCGCACCAAGTCCGAGTTCCTGGCCAATATGAGTCACGAGATCCGAACTCCTATGAACGGAATCATCGGTATGACGCAGTTGACACTCGACACGGACGATCTCAAGCCTTATACACGCGAGATGTTGAATGTCGTGCATAACCTTGCGAACAGTTTATTGACTATCATCGACGACATACTCGATATCTCGAAAATCGAGGCGAACCGCATGGTCATTGAAAGCATTCCATTCACTGTCAGGGGAACTGTCTTCAATGCCCTCAAAACCCTGGCGGTCAAGGCCAACGAGAAATTCCTGAGCCTCACGTACCAGGTCGATAACACTGTTCCTGACTATGTCATTGGTGATCCGTTCCGTCTGCGCCAGATCATTTTGAACCTGGTCGGCAATGCAATCAAGTTCACTGAGCATGGCGAGGTGAAGCTTACTATCTGCAAATCCGATAGAGAGCAGTGCGCGGCAGACGAGTATGCTTTTGAGTTCTCAGTCTCTGATACCGGAATCGGTATCGAAGAGGACAAACTGGATCTCATTTTCGACACTTTTCAGCAAGCGGATGGCTCGACAACCCGGAGGTTCGGTGGAACCGGTCTTGGACTGTCTATCTCGAAACGTCTGGTCAACTTGATGGGTGGTGATGTTTGGGTCACCTCCGAGTATGGCCATGGTAGCACCTTCCATTTCACCTGCGTCGTCAAGTTGGCCGACCAGTCTTTGAGTGTCATTGCGTCGCAACTCCTGCCGTACAAGCACCACCGAGTCTTGTTCATTGACAAGGGCGAAAACGGCGGTCAGGCTGAGAACGTGATGAAGATGCTTAAGCAGATCGATCTGGAGCCTATTGTTGTGCGCAATGAAGACCACGTGCCGCCGCCAGAAATCCAAGATCCCTCTGGTAAGGAGTCCGGACACGCCTACGATGTCATTATCGTGGACTCGGTGGCCACCGCCCGACTCCTGCGGACATTCGACGATTTCAAATATGTTCCCATCGTCCTTGTCTGTCCCTTGGTGTGCGTCAGCCTGAAGTCCGCCCTTGATCTGGGTATCAGCTCATACATGACGACGCCATGCCAACCCATTGATCTCGGCAACGGTATGCTACCTGCGTTGGAAGGTCGTTCCACGCCTATCACGACGGATCATTCTCGTTCCTTCGACATTCTCTTGGCCGAAGACAACGATGTCAACCAGAAGTTGGCCGTCAAGATCTTGGAGAAGCACAACCACAACGTCTCCGTTGTTAGTAACGGTCTGGAGGCTGTCGAAGCCGTGAAACAGCGTCGCTACGACGTCATCCTGATGGACGTACAGATGCCGGTTATGGGTGGTTTCGAAGCCACCGGAAAGATCCGCGAATACGAGAGAGAAAGCGGTCTGAGTCGGACGCCTATCATTGCGCTAACGGCGCACGCCATGTTGGGTGACAGAGAGAAGTGTATTCAAGCCCAAATGGATGAATATCTGTCCAAGCCTCTGAAGCAGAACCAAATGATGCAAACCATCTTGAAGTGCGCCACGCTCGGTGGCTCCCTTCTTGAAAAGAGCAAGGAATCACGAATCTCGAGTAGCGGCGAGATGCACCCGGTCCATCACAGTGCCCCTGATAACAAGCATCAGCGTCCAGGTATGGAGGCAAGAGCCTTGACCGCATCAGGCGCCATGAATGGTGGTAGTCTGGTAAGCCCGACGTTGGAGAAGGAAGACATGACCATGGAAAGGGTACGTTTGCCATTGGACTATGAAGTCTGCCCATACTAATAAAGTCAATAGGCACTGTTGCGATCCAACAGCTCGTGAGACGATTTCAAGATTCTTCATTGCACTTGCTTTTTTCTGTTTCATCATTCGAGTGGCTTCGATGCAAATCATATACCCTAACCCTTTGCGCGCCTGTACGAACTGTTCACTGCATGGTGACTTCTACGTCTTTCATCACATGCCTCTTCTCATCATTTCAGTTGTGCCTTTGGATGCCGGGTCGAATTTTCCTGGCTTTCACTGGTGACTGAACCTACCTAACTCTCTCCTGTTCTTCTGCGTCTCGGTCGATTCTCTCTCCATCTTTGCATACGTATTGTTGCGGGCACATTGTCGACAGTTCCAGCCATGGTAATTTTTGTGTTGTTTGACACGTTTCGCGTATACTATATCTTTTGACTGATCTCGGATTGTGATTGACCTATCGGGCCTTATGTCTCTGGTATGGTGTTTTGTGGCGCCTGGAAGTCTCATGTATGACTTGGAGGGAGCAGGGGACGGCGGCGGATGGCTGCTCTTGTGCAATTCGGTGCTGACGGACTATACTACATGTTTTGCATGGAATGAAGATTGGCATGAGTTTGACATTCGCCCACACGAGTCTCCAAGAAAATCTCCCTGTATGTTTTGTAAAATGGTTGTTGCTGGATTTGATTCTTTGCGTATGGCTTGTCCTATTCCTACCATTCGATTCTCACCTGTTGCCTGATTATTTGATTATCCCACATTCTTTATCCTATCCTCTTCATTAAAGCCTGCGAACCTTTCCCAGTTCTGTATTGTATTCCTTCTTTCTCTTCTATCACTTGCACATGCAACAACCATTCGCCACAGAAGATGGAAAGCCCCGGTCTCCCACGACTCAATACAAGTTCTTGGATGATCCACTAATATTTAGAAAAGTATCATCCTCTACTGTAGTCTCTAAAGATGGAAAAGTCCACCGTCAATTATCGATAGGAATGTTTGGTTATTATGGGTCAGGTCAGAGACGAAGCAATTGCATCATCATCATCATCATCATCATCATCATCATCATCATCATCGTTCTGAGAATGCGAAATCTGGCCTTCCTTGCCTTCAGTTTTAGATTGAATGATACAGTGACAGGAGAACTGATCCCAATACTGATGTTTCCAATAACACTAGAAACTTCATAATCTGGCAATTCCCCCCTACTAATCGAGTTAAAAACAATACGACACAGCAAACATTAGTGGTTGAAACATTGAATAAACTTTGAAAAACATAGATGAGCTTTTATTGATCCCCCCTCCCCCCTCCCCTCTCCCCCCTCCCCCCAACCTTGTCCGAACGAATTGATTGACTTGAGAGGTGAAGTGGATGATTGCGCGCGAACTGACTCAAGCTGGAGGAGTTTTATGCCTGCTGTATCTCCCGCCGAATCACCGGATACCTAGTAAAGCCGTTCTCAGTCTCCCTCGCTGACAGGTACTGATTATTATGATAATGGCTCTGCGATGGCGCTGGCGCTGGTACCGGTGGCGCTATGTGCGCTGTAGCAGCAGCAGCAGCAGCAGTTGCTGTCGACGAGCTAGGAGCGAAGAAGGAGCCGGAGACTGTTGTCGAGGAGATGTGTCTTGTCGGTGTTGTTGTTTGTAGAGTTGGCGCTGGGGGTGCGGGTGGGGGATGGGGATGGGGAGGGGCATGGGGTTCCTCTTCCTGTTCTCCTGAAGCTGGGAAAGAGGGCCCGGGCATTGGGATCGTGGGGAGGGTGATTGATGGGACGGGGGAGGGAGTTGGGATTGGGAGGGACGGGGGTGGGAGGTGGGGTGGGTGGATTGCGTCGATGCTGGTGCTGGTACTTATGCTGACGCTGACGCTGCTGGTGCTGGTGCTGCTACTCGTAGTGATCTTCGAGGGTGTCGTCGATGGAGGTCGAATTGTTCGGCTGCGGATGCGGGTGCGGGTGCGAGTGCGAGTGCGAGTGCGTGTACGGGTTGACGGGGTGCGCGTTGGTTGGATACTCCCGCTGAGTGTCGTCAAGGTAGGTTCAGGGCCCGGAATGATGCCTCCGCGGCTGATACTAGTCAGAATAGATATCATTCCGCTGCTGCTGCTGCTGCTGCTGCTGCTCGGAGGCGGCTGAGAGACTCCCGTAGAAGAAGACGGGGGAATGCAGACAGGGATATCATCCGGGAGGAGGCAGATAAGAATGTCTTCCTCTTCCTCTTCCTCGTCCTCGTCCTCCTCGTCCGCGTCCGCGTCCTTTTTGTCGCCGTTGCTAGGCTTGGTGTCTGGCGTGGTGCTGGCGGTGAAGCTCTCTGGTAGGACTCCACTGGCTCCGTGGTTGAATAGTCCTCTTTTCAAGACGTGGGTGTGTTTGACGCTGCTGGTGGTGGTGCTGCCACTGCTGATGCTGATACTACTGCTGATGCTGATACTGCTACTGGTCGTGGCCGCCACCGTGACCGTGACCGTGTGGACGGAGGGACAGGGCGGGCATTGCACGGACGGACATGCAGGCTCATTTTCCTTTGGATCCTTTGGCCAGGGAGTCGTAGGATCTGGAAGGTGTGATTGAGAGCTGCTGTCGGGTAGTTTGCTGGGGTCTTCGACCCTCGAGCTGGTGGTCGTGGTGGGATGCACGATGCCGTCTGACGGCGGAATGCGGATGACGCTGTTGCTGCTGCTGCTGATGAGGTATGATGGAGACGAGATGCTTAGAGCTGGGTGTGGGATATGCTCTCCTGCGCCGTCGTGGGGCACACCTGAAGGGAAGGGGTGGATCACTGGCTCAGAGGAGGGGGTCACACCAGGCGGGAGATGGAGTGACTCGGAGGATGGCGTAGAGGAGAGAGCTGGAGAGAACGGGTGGAGTGAATGCACCACACTCTCAGCGATGGGAATGACCTTGCTTGAGTTGCTGCTCCCTGCAAGAGAAACAGATGCCGAAGTCGACGTTGATGAGTTGGTCCCTGTCGTGATGACAGGCCCCGGGTTTCCTGCAGCGATGCCTGGATATTGAGGGATCGCTGCTACGCTGGGGCACAATGCCCATGAAGCCACAATCACCGCTATGACCTGCTTTGAGGGAGGCATCTTAGGCTGGCTATACTGCCCCTGCTCTGTCCGAACGATGTTTAGTGAGAAAAAGCTGTACCAGGACCCGCAGGTCGGAAAATTCATATCTGGATGCAAGTTCCGTACAGTGGCATTATATAGTCTCTAATGACTTCGTCTCTATGTAATCAAGGAACCAAATGGGTAGCTCCTTCAATCCCTCGAATCACAGTCCAGACCTCTAGATCACTCATCATGACAACAGACATTCGTGATTGTCGGCCGCTGTAGTCGTTGGGCAGACGGCATCGGAAATCATGTCCGCATTCATCTCCGGCTCGTCTCATATTTCGCACACATGCAGGCGATTGTTTCTGTGGTGTCAAATGTATGCGATGAAAAGATTAGGTATTAGGCTCAATTATTTAAAAAACTTTCCTGCCGGTCATCGTCTTGGTTGGGTTTGTATAGCACCGGAATCAACCAGACAACAGGTATGGCCATGGTATTATCTTGAGGTTATCTTCGGTTTCGGTCACTCAATAAACCACAAGAGCCTGACGCCAGCCGACACGAACTAATTTGGCTGCAGTGACACAAACAAGGCCCATTGCATAGCAGCAGATCGTGAAGGTGATGAGACCCCAATACTCGCCATTGCATCGGGTGAGGATCTCCCCCGCAATGGGCATGCCGGTAAGAGTTCTATACGCTCATTAGCCCTGCAAATGACCAAATCCACACCACGAGTAGCGAGCTCAACTTACCCAAAACTAACGATCGTATATGCTGTGGCATAGTATCTGCCGTAGTTCTCGATTTTGCACAGCTGAGAGATACAGACCGGTGTCAGACTGATGTTACTGCCGCTGGCAAACCCGAACATGACGCAGTATACAATCATGACAGGCACACTGTCACTGGCTGGAAGCCAGAGGCATGCGTTGCATACAAGACACAACGCCACAGTGACAATCAGAGTATTGAAGCGGCCCAGGTGATCAGCAACGAAGCCAGGGATACCTCGTCCGAAGAACGAACCAGCGTTCAGGATCGCGAGCATTTGGTACGACAACTGCGTCGAGACACCCTTGTCCATCGCGTAAGATGAGATGTAGCTCAGCGGAACAAAGAGGCCCCATTCAATGAAGAAAACCCCCAGGGTCGTCAGCGTGAACACGGGATCCCGAAAGATCCGAAAATCGGGCAGAATTTCCTCTTTCGAGGCGGGCTTCTGGGGCAACCGAGATTTGATAAGGAGGCATGCTGCGAGCAATGTGATCAGGCAAATGAGAGCAACGACTCGAGTTGCCCATGCCCACCCTATCTTCGGAAACAGAGCCTCCAATGCAAGGGGGAAGATAACACCACCCACGGAGCCACCCGTCGCAGCAATTCCCGTCGCGATTCCGCGCCTTTCATTGAAGAAGTGTCCAATCGCAGAGATTGCTGGGGTAAACAGCAGCGAGGCTCCGATACCTCCTGCCACGCCGATAACTAGCATGAAGTGCCAGTACTGCGTGCAGAAACCCAGGGCAATCATCATTGCCATGATCAGCACGGCGCCGGTGCATACAAGAAACCGAGGTCCTTTAGCGTCGAAGACGGGCCCAATCTGAACGCCGCAAAAGAAGGTCAAGAAGGCATAGACGCCGAAGATCCACCCGATGCTGCCGGAGCTGTAGTCTTTCAACTGATGGATCTCTATGTACGCCTCGAGAGTGCCGATGGTGTTTACCATACCAAGAGAGCCAACAAGGCCCATGAAGCTTCCAAAGACGACCAACCAAGCTTCTAGCCCACCTTCCGGATAGGTATTGCCATCCGCATCGGTTGTTCCAACTGTCACTGGAACGCTATGCGCTGATTCATCCGAAGGAAATTCGCCAGACGAAGACCTGTACAACCCGCCTTCGAGCGTCGTTGGCGCACCGTGCGGGAGACCATTGATGGCCTGCGTCGCTGATTGTTTCTCATCCAATGCCGAGGTTGTCGCAGTTCGTTCAGTTTTGTCCACCCGCGGATTGCCCAGGGAGTCGATTGTTGTCGCCATAGTAGTAGTTAGCGGTATCGGCGGGAAGGTGGACCACAGCCGACTCAGAGGGAAGCTTATTTCTTCCGTGGGTTCGAATCGCAATGATAGAAGTTGAAAGAGACACAGTGGGTTCAAAACAGATGATATCTACACGAAAGAAGCAGCCATCTATGACACAGTCCACCTCCAGTCGTCAGGTGCAAGCAAGCATACCCAAAGAAAGGAACCAGGTACCCGGGGAAGAAAGCATGGCGGCAAAAGAAGAAAAAAAAGTGGGAAGAGAAAGGAATGGATACTGGATGCTAAGCTAGCCGGGCAACCGATTCGTGGGTGGATTTCGGAGAGCTCCGCAGTGGAGAGAAGGTTGTTCGCTTTGGGCCCCTCTGCTTCTTGCTCTGCTGGACTGACAATGAGGGGGTTTCTCCATGACTGGCCACAAATGATGTCTCGGTTGACAAATTTTCGACAATCTCGACTTCAATGGTTGGTAAGAAGAAGGGTCTGGCTGTCTCTGTTGGCTTGGCGAGTTGGTTGACACGCTAAACGGCATTGGGAAGGTAGAAGGAGAAAATCGAGGGAGTCATGATGAACTGTTTGTAGCTAACTCGTTAGTTAGACTTGTGAGTCATTAGAGCTTGAGTAGGGACACGAGAAGAAGCGAAAAAGTAAAGACAGAAGTGAAAGAGGAGTGATGGAGATGGGAAGACGAAATCACGACCTTACGTAAGGTCAGGTCACGACACTGACCTTATCGGGCAAGGCATACTTGACTGCACTGCAGTGTCAAGACAGACATTCACTGATGAATCTGTCACATAACCATGGGCAGAAGCAGGACTGAGATGCCAGTAGCCGTTCAACGTCTGCAACGAGAGGATACGAAGCTCTACGCCGTGTCACTGCTTCTGTCTGTATGAGTGCCTTGGTGTCACGGTTGTGGAGTGGTGCACCCCAACGTTTCAACGGACTCCATTTGCGATAGCACCGATGATATGGTCTTGCTCATAAGTCGAGAATTTGTCTCCTTCACATTTCTTATACAAAGGAAACTCTGATCGATAGAAGTGCACCATCATGATTGGCCCCAAGCCACACATCAGCGAGCAACCCATTACAATCCGTAACTGGCACCGCCATGTGGATTGGTTCAACACGACCTTCATCATAATTGTGCCTCTATGCGGCTGCATTGCGGCTATCTTCACGCCCTTGCGATGGCCGACTGTCATCTGGGCCGTCCTCTACTACTTCTGGACCGGGCTAGGGGTCACTGCTGGCTACCACCGGCTATGGTCCCATCGGACCTATGAGGCGTGAGTTCTTGTATCAGTGGACGTATACCTCCCCACCTCTGCCTAACTGCATGGCCCCAAAACAGTGGCCTATCACTAAGAATCTTCCTGGCCTGCGCTGGCAGTGGCGCCGTGGAAGGTTCGATTCGCTGGTGGAGCATCAAGCATCGAGCCCACCACCGGTGGACCGACACGGAGAAGGATCCGTACAACACCCGTCAGGGCCTGCTGCACTCTCACCTTCTCTGGATGATTCTGAAGCCGAACCCCAAGAACAATGCCCGGACCGATATCTCTGACCTGAACGCGGATCCAGTGGTCATGTGGCAGCACCGGAACTACACGAAGCTTGCGATTGGGTTTGGCCTGGTCTTGCCAACGGTTATGGCCGGCGTGGGATGGGGGGACTGGAAGGGGGGCTTGGTGATTGCCGGCATTCTGAGGATGTTTCTCTTTCAACAGGCCACCTTCTGCGTCAATTCGTTGGCCCATTGGCTGGGCGATCAGGCTAGCTTCTCCCCTTGTATATGTGCAAAATATTGTGGTCTGTGGTGTGCGTGCGCTGACGACTATCTGCATACAGCCCTTTGATGACAGGAACTCGCCACGCGATCACATTCTCACTGCCTTGGTCACGTTTGGCGAGGGTTACCATAACTTCCACCACGAGGTAAAGCAATTTCTTCTGTGTTTGTGCGGGTCCTTGGCGTGGGGGAAGGGGGCTTTTCTTGATGACACTGGTTCTTTCAGTTCCCCTCGGATTACCGCAATGGCATCGAGTGGTGGCAGTACGATCCCACCAAATGGGCGATCTGGATCTGTGCCCGGTTCCGGCTGGCCTCCAACCTCAAGCGTTTCCGCACCAATGAGATCGAGATGGGCCGTGTACAGCAGCTGCAGAAGAGACTCGATCACCGGGCGGCCTCTCTCGGGCGGTGATGGCTGGGTGCCAGCTGTATACCCTGATCGTGCGAGGAAAGAGGAAGAGCAAAAGGCAGGCTTGCATCAGGGCAGTGGTGGTCTTCTTTCGTCCCCATTCTTCCCTCTTGATTTAGCGCCAATAATGCTTTTTGGTAATCAGACATAGTTTGAGATCAAATTCGGGCTTCACGGTACTAGATGTCAAATGTATGATTCAGAGTTTCAAATTCCTCATTCTAGATATTATAACCAAGCATGTAGCTGTAGGAGGGAACCTGACTACTAGTATCCTTACTGACCGCGAAGTCTTTCGCAAAAAGAGTGCAGCCATCCTTGCTTCTGCTGTACCTTACAGTGAGTATTCTGCCTCGATGCTGGAGAACCACATAACTTCTTCTTGCAACCATTCCTCAATCGCCTATCCTCTTGCTTCCCACCCCCGCATCATAAACCTTCTTCCCCCGATACCAAGTCTGCAAAACCTTCGCCTCCAGGAGCGCCTGAGATGTCCACTGCATATCCACCACCAAAAAGTCCGCGCTCAACCCCTCCTTCAAACTCCCAGTCCACTTCTCCGCAAATCGTGCGTACGCCGCGCCGGTCGTAGCAGCAGTCGCGGCCTCGGCCAAGCTCAGTCCGAAGTGAGGGTTGACGGTCTCGCTCGTCCCCAGCTCCAGGGCTGACCGTCTGGTCGTCGCATTGTAGAGATTTGGAAAGGGGGAGTGACGGGCGGTAGGCGCATCAGTTCCGATCGCAAGCGGAGCGCCACCGTCTAAAAACTCCTTGTACGCGAAGGCGCGTTTGCACCGCTCCGGCCCGTTCAGGCCGGGCCATGCCTTGAAGAGAGCCGGGTCCGAGTGCACGGGCTGCACGGAAGCAGTGATTCCCAGCTCACCGAGGCGCTTTGCGTCCTCGGAGGTCGACAGTTCGAGATGCTCGATCCGGTGGCGGCGGCCGGGGCTGCCGACTTCGGCCAGAACGTTGATGGCTTGGTGGATGGCCTTGTCGCCGATGGCGTGGATGGCGCATTGGAGGCCGGCGGCATCGGCGCGCTGCACGACTTCTCGAAGCATGTTGGCTGGCCAGATCGGTTCAACGGGGTCCAGTTTCCCGCTGTATGGCTGCTGTAGAGCGGCAGTGCACCCGTCGACCACCCCGTCGCAGATAAGCTTGATTCCGACGATGGTGAAGGTGGGATCTCTGTATTGTCTGTTCAGCTCGATGGCGCGGTCGACGAAGCGGAGGTGTGCTTGTTGGTCATCTGAGAAGGGAACGAGCCAGTGGGCTGCGATGTGAAACGGAACGTGCTTTTCCTGGCGATACTGCTCAAGAAGACTCCAGGAATCCTCGTCCATGGCCATATCGACGACTCCAGTGTAGCCGGCGGCGGTGTATGAGAAGACTGCGGTGTCCAAAGCACTGATTTTGTCCGCCGTGGAGTATAGAGTCTCTACAAACGGCCAAGCAAGACTCACGACAGCCGACTCATCCAGCAGACCCGAGGCACGACCGTGCTCGTCCCGATGAATCGTGCCGCCAGGGGGGTCCGACGCCGTGTGCGCTTGCATTTTATCAAGAGCAGCAGAATTGCACCACATCGAGTGGAGATCGAGAGAGTCGATGAGAATCGGCCGGGAATCGAGATCATCCAGCATGCTTGCAATGGCAATGCCCTTGGTAGATGACTGAATCCATCCCCGGCACAAGATGTAAGGAGCCGACGGGTTTGCTGCCGCGTATGCCTTGATGGTTTCTCGGATCTGCTGGAGGGAGGTGCAGTCGATGAGGTTCACTTTGCGAAGGGAGTGGCCGTATTTCAAGATATGAACATGCGCATCAATAAAGCCGGGAATCACAATGCGATTGTCTAGGTCAATGACGGTTGCTTCGTTTGGAATATCTGCCTCATCTAGGGATCCGACGTAGGAAATCTGGTCGGTGTCGATGATCATTCCGTTGGCGAACTCATGGCCATCTTTTGCGGATGATGGCGCAAAGACACGACAATTCCGGAAGACGGTGGTCATACTTCGGTGAAGAAAGGGATGCAAAAGAGACCGTCACCAGCATGAACTGGTCGTTGCTCTACTATTACTATCACTACCTACAGTGTACGGTAGTATTTAATGAGAAGCGAATTCTGGGGTCGCGAGGACTTTCCTAATTGGTTCGGGCTTCGGCACTTGCCCGGTCAAAAGTGGTGAACTGCCCGCGGGGTAACCTTCTTAGTATGAGGCCCAAGTGATGATCCATCATCATTTGCTGTGCTGCTCATACTAGAGGATACTATACCTTGATATCACTTCCAACGGCCACTTCCTTGAGAGGGTGCACTGTCGCTGTTCTCAGAAAAAGTATGGAGAGATATCTGAACTACAACTTGCATCTTAGCCAGTCCGTTACCCCGACCTTCCCAGCCCCAAAGAGTCTGATAAGTCTATCGCTACGCGAGTCAAGGATGATAGGCTGAACTGGTCTACTTTCTTAACTGGCTGTTACTTCAAGATTCCCCTTTGAGCATAGCCCTGTTCTGCAGTTGTCGTTCAGCTTCGTCTTTGAATGGCTATGGCTGAGGATCAATGATGATAAGGCAGTCTCAACACCCTCCTGGTGCCGATGTATGTACTTGCAATATCATAAATGAGCTTTGAATCTTTCTTTCCAATGAACTCCCGTTGCCCTGATCAAGGGCGGTGATGTCTCCGCACAGTCAGAACAATGATTCTGCCTTTCTGCCTAGCCGCCAGACACCGTTCGTCTCGAAGGCATGTATTGCCTTCTTTCGACTTTGTCGGATGCCTGGGATAACAGGACCAAAGACCTCAGCGCAGGCTCCGAGGTCATCCTCGAGCCTAAACCCAGCAAGAGGCCGAATGATTTTTAGTGAGTACACGGACCGTCTTCTCAACTGGAATTGTGAAACTCATCAAGGATTTCATCCAGAATTGGCTACAGTGGAGGAAGCACTTGAACTTCGGCTTGGTCTCATACTATGTGATCATGGTCATGGCATTGTGAGTATTCGGTGTATGACGGCCCTATCTAACGTCGCTAGGGTCAATGTTCCCACTGTGACCTGGAGTCCTGTCAACCTGGAACTTGGGTTTAGCTTCGCCTTTCTCAATGACAGCTATGCCGCTGGGTGTGGTGGTGGATGGCTATTCTGCTTGGGGCAGGATTTCTTGCTTTCATCTTCTTGTACGAGGAGACGATGTTTGCAATTGAAACCATCGACAGAGTGCTTGTCGTTCACGGACAAACATCTGCACCGATCTAGCAAGACATGGACGCTCTATCTCAGAAAGAGCTTGATCATGCAGAGAATGAGGTGAACTACTCGATCCCGCAAAAGGTCTACTGGCAAAAACTGGCACCCTGGTCCAATTCACTCCTATCCTTCGGCCAAGTCGTCAAGCACTGCTACCGACCGTTTCTGATCATGTTTAGCATTCCTGCTCTCTTTACCATCGCCATCGAGTATGGCGTGGTGACCGCTTGTACTACTGTCCCAGTGACCACCCTTTCTTCGGTCATGACCCTACCACCTTATAACTAGATGCGCCTGTGGCTTTGCCTGATATTCGCCCCTCCCGTGCCAGCTGGACTGACCTATATAACCGATGTATATACCGATGCAAGTGATCCTAGTCCTTCCCTTCATGTTATGCGTCGATACTCATTGGCTTTTTAGATTATAGCGGACTCTGTCGTCGCGCTCACAGTCGTTCGGGACGTTATATCGACTATCATCGTGTTTGCGCTTCAGCCGTGGGTTGACCGTGTCGGACTGAACCGGTTCTATGTCACTTTGGGCTTGATCACTATGGCCATCATGATAGGGAATCTGCTCTTCATCTATTCTGGTAAAACCTTTCGCGTGAAGCCTGCAGGCAGATATCGCCATTTTGCGGCCTAGGCAACGGGTTTGTCAACATGCGCAGGTGTAGATGAAGCGATCATAGTGGTAGCTTGACATTGTAAGTCAGAGTTCTGAAGATTACATGATAAACAAGACTTGCATTCATATATATGGGAACAAGTTGATTGAGTTGAGTTGACAGGAAAAGTAGTGGAGCAGATGTAAATGGCTGGATTGGGACTAGTCGGTCAACTCCATTCTATCTCCGTCGCTCTCCGTCTTTCCTCCGCGAGACATCTATTGCTAGTTGACCACCTCGCATTTTTGGGAAATGAGCGGTGCAAGGTTTGAACCAGTAAGTGCTCGCCTCTGATATTGTCTTATCAGTGCAATTTTCATCACGCTATCAATTGCCCCGACGATCGCTATCACTGTCGGCACTAAGCGGTCAACAACACCATTTGGGTCTTAGTTCCAATGCTTATCCACATTTCGCAGACCTATCGCTGCTGCCGAAATTCAGCGTCATATGCTACGTGCTCCTATAATTCCTATCTCCGTGTCAGTCGCTGCGTCTACCGTCCGATCCAGCTGGGTTTTGCCAATCGTATCCTTTCCTTCCCATGCCACACACTCAATATTCGCTGGTCTACTCGGCGAGACCCAGATGTACTGAGCTTAGTATAAGGTATACGCTGCGTGGCGCCGGTAGCAAGATCCTGTGCCTGGGAAGTGACAGTCGGCTGTGGTCGCAGCTAGCCGAGCACTATGCAAGGTCCCATCATCGTGCATCCCAGAGGCTTGCAAGCCATCATGGAGAAACCAGTTATCTCATCCACACTTCTCCACTCCGTCACGTCCGAGCCCTCCAGACAACCATAGATTGAAGCTTTCTCAATTTGGACGGGCCCACAGCATGGTTGTATCGACTAAAACATCGGCCTATGCTCTCAATAGGTAGCAACGCATAGCTCGAGGGACATAAATACCCCTCCTCATCTCTCAGACTCCGGCACACCCGAGCTAGGTTTCGTCAAGGTTTCCCAATCCACTGCCAGTATGCTGTTCCGCAGTCTGCTGTCCACGGCTGTGCTCGCCGCCTCTCTGTGCGCTGACCATGTGTCTGGTGCCAAACTTGGCCGGTTCGCTCAGAGAACTCGCGACGCCAAACCGGCTAAGCGCGCAGCGGAGCTTGCGAAGAGGTCGCACTCGACCCCCGTTGCGGATTATCGGTTCTACAACAATGCGACTGAGGGTAGGTTCTTTGAAGAACGACCAAAGAGCAGTGCTGACTTAGACTCCAGCCTACCGTGTGAAAAGTCTTCCCGATGTCCACTACGACATCGGCGAGATGTACTCTGGCCTGATTCCCATCGAGAAGAATGACTCCTCGAGAGCTCTTTTCTTTGTCTATCAACCCACCATTGGTGAACCTGTCGATGAGATCACGATCTGGTTGAACGGTGGTCCTGGATGCTCGTCTCTGGTCCGTTCCTGGCATTGATGTCTGTTGAACATGAAGGCAGCTAACGAATTTGCAGGAGGGCTTTTTCCAAGAAAATGGACGCTTCACCTGGCAGCCTGGAACCTACCTGCCCGTTGAGAACCAATACTCGTGGGTGAACCTCACTAATGTGCTGTGGTAAGTTGCCGGCTCCAGTCATTCGCAGGAGGCACCGAGCTAAGACAACCGCTAGGGTCGATCAACCCGTGGGCACGGGATTCTCTATTGGCACTCCGACTGCAGTTTCGGAGGAAGAGATCGCACAAGATTTCGTCAAGTTTTTCAAGAACTTCCAGCAGACCTTTGGCATCAAGAACTTCAAGATCTATGTGACTGGCGAGAGCTATGCAGGCCGCTATGTTCCTTACATCTCGGCTGCCATGCTGGATGAGAAAGACACTGAGTACTTTGACTTGAAGGGTAAGCGTCTGAGAGTTTTTGGGTCCTTATCACTCGACTCACCCATCTTGCAGGTGCAATGACCTACGATCCCGTCATCGGCCAATTCGACTACGTCCAGACCGATGCTCCCGTTGTGCCCTTCGTTCAGGACAACAAGATCCTTTTCAACTTCAACGCCAGCTTCCTCGCCGAGCTGGAGAAGCTCCACGAGTCCTGCGGCTACAAGTCCTTCGTCGATGAGTACCTGGTCTTCCCCGCCAGCGGGGTGCAGCCCCCGAAGAGCATGAACTATTCGGGCAACTGTGACCTCTGGGACCTAATCAACGACGAGGTCCTGGGGAACAACCCTTGCTTCAACCCCTACGCGATCAACCAGAACTGCCCCATCGTCTGGGACGTGCTGGGCTTCCCGACGGAGGTGGAATACACCCCCGCAGGCGCAACCGTCTACTTCGACCGGGCTGACGTGAAGCGCGCGATGCACGCCCCCAACATCACCTGGTCTGAGTGCTCGAACGAGAGCGTCTTCGTGGGCCAGGGCGGGCCCGAGGGCGAGGGCGACCTGTCGGCCAACCCGATCGAGCACGTCCTGCCGCAGGTCATCGAGGGCACGAACCGCGTGCTCATCGCCAACGGCGACTGGGACATGGTCATCCTCACCGCCGGCACCCTCCTGTCGATCCAGAACATGACCTGGAACGGCAAGCTCGGCTTCGAAGAGAAGCCCGCCACCCCGATCAACATCCAGCTGCCGGACCTCCAGTGGGATGCTATCCTCGGCGGCGAGACCGGCGGCCAGGGCGAGATGGGCATCCAACACTACGAGCGCGGCCTGATGTGGGCTGAGACCTACCAGAGTGGCCACATGCAGCCGCAGTACCAGCCTCGCGTGTCGTACCGACACCTGCAGTGGCTGTTGGGAAGAATTGAGAAGCTGTAATTATGGTGTATGAGGGAATCCGGGGGTATGTATTGCTAGTAGTTAGTATATGATATAATCAGCTCGATGTGAAGCCGTTACTAGTGTTGATATCATCCAGCTTGATGTAGATTGCTCTTAGACGATATGATCCCGCTCGATTAGATGACGATCTGAAGGGATTCTTTACCACATTAGTACACTTTTTCTACTGCTTCTTAGCCTGATGGTGGCTCTCTTTGACCCATGAGTCGATGATATCCCGACTTACTACATCCGGTAACCAAATCATCAACTATCCCTCCACCTCCACTGCAGGTACTCACTCCAGGGGGTAGTACCTCTCTCTGGGTACCTCCCAATCAGTTACAGAAGCTTGATCGACCAGGGCCACCATTTCCCCCCCATTTCAAAGTCCAGCTTCCCCTGAAATTAAGACTACTTAGAGCAGTCGCAGTCCGTGCTCACCCGAACCAGGGGTCCATCGCTACCCCAAGCACGGCCTAGTGCTCAACGGGCGAGCAGCCAGCTAAAGACCGTAGGTGGTCAGAAGCAGTCAGCCTTCCCTATCAGGAAATCTGTTCCTGATACACTACACTACACTACACTACACCACTAGGTCCCTTTTAGCTACAGTACCTAGGTACCCTGATCATTAGACTATCAACCGGGAATCCCGAAGTACTGGTGGTAGGTACATAAGGTACTCACCCAGTACACCGGGCGTAATCACTGCAGCAGCCAACCCCGTGGGGAAGAGGAGAAGGTGAAACCAAGCCTCCATTAGCGGTGACGGCAGTAGCCCTGGGAGGGAGCGAGGTAAAGTGAACTACAGCACGAAAACACTTGGCGCGGTACCACCTACTGTATTTGTCTTGAGCGAACCTACAGCGGTTACTTACTAGGTACTCTACTCGGAGTCGAGACTGTACCGGGAGTTCACGTTGACCTGATTTCCAGAGGTAGGAAATGGTATAGTGCTGGTGCCTTGATGTATGGAATAGGGATGGGATCACTACTCGTGTCCTGTCGGGATTTACTCAGACAGAGGATGGTGGATCAAGCTGGGCATGCCCATGATAATAGTACTATTACCTGTGTGGTTGGTATAGCCAAGAAGAGAGACCCGATACGCGCAATGACTGTATACTACCTATTCATTCCAAGTCGGAATGTCCACCGTCATCGAGGTGGGTGAACGATTACTAGTCGAGGTATAGCTGACACTACACAGTACCTTTTACCTTTTAGACAGCAGGCAGACAGGCAAAACAGGCAGTCTTACTCAGCCCATCGCAGAGCCATTCGTGTGGCCTTGTTGGATGTAAGATCTTAGCACTACGTTGTAAGGCACTCGAGAACTTTTTACCCGCTTAGGGTGCGCTTCCCATGGTCTGCAATGTACGGATTTGACAGGAATGTATATCAGACCATTAACAGAGATTTCCTTGAGTACCGATGTATGAAGTAGGTAGGTGCGTGCAGATCATGCCATTCGGGTGGATCTTATGGTATAAGATAAAGTGGATATACGGAGTACGGAATACGGACCCGGGGGACGGCTGAAGGGGAATAGGCTGTTTTGAGTGTGACCTGTGTTTGAGGAATTGCGATGCTCAAGAAGATACTAATCATGGTGGCTTCTCGAAAAGCAATTTACTTTGTAGGGCACGACGCTGGTGCCTCCCCCAGAGCCACGCGATTGATGATCTACATCTTCCCATTCGTAAGTACAGGAATTTATCTGCTTTCATTTTGGCAATACCAGCACCTGTCATATAACCGACATCGCAAAGACCATTTTGCAGGGTAAGCTCAATTCGATCAAATTGCAACTCGTGTCCCCCTCACATACAGTCCGCTGAGTCGCTGACAGACTGGAGAGTTACCCCATACCCTCGGGATCTCAGTTGCCCCACGACCGGGTCCATGTTGCCCGGTTCATCCATGCGGATTGGCTGAAACCAAGGTACGCCAGTGCCGAGCACTAGAGCGACACCATGGCGAAACAGGCTAAGGGGTCTTCTCTGGCAGTGACCAGTGATTTGGCCCCATCGCCATTGCGATTCGGGACGGGTAAATGAGTCCCCGCCCGGGCCACTTCGGCGGTGACCCGGCGGGAAAAAAGCACAGTCATTGGTCCGGGCGGTGACTTGCGCTTTTCTCGTCGCGGTATCCCCCTCACCTGAATTGCGTGGGAGAGAATGACTTTTGTCCCCTGTGCACGCGGTGCGATTCCGGCATTTCTATCTCTTTGAATGGCGGGAGTGGTACATCGTGACGTTCACACCGGGGATGGTAGCAGAGGCTCCGTGGACGGATTCATGGTTGGGACGGATGCGGAAGTGGTGAACTCAGGACCACAAATGGGGATGAAAGGGTGCAGCGACGTCGAGCCTTAGCCTGGTTGGGAATGCAGCCTCGTGTCGACTGTCGACAGGGTCGGACAAATGGGGTGTTGTTGGCTTTGTTGCTGAGCTCTTGGCTTGATGCAGTGATGGTAGTCGTTCGCATGTACGATGCAAATCGCGCAGTCTTACCACTGTCAGAAGGTACTCGGTAGTCATCACTGGTCAGTGGTCAGTACCTAGTCATTAAACCCAGATGACAAGAACCAAAGCACTGGGATTCTTCATGAGGAACAAACCCCTCCATCCACCTGACAGATGAATCGCAACATCAAAATGTTGAGGAGCCATGGCAGAATACGGACACTACTACGGGAAATTGCATGTGATTCTTCGCGGCACCTTCCGAATCTCTTCGAGGCGATGGTTCGGTATCAACGCCGTCACCAGATGGGGTAATTTCTGGATTGCCGATTGTGGACTAGTGCCAACCCAACCGTGCTACCCATGACGTAGGGGGAAATCCCAATCTTGGCACGTGGATTCTGCCAATTCCCCTTCGGAGGAATCTCTCCCAGCTGCAGTACTCGATCGAGAAAAGATGCGGTAATCCCTGTAGGACCCTGGTTGGTTCTGTTTGACTGGTCTCATCACAAGATCAGATGCACACAAGGCTGGCTCAATCTGATAAGTTCACCCTGCCGTACTCCGGAAAGTGCGCCTCAATCCTACAACGTGCGGTGGGTGGGGATCCCACTCCCTGAGGCGGAGCCCGAGGATGGCCAAAGAGTGAGACCCAGCCAGCCGCCCATAGAAGCTTTAAGGTCGCTTCCCTGTTCGACCTTCGACGCCAGGCTCCAGGAAGATTCTGTACCCCCGAGTGAGCCACATCGGAAAAGAATGGGGTCGCCATGATGGGGTGGCTGTTCCCGTTCAAGGGACCCTCCCCCCATCGACCGGTAGTTGACGTTAAATCTGACTGAGCACGACACCTCATAGAGATTGGAACTCAATCTGCAGGGAATGGAAGGAAAGGAAGGGAAGTCATAGCCCTTTTTCTGGAGAAGCACGTTCATCTTGCCCGGTTAGTAGCGGACTGATTTCCCTAAACTGAGACTGAAATTGTCCATGATTCAATTGCATTCCGATCCCAAACGCAGTGCTGCTTTTAGCGGGCCGTTCTGCAGCCAACTGACCGCCAAGCCCACTAAAGAGCCCCACCTCCACACCATTGCCGGTTTCGGCCAATCAGCACTGGAACAAAAAAGGCATCGGCGTCGGCCGGCGTGATCTGGGCTGAACCTATCAATGCCTCCTGCTCCTCCTCCGCTCCCGGCAACAACCTGGAGGATCACTCCTACAGGTATGGATATGCATGTACTGTGTGTTTACTCTCTTCGATTTCTACTGTAGTATGTGCAGCCAATGTGGCGTGTCTGACTACCACTATCCCTTGCGACCTCCTTCTATGAAGCGTCGAAGTTGCCTGCTAAGTTAATCAGGAGGGCCTCGGCCTGGCGGTGATAGTTCCGTGGAAGAGATCGGGGAGAATCTAATTATTCTCGGTGACAGGGAAAAACTTTTCTCTATTCCTTCTGGTAAATCTTGATGCTGACAGACATGCCTCACGCTGACTGGTCCATCGCCTGCATGATGACCCATTGTGGTTTTGCCCCTCCAGTACCTCATTATCGATAGCATTCAAAGCCAGGGGACACTAGCGCGAAAAAAAAAAGTGTAGAGAGGAAGCAAGATGAGGGACAGCCTGAAAGGGCAGTGGACAATGCCATCAATGCTCACCTCTTCTCTTCTCTGGACTGGTATATAGACTGGCATATATTTCCCATTCACTCTGTCTTCTTCTTTCCCCTGGTTTCTTTCTAGTACCACCTCACGGCCCCCCTACTCTTGTTTTCCTCTCCGCCCCTCCCCCGCAATCCCACCCATTCATCCTCCCTTCCTAATTCATCCAGCTATACCACGGCACTTGAAGTCACAGACTCAGTGCTTCACTTCCACCCTGTTTCCCCTTCCCCTTCTCCCCCCCGAGGTCCAGTCTTGTGTCTGTGTGACCTCATTTGCCTTAATCCAGTTCCTTCGTCTTGATCATCTCCAGATCAATTGGGCTGCCCAGTTTTCTTATTCTTCTCGCCCTTGGGCTATCTCTATACCATTTACTCCTTGTGGCCATTTCCAATCTTCGCTTGAACAGTTCTGCTACACCAGCTATTCCCTCTAGCAGCGACATAGGACCAACTGAGTTCTTTCCCTGAGCGCCATCACCTCGTTCCTCGTCCCTCGCGTCGCAAAACTACTACCATTGCGCCTCACTTGACCCTCGCGACACCTTGCTACCATATGCTCCATCCCATCAGCGCTTGATCGTCCCGATTCCTCCCCGCCTGCATCCTGAGCGACTTCACAAGTAGATCGAGTCATTCCATTGCCCTCCGCTGATCCCGCCCTTCGTCCACGGTAGAACCGAGTCCTCGACAGCACTTTCTCCCCCTTAGCAGTCATGCCCTTCGGAATCAACCCATTCAAGAATCACGACCACGGCGATTTCGCTGGGGTCGTCATTCCTATCGAACAGGCCCCAATGCGCTCGCGACCCGACCTTCAAACGACAAACCATGTGGCCGGTACTGATGAGAAGACTGATGAGAAGGGCCTAGACAGAGCCTCGTCTGAGGAAGCCGGGTTTGGATCCCTCCATAACTACGATCATATGACCATTGAAGCCCTTCGCGCTGAAATCGAGTCGGATCTGGTTGCCACGGGACAGGATTCCGTCTATGACCGTATGTGACATTTTTGCCTGTGGCGATAAGAAGTGATCTCAAGCCAAACATCATCCTTCTTGCATATTGTCAACAAACTATGGACAGAGCTAAATCTCGTATGCAGGCAAGGCAAAGGTTATCAACAGAGCCATCCAGGATATCGGCATGGGCCGGTACCAGTGGGAGCTGTTCGCCATGTGTGGCTTTGGTTGGCTCGCCGACAAGTAAGTTCAGAAATACGTCGTTCCCGCAATGAACCTGTTGCTAACGCTGGGTCATTAGTCTCTGGTTGCAGGTAAGATAGTGATACTGAATTCTATGATGAGCTCTATCGTACTGATCTTTTGAAGGGTATTGCTCTCACCCTCACACCCATTGCCGAGGAGTTTGGTATCTCCTCTACCCGAGTGCGATTCACCACCTGTGCTCTGTTCTTGGGTCTTTGCATTGGTGCTTCGTTTTGGGGTATCGCTTCTGACATTGTCGGTCGTCGCCTTGCGTTCAACACGACGCTGTTCCTGTGCAGTGTCTTTGGTGTTGCCGCCGGGGGTGGTCCGAACTGGATTGGGTATGTCCGAGTTGCCTATCCGAACACACACGATCAGCTTCTAACAATATTCAGAACGTGTGCCCTCTATTCTTGCTTGGGTCTTGGTGTTGGCGGCAATCTGCCCGTCGATGGAGCTTTGTTCTTGGAGTTCTTGCCCTTCGCGTCAGGAAACATGTTGACCATGTTGAGTGTCTGGTGGCCCGTCGGTCAGCTGATCTCGAGTCTGCTCGCCTGGGCGCTGATTCCCAACTTCAGCTGCGAAAGTGGTCTCCCATCGTGCCATGATGTTGCCAGCGGGGTTGCCTGCTGCAGCAAGCAGGACAACATGGGCTGGAGATACTTCGTTTTCACCATTGGTGGCCTGACCTTCCTCATGTTCTTCTGTCGATTCTTTCTGTTCCACCTCTACGAGTCGCCCAAGTTCCTGCTGGGCCGCGGTCGCCAGGCCGATGCCGTCGCCTCGGTTTATGGGATTGCCCACAAGAACAAGACCAAGACTTGGCTCACCGAGGAGATTCTAAACGAGATTGGTGGTCACCAGGTTGAAGCGAAGAAGGAGAAGCTCAAGTCAACCGAAATCGTGAAGAGATATCTCTCCAAATTCTCCTTCGAGCAAATTGCTCCGCTCTTTGCCACGAAGAAGCTTGCCTTTAGCAGTACGTCTCCCACTACCTTGTTCTCCCTGTCTCTAGGCTAAACCCGCCCTCCAGCCATCCTCCTTTGGTTCTGCTGGACCACCATCGGAATGGGCTATCCGCTCTTCAACGCCTTCCTCCCGCAGTACCTGGCCAACAGCGGCAACAGCGGCTCTAGCTCCACCTACATTGCCTACCGCAACTACGCCATCACCTCGGTTGTGGGAGTTCCGGGCTCTATTCTCGCCTGTTACACCGTCGAGATCAAGTACGTCGGCCGCAAGGGCACCATGTGCATCGCCACCCTGATCACGGGCATTCTGCTCTTCTGCTTCACCACCTCCACCGACTCCAACGTCCAGCTCGTCTGCTCTTGTCTCGAGGCCTTCTTCCAGAACATCATGTACGGCGTCCTCTACGCCTACACCCCGGAGGTCTTCCCCGCCCCCAACCGCGGAACCGCCACTGGCATCTCCTCGTGTCTGAACCGTATCGCGGGTCTGTGTGCACCCCTCGTCGCAATCTACGGCGGCTCCGCCAGCCCCGACGCCCCTATCTATGCCTCGGGTGGATTGATTCTCGCAGCGTTTGTGGCTATGTGTCTGCTGCCCATTGAGACGATGGGAAAGCAGATCATGTAAAGCTGTCCTCAAGAGAGAAGCGGAGAGAAGAAAAAAAGGGAACGGAGTCAACTTCATCCGAACGCCCTAGGGATAAATGTTGACTCCTCCCCTCAGTGTAAATGTCCATGTTCATATTCACCTGTTTTGTTGATGCAGCATTGATCTGACCTCATGATTGATACCATTTCTGTTCTTTTTGTGATTGTGTTTTCTGTTTATGTTCATGTCTTGGGGTTCTTGGATACATGCCCGTTGGTGCGGTAGGTACCAGGGTCGGCTCGATTTGGGTTGGGATGATTTTGAAATATCATGTGATTATGTCTTTCTGATTTGTCACATTTACGATCATGGCTGGACGGTTGAGGAGAGTTGGAGCAATCACACCGCTGATGTTGCATGGTGGTCCGGGACGTTGTGTATAGATTTCAGGATAGGTAAGTAGTAGTACAACTAATTGTACAGGATTTTGAGGTGTTATTAGAAAGATAACGAAAGCAGTAAATAATTTAGAAGTTGATACTACTATATTACTATATTCTAGAGCTAAACAGATGATACTAAGTATAGAGTAGCTATAGAAACTTCTCAGTCCTAAGACTACCTATAAAGAAGCTTAACTATATGTAACAGTATTATTAATTATCAAGCGATAGACAAAGTCAACCGGTGAGTGGAGAGAACTGTCAAGGCTAACGAAATGCCTGGTACCTTTCTCGTCTTCCAATCTGAAGTTCCCCAGGCTGGAATCGAGAAAACTCCTAACTCGAACTGACTGAGATTTTGTTGAGTGGGTCCGTTCTTAGTAGTTTAAAGGTGTGCTAGGATATATTGAACCATATACCATGATTCAATGGCTAGGATGGTAGTATGTTCAAGACAACCTTGGACTGGCTCCTGAGATCTCTCGATCAAGTGGGAGCCCTGTCTGACTTCGCAACCTTCCAATTTCGTTAAGTATCATCGAGCGAGCTTCCACTCAAGCACCGTGGCTGTTTCTCGCTTGTGAGCTCGAATATAACAGAGAATTACTCTACCTTGGACCATAGCCTTGAATGAATGACTATTTGTTATCGCAGTCAGCAGCCTAGGAGGGTAGGTCTCGTTCTATTTCTGGATCTGATGGTATTTCTCAGCGATGCTACAATCTAACCACCTAGCGACTGACTGCGCGGACGGTATCATAAAGGCCCCACTGCGAGAGCGCTATCATATGACAAGAGGTCTGAATCCAAAAAGGCCTTCGAGGAAATCTATTCTATCAGAGCAAAGGTCGGTAGGGTGGGATGAACTCCGTATAAATTCTCCTCGGTCAAGATGTTCTGTAAGCAATCAGTGAGAGTCAAAGGTGCTACTTCTGCTTCTTCTCTTTCTTTCCTTCTTCTATTTTTCTTATTCTTCTTCCTCCCCCTTATGTTATCGTCGGCATAGCGTGCTCCGCTCCTGCGTTTATCTGATCCGACCTGATGACCGGCAGCGCTACTGCCACCTCTGCCACTGCTTCTGCCCCTGCCTCTGCCTCTGCTTCTGCTTCTGTCTCGGCGTCGCAGCCCTTCTTCTCCAACTCTGTTCTATACGTCCTGACTGTGATACCCGTCGTCCTTTTGAACACGCGGCACAGATAGCTGAGAGTTACCCCGGCCTTCTTTACTAGATTCTTTAGGCGAAGTTTTACCCCTAGGACGCCGGAGGTGGAGAAGATGGAGAAGGAAAAGGGGAAGGAGAAGAAGAGGCCTTATTGCACGCACAGGAGAGTGGATGACCTATGCCCCGAGGTCCTTTCCTCATACTGATGAAGCTTGCGCAGTCCAGTAAACAGTACTTATATAGCTGTGTTCAAGAATGTAATATTAGCTTGCTATGCTAGCTATACAGTACAAATCAGACAGTAGTAGATCTTTTGTGGTCTTGACGCCGTAATAAAAGATAGATTGTGAAGAAGGGGTGCGATGCGTGAGGGCGAGCAGCGGGCATAAGACAATGAGTAACTGCTCTGGCATGACGAGGGGATGTTGGGTTGATCCAAGGTGTGGAGGGTTGCACGTCGCATGAGGGTCATTTTTTGATGTACTTCAATCGAGGAGTTGTAGGCTACTGTGGACAAAGTCTTTCATGGAATTTGCGAGCCAGTAGGAGAAGGAGGGTCGTTGCTCTTTTAGGGCGAAAGAAATGGAGTGATTGGGTAAATTGCTCGTCTAACGGAATCATTACCTCTGGTATCCTCGGCTATTTAGAAGTACTTTTCCAAGAAGACTAGTCTTAACTAGTATTTACCCAATCTAAATATAGATTCTAAGTTAGTACTTATATCTATCAACCCTTTTTTTGAATCTATATAACTATAGTATACACTGTGTGTGCATTGTTGTCTTCTACCTCACGGTCACCCCACTGTCACCCACCTTCAACACCGGAGTAAACGAGGTCAAGCAGACGGAGAAGGATTTCGATTGAGCTTGAGGTGAAAGACATAATCTCTCGTCTATCATACAATAAATACATGCAACTCATCAGGTCACTTCATTTACAGACCGAAGTAAGGCAGCAAGAAATCAAAAAGAAAATAAACGAGCAGATCGGTACTACTAGTAATCTACGCACCATATGGTACCGTGTAACAAGCACGCAAAAGTGGTGAAAACCATTGTGACAAGAAGGGGGAAAGAAAATCGAGAAGAGTGGATGAAAGGAAAGAGGATTGTAAAAAAGGATATATCACATTGACTCCTTCGTAGGGAAATGTTCATCAATGGATTGCAAGATGTGACATGATAATGAGCAAGGTGCAAGGGTTTAGTGGCGACACAAACAGATGATGTAGGTATATGGTGTAGGTATATAATCCCATCATGCGGAGAAGAGAGTACAAAATAACCGACTAACTCGACATTAGAAGGAGGAGGGAGGCTCACATATATCCATGATGCAGATCCGATTGAAAATCCTGACGAAGAAAAATGTGTAGAATGGAAGAGGGTTAAAGTATAAGTGTAAGAAGAAGTGAAGAAGAAAAGTAGGTAAAAATCGGGAGTAGAAACTTCGAGTCATCAACGCAAAGAAGTAAAGCACGCAAAGGTTTTATCATGAACCGAAGGGAAGAAAGGCAAAAGAAAAATGGAAGAACACCCAGAGTTATGCGACCAATAGAAAGATAAAACCACCCGGAGGAATCAATCCCATTCACCAAATCAGAGAAACCTTGTCACCATATGCACTGAACTCATAAATAAGGATTCATAGCCCGAAAGCTGTCTCGATTCGTTAAGGACGTGACCTCGGATCATCGGTAAGGAACCTAAGCAACAGGCTGACCCTGTTGGCGTCGGCCTCGTTTCTCTAGAAGAGTAGCATTGTCGAGGTTCAGCTCGAAGGGCTCCCGCGCGCCTCGGGCAATGCTTTGCCTTGCAGCGGCGGCCACCTTGGCACTGTGCTGTCCGTATCCTTGTTGCTGTCGAGGCTGGTGGGCCTGTCGTGCCTGAGCGGCATGGCTCGGCGCAGCCCCCAAGTTCGTTGATCGCAATTTCGCCTCCATGGCGGCGACATCGCCGGCCTGCTGGGACGATTTCGGGATTTTGGACGGAGCGAAGTCCTCGCGCTGGACGGGTTGATAGCTGATCTCGTCTGGCTCATCGTAGTCTTCGTTCAAAGGATTAAGCCCCGACCGGAAGTTCGTCGAGGGATTGGCGCCACGGTATCCCTGACGGAAGTTCTTGCGACGCTTGCCTTCTTCTTCTTGTCTGTGCACGGCATAACCAACATCGAACACCTCGCGCAGGTTGATTGCACCAGGCGAACGGAAATCCATGGGACGCTCGATACCAGCCGAAGGTTGGTCGCCGAGGCGGGCGCTGAGCGGAGCAAACGGCGCCTGATCGGCCGAGAATGCATCCAAGGGCTGTCCCTGCTTGCGAGTAGTAAGAGGGGTGGCGAGAGGAGGTGCGTCCGCAGCGGCCTCTGTCGCCTCGTCAGTGCCTCGGATCCAGGGATGGGCGAGGAACTGCTTGATGGTGTAGCGCTTCTCCGGGTCCACAGTCAGAAGGTGTGAGATCAGATCCTGGGCGGACTTGGAAATGTCGTCCCACCACGGCGATAGAAAGGTGTATTGACCACGGGCGACTTTTTCTGTCAGGATCTGAATGCTTTCGTCATAAAAGGGCGGAAACCCGCAGAGGAGAGTATAGAGAACGCAGCCCAGAGCCCACATGTCGACACTCTTAGAGTACCGCTCATCTTTGACGATTTCGGGGGCGGTGTATCCGACCGTGCCACATGGCGTCATAGTTTGACTGTCCCAGATAACCTTAGACAACCCAAAGTCGGCGACCTTGATCACCCCGATACCACCAGCGCCTTGTCCCGGGATGAACTCGCCCTCATCAACCTTGTCTTCGTCGCCGGGCTGGCGAGGCTTGGGGTGTTTACTTGGGATGAACTCTGTCGGATAGAAGAGAAGATTTTCGGGTTTGATATCACTGTGGTGAGAGTCAGTTTAGTCGCGGTAGAATATCCAAGTCTCAACTCTCATACCGATGCACGACTCCAGAAGTCTCGTGAAGATACTCAATCGCCTTGGCGACCTGCACAATAACATGGCGACTAAGCTCTTCGCTGAAATAGGTCAATCGCACGATCTGATGGAACAGCTCGCCACCGGGGCAGAGCTCGAGAATGATGTAGTAGTATTGACGCGACTCGGAGAAACTGATCAGCTTGACGATGTTTGGGTGATCGAGGTTGCGCATGATCTGCACTTCCTTCAGGATGTTGGCGCGCTATAGCATGGTCAGTCTCGGGCTCGCTAACACAATCGGGGCCACCGTGGCAGACGGCAGGGGAGGTTGCAGAACAGAAGTGCTTAGTAGACAAGGGCAATTTGTGGAGGATGGTAATGAGTATTTGCGCACCTCCGTAGCTTTGGGTTTCTTTCTAATCCCCGGATGCAGATGGGCGGCAGTCTAGGAGAACGACATTGGCCACACGATTCGAAAACCACAGAGCACAAAAGCATCAAAAGCACGAAAGCATGAAGAGCACAAGAAATGAAGCGAAAGCGACAATAAAAGACAAATGGAAAGTCCAGCGGTCCTACCTGGTTGCTGTTCATCTCGAATTTGCGCACCACCTTGATGGCGACCTCGCCAAACTCGCCAGTGGTGTCCCTGGCGCGATAGACATTGCTAAAAGCACCATCTCCCATCTTCTCCACCAAGATCCAGCGCTCGAGACCCGGGTATTTCGGCATCTTGTTCCGACTGCTCTTCTCTTCTGCGATGATTTGCTCGATCTCGAGTTCACGAGCTCGTCTAGGCTGTGATGAGTCGGAGTTGCGCTGGGCAGGCTGAGCGTGACCGTTGCCCAATTTGCTATCAATGGCATCGAGGTTGCCGGCAGCGGCAGGATAGGAGCCTTGTGGTTGACGTTGTTGTTCGGCATGGATGGGCGAAACATTGGTGGTGGGTTCGGCATGCGGCGTCACCAGGCGGGCTTGCTTGCCATGACGTATGAAATTTTTGAGATTCTGTATGGTACTCATAGTGCTGAGTAAGGTGGGGGGTTGGTTGAAATGGAAAAGAGAAATGTAGAAGCGGAGGGAAGGGGGGAAGGGAGGAAGAGTTGAGGTAAGGTAGCAGCAGCAGCAGCAGCAGCCGGAAAGAAAAGTTGATGATGAAATAGGATTGGAAAATGGACTGTCAACCAGGAATCATGCGGCTGTCGTCCAGAAACTCTGTTTACCTGAGTCTAGGGTTTCCCTGTCTGTGAACAGTTTGAGCTTTAGACTATTGCTTGTTGTGTTTGTGGTTCCAACAGATACTGGTGTTTGATTGTTAGTGGGAGTATGTGTGTGTGTGTGTGTGTGTGTGTGTGAGAAAAAGAGAGAGAGAGAGAGAGAGAGAGAGAGAGAGAGAGAGGAGGAGAAGATGGGGGAGGTGGAAGTGGAAGTGGGAGGTGATGATGATGACGAGGAGACAGAAAAAGGCAGGAGGGGGTGACAGGTCTGGAAAATGGTTTGGGAAAACAGAGATTGAGTGAATTAAAATAAAGTGGGGAAAGGCAGATTTACCAACTGATTACATGCGCCGCAGTGCAGAAGAAGAAAAGGGTGTGCACAGATGACGGTGGTGGTGGTGGTGGTGGTGGTGGTGGTGATGATGATGATGATAATGATGATAATGATGAGGGGGAGGGGAGGGTCTTAATGATAGGAAGAAAAAGAGGTATGAGATAATTTTAATTTTAAGGCTGGGCGGATGGAAGGCAACACAGAAGGCGAGAGAAAAGAGTACCTGAAAGAGGAATTCTAAACGTCTTTGCAGCCTGAGAGAGGAGAAAGACGAGGGCAGATAGTGGGGAATGGGCCGATACAGTTTCAATAATGTCTTTGGAGATGGTGGTTGTGGGAGAGAATGAGGCAGAGGAGGAGAGGGAGAGGAAAGATGGTGAGGAAGCAGAATTGATGATAACTTTAGCAGCACAATGCGAAGAATTGAGGATATCAAGATCAGAACCCAGTGCTCCGTAAGCACAGCGCCATTTAGTTATTTAGTTGGATGGATTGAGGAGCAGCTGATGAGTTGAAGCAAATACCGAGCAAGCCAACTACATCAACAGCAACCGCAGCATAAACTGCTGACAAGAGGGAAAAGCGTCATCTCAATACATGAATACTATCTCAATACCTCGGAGATACAGCCCCATCCATACCCAATGCCCCTCAATCACCCCCCAAGCCCCCAAAATTACCGCCTGGCCGGAAACGACAAACACGATGACGTCGAGGGAGGGGATTGTGGCTGAGTCAGCCGCTCAGGGCGAAATCCGTCTGTTTGTCTGTCTGTCTCTCTGGTTGTTTTCGCTTCTTCTTTCCCTCATCCCCTAAAGTAAAAAAACTCAAAAAAACCAACTCCACCCAACGGGGGTGACGGAGCACGGCGTCATCCCTCGTCATATTCCCTTCCGATCGTCGCGACTGCTTCGGTTCCAAACAGATTCAGATGTCATAGCTTCGCATCTCCGCAATCCTAGGTTGAAAAGTACACAGGACTAATCAGTATTTAGTACCCGTGACCCAGGAACCCCGAACCCAGAACCCTAGTGGTTGTCTAGATCTCGAGCTGATCCTCCATTCACACGCGCGATGGGATCCTCAATCAGTGGATGCTTTCCTGGATGTCATGGTGATAGTTATGCATGGCGGGGCAGGAGATATAAGATATAGTTATAGCCTGAGAAGTAACTTATACTTGGAGTAAGAGATTAAATCTTGCTGATTGCTCTCCCCCACTTTCCCCTTGCGAACGAGGTAGTAGGTATATCTGTCGTATTGTCCTCCTGTTTGGCCAGGAGTTCATGAGAATGAGGATTTCCGGCCATCAATATTAGCGATCAATTAAGCTTGCTTCTGCTTCCCTTCGGGTCGAACGAGGCGGGCGAGAATTGACCATGGGTTGTGCACGCCACTCCCGAGCAAAGGCTATGAGAGGATGTCATCGATGATGCAATGCGATACACGCCGACCATAGTTAAATAGGGAGGGAACACAAGGGATTGAGTTAATGATAAGGTGTCATGCAAATCTATAAGCGATCCGTAGCAGAGGAGGAAAAAATAGTCGGTAGTTGAAGAAGAAAAGGAAAAAAGTTGGCGGGAGCAGGAAATTGCCGTGATGGCTGCAGGTATGACTGGTTGACGGTCAATTCCCCCAGTTTCCTTCCCCTCTTTCTGTCGTTCTTTTCCTTCTTCTTCGTTCTTCTTCTTCTTCTTCTTCTTCAATTTCTTCCTCTTCCTCTCAACCCCTGTTTCCGGCTCCCCGTGGCAGACAGATGTATCTCTAAACTTCAGTCATGTAGATCATCGTGACCATTCTTATTGCTTTTCTGTTCGAGAGAGGGTGAAACCCCAAACCTAGCTCCACGGTCCACCACTCATTTACTCGCTGTCCTCGGGTCTTTTCGTGCCAACGAAGATTGTCTTCTGCGGGTCGGTGCCTTGCTTGTCCACTCCGTATACTCTATTTGTAGAGCCAGCCTGTGTGTGGGCTGGCCTAGAGCCAGTGTTGCCAGTGTTGGTCTTTGTAAGACGCGCAGTGGAAGACAGTCACACACCACACATATCCTCCCTTGCTGTTTCAGCGTCCATCAGGATCGGAGAGCAGAACAAAGGTCTTGACTTGAATTCGCTCACTTTCTCCTCCCTTTGTTCACTTCTTGGCGATCCTCCCGCAACCAGACTGTAGTCATCCGAGACAGACAGCCCCTCCGCTTCAACTACTACGGAGTACGAACGACACACACACGCGACTTGCGCCCTCATTATCTTAGGAAAAAAAAAAAAAAAAAAACAAAACAATACAACAAAAAAGAAAACAGAAAAGAATTCGTCAGCGTCAAAATCATTGGAACCTGACCAGTGCCTGCTTGTCACTTGGACCAATCTGCGATACCGTTGGGCCTCCCCCCACCATGCCCAGCCTGGCGAGTGCTGGCACTTCTGTCGCCTCACCAGAACACTTGGATCCGTCCCAGTTGAGGGCCCACAAGTCTCTACGTCGCAGGCCAAATGTGTCCTGGAACTCTCCATCCTCCTCCGCTCAAATAAATCCAGTGGACCACCATGGCCTCCCGTCAGGAACAAGCTCGATGGCCCCGAAAACCGTTCGTCCCTTAACGCCTCCCGGAGTCGCCCCGACGGAGGACTCCAGCACTCACGGGGCGCATATCACAACCAAAACACCTTCGCTCCTATCGGTGAAGGAGGCGACAACGCCGAGGCCCTCGCATCCTCCTACGCCTGAAACCACCCCGCCTCAACTCGCTGCATCCGTGAATCGCCCGGCGCTCAATAAACTCGCCCAGTCCTTCTCCTCTTCGCGAGCTGATTCCTTTCGGACCGCCTTGGAAATCATCTCCGATGCTGGGACAGAAACCCCGTCTTGGTCTGCGCGGTCGTCCTCATTTCTAACCAGACAGAGTGATCCGCCCGACCCCGGCGACACGAGAAGCGGCGACACAACGCCGGTTCCAACTCACCCATCTAACCGGATTCATTCCCCAGTACTCGAGATGTCTATCGCAGAGGGTCGGGGAGATGTGACAGTAAATCCAGCGGTACCGGGCCCCCGTCCACGAGAACCTGCGTCTACTTGGGTCGACGGTAGCTCTAGCACAGCGGATCAGCCAATTTACATGGTCGCGTCGGATGCAGGCAGCACGGACGTACTTCCCGTCCGTTCCAAAAGTCTACGCAGGCAGGAGGGGGCTGATTTGCACGAGCCTGTAGGTGGATTGTCAATCGAGCAATTCCGAGAGCAACTCGGCTGGCCCCAGACCGAACGCGCCCTAGCCGAACCAGACGCCTCTCGAAGATTGTCCAATGTGTCCACTTCGTCTACGGTGGAGGTGCTGATTATCGATTCACCGCGGTCAACTCAACGGTCGCTACGTCATACAGAGAAAAGGAGCTCTCTCCGCTCAGTCAGCACTCCTTTGACGAGGTCTGAGCACACCTCGCTTGTTTCTAACCCAGACTCGCAGCATCGCCTGGTTCACAAGAGTGTGCGGATCACCGAGCATGATCGCCAAAGCGTGGCTTCCGAGATGTCGATCTCGGGGACCTCGGCCATGAGCTATCTTCCGCAAAACGTGGAAGTGGTGCCTGTGGTGGTGATCCCAGAGCGTCGTTCGTCCCTCAAGTCGTCGACTTCGACCAGCCGGAATACCTCCCAGAGTCGCTCGCGACATTCGAGTCGACGTGCTCCGGTTACCGCGGGCAGTCGGTCAGGCTCGCTGGAAGCTTCGCGCCGCAAGGAGCGGACGCTGTCCGAAGCGAGCACCAGCGCGGACAAGCGGGCGCAGTCGCGAGGCCGTAGCGATGGTCGGCCGGTCATCCCACCGCGCAACTCGTCCCTGTCTGCACCCACGAGCCGCAATAATTCACGGACCACGTCTCTGACCTCCGAGAGCTTACGAAATCACACGATGGCGATGGAGCAAGAGATGCGGGAAAAGCCAGCTTCGCTGTCTCTGTCCCAAGCCGACGGGCCGCCGCACGACCGCAGCGCTCATGGGGTGCGCGACGCAGCCAAAACGCAATCCATCATCATCGGAGTGGAGGATATGTCGCACCTCCGGCCGCCGTCCATGCCATACACTCAAGTCTCCATCCCGTCCTCCTCACCGGGCGTCATCGAGATCAGTGAAGCGAGGACGATCGCCATTTTCCCGCACAACAACGAGTCATTATTGCTGGTAGAGCCACAATCGCAACCTACCGCGCGTGAACAAGATCCTGATATAGCCTCCCAGAACAAGCCCCTAACGCCGGTTACATCTACATCGATGCGCTTCGAGGTGGAGTCGCCGTTGAAGAACCCCCGACCGCCTCCCCAGCCGCCGGTCTACCAAGTCTCGCCCCCGTCGCCGGTGCACGAGGCCAGTCGCCAACTGGGGGCCGCCGTGAGCGAGGCGGATGCGGACCACAGGGGTGCAGCCCGCCGGTTTGGGTCCATCCGACGTCCGTGGATGGTACGTCCTCGATCTGATTCGTATAACTCTGCACTGCAGTCTTTCTCACTGACGTCCGCGAAGAACCGCAAGGCGGGCAACGAGATCGACGGCCGGCTGCAGCCGTTCTGGCGACCGCGTCGTTTTTGGGATGACTCGGAGACCGATAGCCCCTCGCCGAACGGGAGCCCCATCGACCCGCCACACAACGAGCCGGACACGGTGATTAAGAACTCGTTGGGCATGCCGCAGCAACGCACGGTGATGGAGGGCCCGTCCATCGCCCGCAGCCCGGAGACCCGCCGCCGGCTGGTCCACCGTCACGCCAACCGCACCACCCTCGTCGGCAGCCAAGCGTTCACGCCGGAGGCCCTGTACTCGCAGACCTCGCTGCATCACCCCCGGCTCCAGTCCCTGTCGTGGTGGCGGTTGCGTCTGCGAGCAGGCAGGGTGCGCAATCTGCGCACACGCATGCGCCGGTCGTGGCAGCAGCGCGCCGAGCGGCGGCGCGAGGCTAAGCGCGAGAAGCTGAAGCAGAGCATTGGCGACGCGGTGTTGGTTGATTCGAGCACTAGTCCGAGGCCATGAGTGGTGGGAGTTGAAGCTGATCTGACGATTTATGCTTTGATTAGAGGATGCACATATATGTGGTGTTGTGTTGTTTACATTATGTTTATGATTGATGATGATGACGATGATAATGATGATGATGATGATGATGCATGATTGATGATACCATGTTTGATGTTGTTCATGTTGTGATGATTTAAGAATTTTGCTATTTCCTTTTCAATTCCATTGCGATATCAAAGCACGACAGGATACCACAATATGAAGAACCGATGAAGAAATCCAGGTCTACTCCGTAGATTCCCGTATTCATCCACCCCCAACCACGCACCCTCGACCCATCCGCACAAGTTCAGTGTAGTACATACTACTGTACGAAATCTCTTCCTCTACAAACCAAAACCCATCTCCCCTAAAACATGAGCAAAGAAAGATACAATAGTTGATCACCGTAACCGCCCCCGAACAGCCATCCCCCCAAACTCCGCCTCCCGCACCCTCCGCCTCCTCCTCAACTCCTCCCTCTCCTCCTCCCCAATCCCACTATGCATCTGCATCTGCCCTTGCCGCCGCTGTCCCTGACCGTCCCCCAGTGCCGGCCCCCGTCCACTCCCAGTCCCCACCTCATCCCCATCCCCATCCCCATCCTCCCGGCGCACCCGCGATCTCAACGCATCCCACCCCCTCATCCGCTCCCAACCCTCCGGATCCAGAAACGGCTGCGGCGCGATCCCGCCATTGAACACTGTTTCGGGGGGTGGTGGTGGTGGTCGTGGCGGTGCGGTTCTTGTTGTATGCTTAACCGCGCCGCTAGCTGCAGAAGCTTGAGGGGAAGTTTTTGCTCTATCTGTGGGTGCAGCTTGCGCGGTGTTTCTGTTCTTGGACATAACTTCCACTTGAGGAGCCGGGGGGGTAGACTCCGACAGAAAGAGCAGGGAGGGCGGTTGGGAGGCTGTATTTGGGTTTGGGTTCAGGGATTTGGGTTTTGGGGGGAAGAGGGGACGTTTGTGGGGGATGAGGAGAGTAGTAGTAGTAGTAGTAGTAGTAGTAGTAGTAGTAGTAGTAGTAGTAGTAGTAGTAGTAGTAGTAGTATTGGATGGGCCAGAGGAGGGGGATGTTCGGTATGGTTTTGGGTTTGGTTTAGGCTTGGTGGTGGTGGTGGGTGAGGTCATTTTCTCTGTTTGTGGTGTATTGTTATGAGATATGGTGTGCCGTGTGATTCAAGGTGGAGGTATCAAAGTGAGGAGAGGTTGTGGTTTGTGTTTTATGGAGGGAGGTGATGCATGTATATGTAAGTTAAGTATAACTACTAACTGGATATACTACGAAGTTTCAGGCTATCGTATAATAAGTGGAGGGGAAGATGTGCTTGGCTCGAGGTACGGTAGACACGTGACTTATAGTATCTCCCTGAGACTTAAGTGAAAGACTTACGCCCAGCCACTGCAACTCATCCCAGAACTCTTATTCATATAATATATGCATACAACAATGCAGCAAAGCAGGTATCATAAACTAGAAACAGCAACAACTCCATCAATCCGTCCAGCAATTCTCACCAGACAACTCTGGTTGTCATCTCGCTAATATAGTACACATAAAAAGTCATAAGCATTCAGCCCAGCCCGGTCAGGCCATTCCCTGCGACTCCATCCCGGATATCGTGGAATATGAATACGGCAAATCAACCAATCCGTCCAGAAGCCAGTTCAGCGGATCGAAGACCTCGTAATTGGGTTCGATGAAGCCACTAGGCAAAGGCCCAACACCGGTGCTGGGCGGCACACCAATCCCCGTCTGCGGGAGCAAAGGCGCGGGCGCCAGGCTGGGGTCCGCTCCGCCCACCCCCGGCGTCGCTGTCGAGGTGCGCGTCGGTCCAGCTGACGATGCCGACGAGTCGGCATTCGAGTCCGGGTCGGTCGGGTTTTTCAAACAGGCTGCGGTACGAGGTCAGTTTCCGAGTCAAGAAACGCGCCCGTCCAGATGCAAAACATACCTTCTATGTTACGCCCCTTGGTCCGCGCATCTTCCCGCCACCGCCAGACAGAGTCGAACAGAAGAGACATGCTCATCCGGCATCGAACCTTCAGCATCAACGAGTCGTCAATCTCACTGCCATCGGGCCCGAACTTGGGCGTCGGCGCATTTCCCAGTCGCCACATCTGCGCCAGAACTTCGGCCAGCCGCTCGGGCAGATCATTGCTGGACACCGACACCCCCCGGATGGCCCAGATGGTCCTGTTGAACAGATTCTTGGCATAGTCCATATCAATGTGGGCCGCAAAGAAGCTCTTGCAGAGCTTCAACAGTGTGCAGCCACCCGCCACCATCATCTGATAAACGTAGTACGGAGTGTAAGAAAGCACGGGGCCGACTTCGGTCTCCAGGGTCATTGCTGCCTCGAGGAAGGTGGTGGCGGCGACGTAGAGCGACAGGAGACGTTCCCGGTAGTTTTTGGCTGTGGTATTGTCGAAGAAAGCCGACAGGTGGAGATGCAGATTCGATGCGCGCAGAAATAGATCGGTGATAGCTACAGAGGTCAGAGATACTCGCAAATAACATTTCAGAAACCTCTTACAATCTCTCTGGGGCTTGAGATGGTTTTCCAATTCGTCAAAGTCCCGCGAAAGGAACGAGATCAGCGTCGACCTCTCTTTGTCACTGCAGAGTCCGACAGGATCCTGGCGATTCGTGTAAAGTGACTTGGTGATCTTGTCGCAGAACTTTTCGATTTCCAGTCGGGGTTTCATGTCCTCCGGCAGCTTGAAATTGGGGTCCATGGACTCATTCGAAGACAAGGTCCAATCATATAGGGTCGATGGAGGCTGGCCATAGCCGGTTGCAACTCTGCGCGAACAGGTTAGCTCGGGGGTTCAGCCCCAACTGGATGCTCTGAACATACCTTTGCGCAACTATGTTGCAAACCGCCCAGGTGCGGACCTTGTCTCGAAGCTCCTCTTCGATAAGCTCCACCCGAAACTTGCTGAAATCTTGTGTATGAGAGGGCCGGTGCAGACCAAGCTGCATGGCGACCTGCACCATCATTCCGCACAGCATGAATGTAGGATCCGTCGAGGTACTGCTCGTAGGAAACGGCCACGTGCATAGCAGACACAATGCTTTCACCACATGGTAGCTCTGTGGGATGTCCGCCAGCGTACTCCACACCAGCCGTGTCACCGGGCCAGCAAGAGAGTTGAGAAGATGGGTATCCGATTGGTATCGGCGGGCACCGACGCTGATGATCGTCCAGAACAGTAGAGGTGATGCAGAGTAGTATTCATCCGGCGACTGCTCTCGACTCAGGAACGGAAGGAAGGGGTGGTAGAACGTGAAAAACCTAGTCTCGTCAGAGACAGCACAACCAGAGCCAAGGACAAGACTTACAGATTGAATAGCTCCGTCACCCTCTCGGGAACCACAGCAACATCCTCGATCCGTTTGAAGTGATGGGTGCCATTGCGCATGTAGTTACTACCATCAAAGCCCGATCGCAAATCCAGCAGAGATGCGACAGCCTCGTGAGAACCCATGTACTGGTCAGTGGTCGACATAGCGGATGGGGTGTGGTAGACTGCAGCGGAGCCCCCGTGGCTTGGTGTCTCTTGCTTTGGCGTATGCACCGCGGGCAACGAGGTCGGTGTTTGCTGTGGCGTGGTACCATTTGCCTGCACAGTCGCGATCTGCTTCCGGAGCTCGATGATCTCACGCTCCATCTCGGCGTTGCGACTGCGCTTTCCGACCCGTTTAAAATTGGATTCGATCTTGCAATCCAGTTTCAAGCGACGACAGCGCGAACAGTCGGTCCACGGATCTTGCACCACATCGCATCGGAGCTAAAGGTGACGTTTGACATCAGCCAGGCTCCAATTGTATGCAACGAACAAAGGGACATACCTTCTGCTGGCGACATTCATTGCAAGCCCGCTTCACAGGCTGGCGCTTCTTCTCATCACGGTTTTCGGGGTCTTCAACCTCGTCGATGCTGGCGGGTGAGCTTTCCAACCCTGCAGCGGCGACATTGCGCTTCCTGACAGGGGCCCCGCCATCGGACCCGACAGCAGGCGAGACAGCTGGATGGTCGGCACCTCCCATTACGGGGCTGGAGGCAGCCGAAGCATTCTTCCCTGCGCTGGGGTCCAGATTGTTGCCCTGTACACCCTTGCCTCCGATCTCGCTGGGCGATCCTTCGAAAGAATCCAGACTGGTTGCGTGGGAGACTGATCAACGGTGGCTGCAGCAGAAGAGGGAATAGCGAAAAAAAGAAATTTTTAAATTAGAAAAACAGAACAAAAGGACCGACGCACTGGACGATAACATAGACCACGTGCGGATATAGAGCGCAGGGCGAACGAATGAAGATGAGTCAAAAAAGTTTTACCCACCGGCTTGCACCGACTTTGCAGACCCTGACAGCAAGTGGTGGATGAATCACAGCGGCGGGGGGTTCTGCGAGGAGAAGCTGTCCGATCTCGCTCTCTCACGTGATGTTCTCTGTGGACCAGTGATTAGTCACGCATAAGTCAGCTTGACCCACCTCAAAAGCCTTGGTCAACAGCCAGTGCCTTGAGCCACCTGGTGCTTGTACATCAATTTACATCAATTGACATCGTACGTATGTGCTCATTCAAGTATCTTACACTATAAGATCATGCATCACTGCAAGTACTTTGCTAGATAGATGCTCAGTCCTGGATAACAGATGGAGACGGGATGTGAGACCCTGTTCACACAGACCAAACCACAGATCACGCCACAGACCCCCAGGCCACTCACGCACAGACTCCAACTTCGGCTATCCCCGGGCTGTTAGTTGATACAATATCCGCAGATCGAAAGGCGAATCCATGGTCTGGTCTTACTCCGTACTTCTCGCAGGTGAATGCCTTTGGATTATGGATTTTCTGATTAGTGATTAGTGATCCTGCAAAGGATGTCAGATCCATTTCCAAAGAGGATAATTCCACTGTCACCGATCAGACTTTGCACCTCGTATTGTCAGCCTTATGCTTTGCCTCGATGTTTCACTTCCTACAGGCAAACCAAGGGTATCCTTAGTAGCGCCAATTAAGCCCTTCACGAGGCACTGCGCTCCCCCCACCCCCGGAAGTATCTAAGAACGAGGTTGGACCCCTTCCAACTATGGTTTGACAATGTGCCTGATTGATACAGTCTCCGCCACTGTCTCTGATCCTCATGAATCACACCCGACAATCCAAGGGTCCGCTTGCGCCTGGTAGAACAAAGACAGCACTGTCTCTGTCTTAGACAATCCGCGGGTGCCCCGCGTCATTGCCCCGGGGGCATTGCTAGTCGATCGATCACTCTGCTTCCGGTCCAACTCGAGCAACATCTACCTTCTACCTGCAAATGACAAGTATATAGGAGGATTGATCCGTCGCAGCCCTAGTGTAGAATCATACTCCGTAAGCGTCTCATTCATCTTCAATCTCATGCATGGTGTGCGGCCAGCCTCATTATAAGCCCAGTGCCCTCCCCCCCAAAGATGGCCAAAGAAAACGACCCCGTGGGAGATCAACCTCCTACATACAATCAGATCGACCCGTCGCAACTGGCGCTGCCCCCTCTGGACCTTTCTCGAGATGCTGGCCCCCCGGAATACACGACAGTCACCGCCGATCAGTGCGCGGTACATCTCAAGCTGCTCGCAGCACTCGCCGACCTGCGCGACAGCGTAGCCAGTACCCGCGGAATCTTCGATATCCAGGATCCAGACCCCGAAATCTTCCAGCCAGACTCCCAGGAGGCTAACGAGGCGTGGGCGCGCGTCAAGGAAAAGCGATGGGCAGTATACACCACCCGGGCAGTGGACCGATATGCCGCATGGTGGGAGTCGTGCGTTCCGGCTTCTCTCGCACCCCCCACGCTCAGCACTCTCCAGACCCCCAGCTATGAGAGCATCACAACCTGTGACAAGCCGATGCAATGGTCCCAAGACCAGCTGCCGCCTCTCGGTAAGATGCTTACCCGTGTGCATCCATGCCTTGATTTGATTGACACACACCCCTCACTGACCCCGTTCTAGATGTCCTGATGGTCTGGCACGCACACATGCTGAACCCTCGAGCTTTCCTCGAGGACTGCATCCGCCACGGGAAGATGAGCTTCTGGGCCAGCGGCCTGCCCTGGGGAGCCGTGAACGCCTGCATCGACAACGTGACCCTGGACTACGAGACGGGGCCCGTGGCGCAGGAGACCTTCTTCCGGAAGACAGGCTTCCCCTGGGACAATCTCCTGGACACCCACGACAAGCGCTTGCGCTGCCCCAACTGCGGACAACGGGTCTCTGTCCCCTGGACGACGGGGGGCAAGCTGCTTGCACTGGACGGAGCCTTCGAGCAGTGGCACGGCTTCAGTGACAAGGATTTCCGCCACTCATGCCCCAGCTGCTCGCACACCATCGACCACGAGGCCCTCAAGATCGCCAAATTCGTCCGAGACATCCAGTCCCTGCTGCGGGAACAGCTCCCCATGCCAGGCACCTACTACAACCTCCGGGGCATCCCCGAGCCGGCCAGCGACCCCCGCCGCCACAAGCAACAGTTCCACTTCCCCAACCGGCTCCTGCTCGTCGTCGGCAACGAGCTCATCAACTACGCCCAGGGCGACGACCCGCAGAGACAGCAGCCGGGCCCCGCGACCATGCAGACGATCAACGACCACCTCGCCGCGCAGCTCAAACACAAGCAGGTCATGTACCAGACCAACGCGGGCAGCCGGCAGACAGCGCTGTATCCGGAGGAGAAAGTCGCCTACCGACGCATGCTGTCGCACTACTGGGACAACCACAGCGCCTTCGCCCTGGACCTCGTGGGCGCGGTGATCCGCCAGGGGACCTTCATCCAGAAGATGGACCAGATCGACTGGCTGCACTCCCCCACCGTGCTGGCCACCATGGCGCGTCTCATCAAGAAATACCACATCTTCTTCCGCATCATGACGCAGAACCCGCGCCGCATGGCCGTGCCCACCCTGGACGTCGACCTCGCCTGGCACACCCACCAGCTCACCCCCGCCCGCTACTTCGCCTTCTCCTCCCACCGCACGCGCGCAGACTCCGTCTTCACCATCCTCATCGACCACGACGACAAAGTCGACGAGACCAGACTCTCCGACGCCTTCGCCTGGACCTCCAAGGCCTACCGCAAACTCACCGCCGGCGATCAGGTCTACAGCGAATGCACCTGCTGGTACTGCGAGGCCGTCCGTCTCTCCACCGACCATCCCGCCATCATCCCCTCCTTCCTCCCCTCCGCCCTCTCCTCCTCCGTCCGCGCCCGTAACGCCGCCGCCCAACTCCACCACCGCCCCGACATCTCCTCCCACCCCGACAGGAACCCGCATATCTCCGCCCACAACGCCGTCCGCCCCGCCACCACGACCGCAAATCCAGACGCCCACCAAATGAAACTCCTCAAACTCCGCACCGACTACGCAAAGGCCCGGCGCCGCGCCGAGAAGCGCCAGAAGAATAAAGACAGCAACACCGGCCGGACTTCCCCCGTCGATCCCATCTACGGCTACTATCCGCTCATGTGGGGGTACCCGGTGTATGTGCCCTTCTATGCGCCGTATGCGTGCGACCCCGCGGTGCATGCCGATGCGTATGCGGCGAACCCGAGTTGTATGAGTCTCGTGGCGGGCGGGTATGGGAATTGCGCTGCGGGGACGTGTGGCGGTGGGGTTGCTGCGGGGAGTTGTGGCGGTATGGGGGGGACTTGCTCCGGGGGTTGTGCCGGTGGTGGCTGTGGGGGGGTG